CGAATAACTTAAGGAATTTCAAGAATTTTAAATTTGCTTAACTGGTTCCAGCAATTCTAACAGTTCTTTTATTTTTTACTTTGTATTTCTTCCATGCATATGTAGTCAGCCCTTCATGTGTTTTAAGTACAGTAGCACTGGAAATTGAGACTGTCTTTTAGAAATTCAAGTTATGGTATCTCTTTAGGCATCCACCCTGTGCACACCTGCTGCAGTAAGTGTGACCATGAGGATAGGGTAAGTTCAGGTGAGAGTCCAGGTCAGATTCAGCCGGCCCCGGGGCAGCAGGTGTCTTTGATGACAGCATTCATTGTTGCTGTCTCTGGGTCACACTGCTCCAGTTTGGACTGGTCATTTGCCTAAGTACAGTGTTCTGAGTTGGAAATAGTTTTCCTTCAGAATTTATAAGGCCTTGTGTTGACTTCCTGCTTTCAGTGTTTCTGAAGCCATTTTGATTTATGATCCTTTGGGTATGACCAGTATTTTTCCCCTCCTTTTTTTTACCTTCCTTTCATTTCTAAGGAAATGTGTAACGTCTTTTTCTTTTTGGCATTCTGAAATTTGACATGGTGTCTTTTTTTCTGTGTCTTCCCCCCCGTTATTGTGTTGAGGACTTAATGGGTGAATTTTCTTTGGCTATTTAAAAGCTTTCTCTCCTTTTTTTTTTTTTGCCTTTTTAAAGCAGGGGTTGGGGGAGGATGTCTGCTCTTTCTGATATTTTGGTGCTGAATCTTTTTACTTGTCTCATTTTCATATCTTTTTTTCTACTGTTTTGTTTTTTCCCCTATTTTCTATCTCTTTTTCTTGGCTTTCCAAAAAATTGCCTCAACTTTATTTTCTGTATCTTCTGATGAGTATTTCATTCCTGCTATTATGTCATTAAAGGAAATTATTCTGAAACTTGTTAAGGTGACAAGGAAGACTTTGTTCAGGACTCTTGCATTAGGGGTATATTAATCTGCTTGGGGGCTGGGAGTTTGAGACCAGGTTGCCAGCATGGCTGGGTTCTGTTGAGGACTCTGTGACTTTCAGATGGCCACCACCTTGCTGAAAGCTCACATGGCTTTTCCTCAGTGTGTGGAGAGGGCAGGGTGGGTGGAGGAAGAGGTAAGGGGGTGGGAGGAGAGAGAGATCTTCCTCTTTTCATAGGGCTGCAGATCCTGTTGGATTAGGATCTCACCTTTATGACATCATTTAACCATAATTACGCCCTAAATGCCCTTTCTCCAAATATAGTCACATTAGTGGGTAGGGCTTCAACACTTGAATTTGGGGGCCAGGGAGCAGTTACAATTCAGTCTGTAGCAAACATATATGTCAATCTGTAACAGGGTTATTAGAATAGGGGAGATAAGTCATGCTCAAATTCAAATATAGCAAAGATAGGTGGGGGATTTATAGCCAGTGAGCAGAGTTAGGTGAGCCAGTGGATACAAAATAATTAAGAGGAAACAGCAAGGGCAGGGGGTGAAGAACTCGATGAGATAGCAGGGTTCGGGGGTTTCTCTAAACAGGCTTTTCCCAGCCCAGCAAGTACAGAGCAGACTTGGAAGGCCTGGGTGAGACCTAGTCAGGAAGGGCGGCTCAGAAGAGCCCAACAACAGTTGGTCAGGAAGAGTTCTTGTCAGCACGTGGCAGTTTTTGCTTGCATGCTCTTAGTTGTTATTGGTGTTTTGAGAAACCCTGTTTTCTCCAGGCTTCTCTTGGGGTGGTGTGTGAGTGGAGAGTCGTTTGCCCAGCAATATGGAGCGTGTATGTGATTGGTGCTAGGAAATGTCTTTTTCAAACAACTTTCACCTAGTCTTCCTTGTGTTAAATTCCCTCTTCACCCTTGGTTCTAGAATTAACTTTATACTATAGTTCTTATTTCCTTTTGAGATTGAGTGGTATAATTTGGGTTGTTTCTTGTCTTTCCCCATTCCTGGGGATTCAGCTTTCTTGGTTTTGCTGTTAATCGCTCCCCGACAGTCTGCTTTCCAACTTTTACGTGTAGTTATCTCCTCTTTGTTCTTCCCATCCTTGTGGACTGGTGTCCTTATAAGGAATTCTTTTACTGTGGATATAGGGTTTGAAGAAGAACATTAGATGTGTGCCTTTAAATCTGTTATTTTAACTGGGAAGCTGTAGCAAATGGTTCCAAATGGGAAAAAAATTTGAATAGTTCAAGGGAATTTGCCATTCTTTTTTGGGTTTTGGGGCTTTGGCACTTTGCTTGCTGTGACATTTTTCCTCCAGATACTTATTTATTCCTAAATGACCCCTTGTGGCTATTCTGTAATTTTCCCTTGTATTTAAAACTATCGCAAAATCTTTTTTGTTGAACTTTACTGGTGGCTTCATACAAGGGATATGGGCACTATAAAGGGAAAGAAGTGACTAGCATGCACTGGGTGTCATTAACATGGTGATCTCAGTTTTATGTCACTTAATCCTCATAGCAATTCTGTAAGGTAAGTGATATTATCACATATGGGTAAGGATAAAGATAACGATCAGAGATAAAGTAACTTGCTTAAGAGCTACTCCAACAGTGGTGGAGGTTAGGTTCTGAACCCTTCCAGCTCTTTGTCGTCCGCCATCTCCTTTTACTCCCTCCAAACTGTGAACAGTTTATTTATGCACTCAGTGAATGTTAAATTGCCTGCGCTGTGCTGGGCCTTAGAGACAGTGGGAGGACTGCTCTGATGGAACAGGACTGACATGATCAGATTCATCTTTCAATAGGATTTTTGGCGATATGCACATAAATTTGCAAGAGTAGGAGTATGCAGCTAAGTTAATTACAGAAGTCCTAGTTAAGTGTCATCTTGGTTTTGATTAGGCTGGCAGAGGAGAAACAGAGAAGTGGGTGGATTTAACATGCCTATTGCAGATAAAGCAGACAGCACTGGGGTGAATGGTGGTAGTGATATGATTGGAAAGGAGCTGGAAGAATTGAGGATGACTCCAGGTTTGATTTGAACTGAGTGTTGTTGATGGTGCCTTTACTAATATAAGAAAGAAAAGGCTGTGGGGGTGGGGTGAACAGAGTAATAATACAATAATAACAGCATCACATCTGTTAGTTATATCCAAGAGGAGGCCTCCAGTAGGCAGTAAACATCTGGGAACTCAGTGGTGTCCCGTGTTGGAGAAAAAAATTTGGTATCACTCACATATACATGATATTTAAAGCCACAGGACTAGATATGGTTATCCAAGGAAAGCGTGTAGGTATAAACCTGAGGCACAGTTACTGATTCACTTCTATAAGAGAGTACTCATTTAATTTTTTAATTTGGGATTACACTTAAACCTAATAGCATTTGCTGCATGGGGAAAGCAAATTTCAGCATGTAACCATGTCATGTACGATGCTAACCAGCAAGCACACTGTCAACATGCCAGTAGTTCTCAGCTATTTGATTGAATTATATACCACACACCTTTGACTTTAATGGGAGACTAGAATTGAGAGCATGAACATGGGAAATTCCATATTTGGAAATGCTGCATAAGAGGAGAGTTATGGCACATGCATGAACTTGTGTTTAAGTGTAGATAGGTAATGAAAAATAAATTCCCATTGAGATGCTAAAACTAGAACATCTGGGATAACTCAGTAGCTGATTCACTGTACATCAGTTGCATAGAATCCAAGCTCATTAAAAGTAAATATTTTACATGTCATGGACCTTGCAGATAGTCTTAAAAGGCAGAATTGTAAATGTTAGATCTGAGAATGCCAAGCATGAAAGGAACTTTACAAGAACACTTGAAAAATTAGATCCGAATTCAAAATAGGCAAAAACTGGAAACAGTCCACATGTCCATCAGTAGGACAACAGGTAAACAATTGTGGTAAAGTCATTCAGTGGACTAGTGTACGCAACACAGTTGAATGTCAGAAACATTCTTTTGGATGGAAGAAAACACACGAGCATAATTCTGTATGATTTTACTTATATAAAGTTCGAGGAAATGCAGAAACTGATCTATGATGATAGAAACCAAACCAGTCGATGTCTGTGGGGAACAGGGATTGACCAGAAGGAAGCATGAGGGAGCGTTCCGGGGTGACGAGACTGTCCGCCCGTTGATCGGGTGTTTGTTAAATGGGGATGTCCCTTTGTGAGACTCATCAATTTCTGTGTACTTAGGATTTGTACATTTTATTGTATCTAAGTTCTACCTCAGTAAAAAAATAAACAAACAACGAAAGCAGTGTGCCGAGTGGACCTGTGAGGGAGCGAATAGAGGACACTTGGGTGAGGCCTAGCTGTGGTCTCAGGTGCTCAGGGAGAGTTTCCAGAGGAGGTGATCTCTCACATCTCTCAGATTTATGCCTTCAGGTCTAAAGTGACCTTGCGTTCAACTACTAGCTTAACTCCACAGAATAACATTTAGTCCTAGGATGACTTTAATCTTTTGTGCAACCCAGAATACTTTAGGTAGTAAAAGGAGGTGCTGTTATAAATCATACTGGGGCAATATGGAAAACTTGAAACCATTGATCTCTATTTCTCTATTGCTTCACGTGTAGTACTCTTCTGCAGTCACAACTGAAGGACGGCGATATAGCAAAGCACGAGTTATCTGAGGGTAGAGCAGCCCCCCCTTGGTCCTCTCTAAAAGGAGTGCAGAAAGGGAGGGCAGTAAGATGGGAGGGGCTGGGGATTACCTGTGGAACAGGGTGTGTGTGTCTGTGAGTTGCAGTTTACATGTTAATTTTTTAAAGATTTTTATTTATTTATTTTTAGAGAGGGGAAGGGAGGGAGAAAGAGAGAGAGAGAGAAACATCAATGTGTGGTTGCCTCTCGTGTGTCCCCTACTTGGAACTGGCCTGCAACCCAGGCATGTGCCCTGACTGGGAATCACACCTGTGACCCTTTGGTTCACAGCCCTCGCTCAATCCACTGACCTATGCCAGCCAGGGCAAATGTTAATTAAAAAAAAAAATACGGTATTTGTTACCTGTTTCCAAAGTTATTTATGTTACTTTATTTGTTCCTTTGAAACAGAATACAGTGGATAGCTCCCTTCAAAAATGGAAGATGGAAAGCCCGTGTGGGCGCCACACCCTACAAATGGGTTTCAGATGGGCAACATCGTGGATATTGGCCCTGACAGCTTAACAATCGAACCCTTGGACCAGAAAGGCAAGGTGAGTTTCTCAGAGAAATTTCAAAATTTTATTTCTCTTTATATAGGCGTCTCCCTTATCAGTTAAGTATTGTAGATATTCCTCTCCTCTCACAGTATAATAGGGAAAAGCATTCTGGTAAGTGAATCTTAATTTTCTACTGAGTTATTTGATTGAATCAGAAGTACATATTCTAGGGGGAAAATGGTGCCCTATGATAAAATCAGATAGAAATTGAGTGAGCCTTTCATTTTCACAATTTAAAGAAAAAATATAGCATGATAAAATACAACATTATTTTTCACTTCGTCTTACCCAAAAGGCTGAGAAGTGATAAAATGTAATGTTATTCTTTATACATATTACCAGAGTTATTAATACATACATGTTGTATGCAACATGTTACAAAGCAAAAATATGAAAAGCGATGGAATTATGTTATCAAATTTTGCTTTTCACTTTAGCTCCCAGATAATTCTTTTAAACTTTTTATTAAATGTATTAACATGGGATTGGACTAAATTTATTTCTAATAAGTAAAGATATTTAAGTTTTAAACATACCAATTCATTGCTATTTTTACTATAATGATGGTTTTTAAAACATGAAAGCATACTTCAATTTTGTGTACATAGTATCTATTTCCTTTCATGGTTGTATTACAAAATGAGGGTTTGGGGAACGCATGACCTGGTGTCTCTTCAGTCTTTGGGGGAACTGTAAGGGCTCTTTTTGTGGGAGATCTTCACAATTTTCAGTTTAATTAATATTCCTGTTATATAGGTCTTCTGACTAAATTAAATTTGTGGATGTCATTTCTGTTGACTTTGCCCTCTGAGTGTTCCTGAGTAATGTATATTCTGCGGATACATGGTTAACTAATGCCATGTGACTGCCATCCCTCTGGGAACCTTAGAAAAAACAAGGTGGATCTCTCATGAGTCTTTTCACAGAGAAAACTATTTTGTTACTGTTAACAACCCAGGAACCTAAATGCATAATAGATAATGTGGCGTGTTAGAGGAATCCAGTTAAAGATATCCTCAGGAAAGAAAAAACAAGTGTTTCTAAAGTTTTTTCCTCCTATTAACACGTACTTATTTGTACTTACAATGCAGTGATATTTTTTTTAAAAAACTAAAAAAAATTTTTTTAAAGCTCATTTGTTTTAATTTATTTGAACTTGTAGGGGAGGAAAAATTTTCCTCTATTAATTTGGGTCTCTGGCTGGGACCCAAAAAACCGATTAAACCGATGTGACAGATTTACAGTAGAATACATATAAGTTTTATTAAATTTTCACATGTACATGGGAGCCTTCACAAGAGAGTGAAGAACTACGGAGGTGTGCAGAACAGAAAACTCCTACTCCTTTTAGGCGAAGGAAGAATTTGTGAAGAATCGATGAAATGGGAGTTCGGGTTAGGGGCAGTAAATTGTGGAGAGACAGTTGGGGAAGGATAAGGGTTGGTATGAAAAGGTTTGTCTGTACAGATTTCTCTCTCAGCCTCGATTCCCCTTCGCTGGCAGTAAGAACGTCTGCCTCCCTTCTGGTGTGGGGAGGACACCTTTCACATGGCAGTTTTATGTCCTCCTTTCAGGAATAAAACAGAAGGCCAGAGTGCCTTTTATGCACCAGCTATTTCACAGTATGCCAAAGTAGCATATTGTGGGATGACAGAAATTTACTGAGCTTTTCATTATGCTTCAGAATGGTTTGTTTTTCTATTTTTCTTTGACATATTTTACAAGGACAGTAAATCAGAAAGCCAAAACGAAATGAGGAGTATTATATGCTAGGTATAATCTGTTACGTAGGTATATTCTGTTATGTCCATGGGTGACAATACTTCAGTTCAAGCATAGAAGGAGTTTGATTTAACATATATGCTTTTTCACATTTTAAATCATTTATGTGCTGGTAACTGTGTCTTATAAGTATGAATCAGGTATGCACATAGAACCAATAAAAGCAACTTAAAATGTAAATTGCGAATCCATGAAAGCTGTGGATCTGTAGTTAATTTTATAAACTAAAGTCAAAGCTTCTTTTCACAAGCATTTTTTGAGGGTTAACATTCTCAGTAATTGTTTTCCATCTTAATTTTCTCCCTACTTTCTGCTCAAAGGCTTAATACATTGTAAAGTATAAATTTTACCACATGGTTAAAAAGATAACAAGAGAAGCAGTCCTTTGTCTAGATAATTCATGGTCTGGAGATCATCAACTTTTAAATATTAAGGAATTAAGTGCATAAAGTGATGGACAAATGAGGTAGACCTGTTTGTTGATACAAAGCAAGCATAGAATAGGGACTGACTGAACTCTGGGAACATGTCTTCACAATAGCAATGGCTTTTAAAGGTTTTCGATTGTGAGCCATAGGAAGACATACGTTTTACGTTGGATTAGATGTGTGTAGTGTGTGTCTTTATAAAAAACAGATTTTACATGTCAGTATGTATATTGTGTGCATGTCTGTGTATTCATAAATGAAACATCCTTACTCCATGTGATGCATTCTGATATTTCCTAGTGTCTTTATTTCATTAGAAATGCTGTCGTGAACCTTGAAATTGATTTTACATTCCATATTTGCAGCAGACTGGCCTTCAGGCTGAAGCCCTGAATGTGTGGCATTTAAGGTTTGATATTTTCCCTGTTTACTTTGCTAGTCTTATCTTTTGTCAACCATCAGCGCCCCCTTCATCTCCGACCACATACTTATTCTTGTGTATTATTTTCTGTTTCTCCTTCGTCCTCCCCTCCACAGTGTTTATCAAGTCCCCACCCTGAACCAGGTGATGTTGGGTGCTTTTCGTTGTTGCCCACAGTACTCTTTTAGCCTGGAATGCCACTCTCCATGACGCTGTGCATAATAAATAGATCTCAAGACTGTGGTGAGGTTACCTGCTTTATGAAAGTTTCCCACAGTTACCAAGTCCCTGTAGTCTTCTCTGTGTAGTAAAATTTATTGTTGATTGCTCCTTCCTTGGAGAAGTGGTATAAATTCTTAGCCTCCTGTAATACTTCACTGGAGATATTTGTTTACATTTATCCCTCCCTCCCTGCTAGACTGTAATCTCAAGTGCAGGGACTGGTTTATTTGCTCTTTTTGTCATTGGAGCTTGATGTGTGGTAGATGTTTATTGCTGCTGATCATTGTGTGCTCGTTACATGATCTTCTCTTGATAGGAGAAAAAGCCTTCTCCCTCTATGAGAAAACAATTGCCTTATGCAGAATTTCTCTTTCTCTTTGTGTAGATGGTAAAGGGGAGAAGAAGATGGGGGCTGGTGATAATTTGGAGGATGAAGAAGGAGGTGGAGAAACTGTCTGTTAGGATTCATTACTGGCCTCTCAGCCCTTCTCTTAACCTTCCCTTTCTAGGAGCATTTTATCCTCCAGCTCTCCCCCGTTTTCTGAACTACTGGAGCTCTTTTCATTTCACGTGGCCCCTAACAGGACAGAACTGACGCCTGCAGTCTGCGGGCGCCTTAGCCCCACTGCCACAGCTGTGAAAGTGGGCACAGGAGACTGGGGCATCAGCAGTTTATTTCCCAATGCATTTTCCTGCAGAATCATGATAATTTATGGATTGTTTTATATTATCATTAATAAGCATATGTTATGGATTAATTTCAGTATTAACAATCTATCCTCTAAACCTTTCCACATTTAGAACATTAAGAACATGTGTACTGGTTCCAAATTATTAACTTCCAGAGTATTTAGAGCATAACAGTTCTCAAATGTGGGTATGACTGAATTGAGTTAGTGCCAGCAGCTTGCATTTGCTCCATAAACTATAGAAGTAGCTTTATCTTGTACTCGTGTGTGTATACATGTATGTAAAATATATAATTTTAAAATAATTGAACAGTTTTTCCTCATAGTTTTATTCAATATTGGTGGAAACTTCAGCCACAAGGAGTAATTGTAATTGCTTGAGAGGTATAAATTTATGTTACTGTTAGAATGGCATGGATAAAACATGTAATTTTCTTTAGATGAAGTTTGAGATTATTTCTCTTATAAGATACCAACTTAATTCTAGAATTTCTGCCATACATTTAAGTGATATAATAAATACAAACTGTTCATGCATACCTATAATTTTATGGACCAAATAGTTCTGGATACTATTTATATTTGTATCACATATCTATACAGGAATTTATGTCTTACATGTTTTACTTGAACTGTAACACAAATTAAATAGTCTGTTCTGTTCTATCTGATTGATTGGATGTTAATTTTTTGTTTTAAAAACAATAGCGCTATATATACAAATGCTAACATTTTTATTTTTTAGAAGTTGTTGATAGCATACCCATATGCATTTAATATTAATGTACTTCAGGTTTTGTCCTACTCTAGATATTAGAGCACAAGATTTTTAAGTTGATTTCCATTATTGATTTTATGGTCATGGTAATAAGTGGATAAGGTTTCTGAGTGGTTCTTATTCTGTTTTGGGGTTAGTGACTTGTTAAATAGTAGGATCTTATATTTTAATGAAGAGCATATCATTGGCATTATTACAATGTATGCAACCAATTAAGCTTCTTTATTTTTCTTGCTATTTATAAACCTCTAGGTTAATGAACTTCTGTTTTGTTTGTTAGACATTTTTGGCTCTCATAAACCAAGTGTTCCCTGCAGAAGAGGACAGTAAAAAAGATGTAGAAGATAACTGTAAGTATCAAGTTAAAAATAGTTCTCAGCATAGAAAAGGAAACTGTTGCTCCAGAAAAATAAATTAGTGGTTATATTATTAGGTGCACAGTACTGGTTCAGAAGGAATGTAACCTTTTGACAAGAGAGTTCATGTGAGTGGAGGAGCTCAAGAGCCCTAAGGTCGTTACTGTCTCACATTCGCACTTTGATGAAAGAGTCTCTTGAATGTCTTGCTAGTGTTATTTCAGTTGTGGAAATGGTAATAACTTACTGTGATGCCTGAACTAAAGGCCTCTTGTTAATGGTTTTGAAAGTTATTTTGAACCCCATCTAGAATCAGACGATATTTATAATAGTGCATGTGGTTTGGTAATTTGGAGGTTGACTCAAGAGAGGACCCATTTAATGTCACTGTTTGAAGGAATCAAACATTAAAAAAATACTGTGTAATAAATACGAATTGAAAAATTGATTCCAGAACATTATATTAAAATGAAACATTATTTTGATTTATAACTATCTTAGTATGTTTGGTGGAAAGACTTAATTCAGTGAACAAGCCATGTTAATTCTTGCATTTTCACAAGTACAAAGTAATCATATTTCATTTTTTATTTGGCAGTATATAAGAATTATGTCCAGTTGTTTTCAATTTCATTAAACATATCTGACATGAAAAACTCTTTACTTAAAGAATAAGGAGTAGAGAAAGGGCTGTGTTTTGTCCCTGTTGATTTCCCTTTGAGTTGGCATTTGAGTGAGCCTGCGAGGCCCCCTGTGTGTGAATGGGCAACGTGGGGCAGAGTGACTGGGAGAGCTGTGGACTCCGGGAGAGCCTGAGTTTGGCTTCTGACGGTGCTAGTAGGGAGCTTTCTGCCTGTGGGCAATTTCTCTCTCCTCATTCAGCTTCTCATCTGTAAAATGGGAGTAATAATGTGTATATTGCATGCCTGGAGATACTGTATTTATTTTTAGAGAGAGGGGAAGGGAAAGGGAAAAAGAGGGAGAGAAACATCATTCAGTTGCCTATTGCACGCTCCCAACCAGGGACCTGGCCTAAAGCTGAGGCATGTGCCCTGATTGGGAATCGAACTGGCAACCTTTTGGTTCGCAGGCCAGTGCCCAATCCCCTGAGCCACACCAGCCAGGGTGGTACATTTAAAATTCTAGGCACAGTTCATAACCTCTGATAATCTCTCAATAAATGGTAGCTATCACTATTAGGTATGAGAGATTGGGGAAAATTGTGAAGGTCCCTTCCATTCCAAAATTGGTTGGAGAATTTCTCTGATGGGGTAATGTTTCTTTTCTGAATAGCAATAATTAAAATTAAAAAAGGAATGAGAGTCTACCATATCCAAAGTAAGAGAGAGTATTATTTTCTGTTAATTCTTGATAGAGTATTCAGAACTAAAAATTCTTTTCACATATTAAAATAAATGTTTTTTGGTTTATATAGCCACGTGTAGCTAAGCATAACAAATGGTTTTGAATTACTTTAATTCATTTCTTAATATTTTAAAACATTCTTCTTGTGGTTATTTATCTTGATATACTGGTCCAGCCTTTTGCTTTTCCTAGTCTTAGTGTAGATTTGCTGCATCTTGCAGGTGTTTTCTTGGATAATGCCAGGATGGCAGAATTTTAATGTGCGGATGTTAACTATTTTCATATGTATACCACATTTTTTCTTTTTTTATTGTTGTCCAATTACCGTTGTCCCCATTTTCCCCCATTACTCTCCCCTGCCTTACCCACCCCCACCTCCCACATTCAGTCCTCCCCCACCACATGGTCTTTGTCTGTGGGTCCTTTATATTTGATCCTTGACTTTCCCCTATTGCCCTGCTGCACCCCCACCCCTGCCCCCCGTCTGGTTACTGGTGAGTTTGTTCTTTATCTCCATGTCTCTGGTTATATTTTGCTCACCTGCTTGTTTTGTTGATTAGGTTCCACTTATAGGTAAGACTGAATGGTATTTATCTTTCCTTGCCTGGCTTATTCCATTTAGCATAATGCTCTCCATTCCATCCATGCTATCGTGAAGGGTAGGAGCTCCTTCTTTCTTTCTGCTTTGTAGTATTCCATTGTGTAAATGTACCACAGGTTTTAATTGAAATCTCTTTTCTGAAACCACATCATTAATGCAGCTTTGGTGGTTGAGTTTAGAATACACATTTTCTGGCTAAAATGGTTTCATCACTTACTAGTTCTTCTGTCTGAGGCTTGCCCCTACAGCACTGTCCTCTGCCAAGTGACACATGGCATTGTTTCATAGGGTTTCATGTGCATATTTCTAAAATTCTTTCCTCTTCTCTGTACCATGGTGATAATGTGATGACCAAAAGCTTGATGTCTATAGAGATTCTAAAGTGTGTGATAAAGGTTCTATTGAAAGAGAGACAGGGGTTGTCTTTGATAGTGCCCTAATAACATAGCAAAATTTATTACCTAGTTTTACCTCCAGGTTTCCTATGTGATGGGTTTTAAATAGGGAGGTTAGTATGCTATGCCTTTTTACTTGACTCTTAGGTATTGATAAAATAGGAAAATAATTTAGGAATGTAAAGTCAGTAATAATAGCATTTTATACTCATTTAACTTACTGTTACATGGCATATGATACTCTTTATGAATTATTACCATTAGAATTTGAGAGTAATAAAATATAAACTATAATATTGGGGAAAATCTCAAGAGTTGCCTTTTTCAGTAATGGAATGACTTTTACAACAAGATAACTATAGAATTGATTTACTTGTGCTGTGTTGAAGTTGTTTGCGGGTTCCTTTTTTCTTTCAGTGAGTTAGAACTGTGCTGAATAAGCAGGGTCTTAAATGTTCAGGTAACTCCCTCGTCACATTCCTAAATGTAGTAATTCACACCCACTCTTCAGTAGAAATGCTTGGTATGCTTGATACACATTTATTATACCAAAATTCTTCTTAGGGAGTTTATAAAGAAAAAATGGGCTTGTTCTTTTATTATATGTCTTATTTTTAAACTTTTGCTATTGAGAATAATTAAATCTCTGAATAAAGAGGCATATAAGACACATGGATTACTTAAAGGATTGCATGTAAGTAGCCAACCAAGGAGTCCTAAGGCTGGCTCCTAGCAGAGGAAAGTAGAAGGGAATCTGGTGAAGCAGGAGTTATTTATGAGACCTTTGCGAACGTCCCTAGGTCATACCTTTAGGGATGCATGGGCAATGGGACTTACCGTTTCCCTTTCTGGCAAAAGGAGGGTCATAGATCTCTTCCTCTCTGCCTTTTCCTTTCCTTGTTTTCATGAACACGGAACAGACTGAGTAGTAGGATTTAAGAAGAAGACCCTCCTGTGCATGTTCTTACTATCACTGGCAGGTATTTCAGTGGCAGGTTAGAGGTTTAATTAACAGATAACCTGAGAAGATTGGTGGTGAGTGAAGGAGGGGTAAAGAAGTGAGGGCGAGCAGTCCCATGTCAGTATAGGTGATATGGGTAGCTTTTCCAGGGGAGCTGTGTTGTGGGATTGGCAATTCTTATTTATAGGAAGAAGAGAGCATGCTCTGCAACAGGTAATTCAGAGGAAGGTGAGAGATCTGGGAGTGGTTCAACATCGCGCTTTGAAGAAGAAAAGATAACATGTAGACCAGGCTTCCGAGGGACAAGGGTGGAAAAAGAGCAGGGATATAGAAAGGGAGGTGACCAAAAACTCAAACTACGTACAACTCTGCTGCCTCCCTTCTCTAAATCTTTTCTCAGTTCAAAGGAAAGCTGCCATTAAAGGTCTTAGGAAGCTCCACCCACTTCGTACTCTGTTTTATTCTGCCATAAGTGACATTAGAATACAGTCATGTGTCTTTGGCAAGCGAATTGACTGTAATAAATTGGACAGTCTTTGAGATAGGGATAACAAGAGACTCTTGACCGAATTGGTTAGGTGCTGAATTGTATGTTAGGCATAATATAGTGTAGGCATATATGAGGGGGGACTCCCCCCATAAAACAGGAATTAACTTCCAGAGGGCAGGCGCCTCGTAGTACAGGCTTTCCCCGCTAGATGAGTGTTCTACCATTTGGTGGCGTTGTGAGAGGCTGCATTCAGCTTTAGAGAAAATTTTTGAAGATCCTTTCAATGCATTTGCCCTTGTCACGATGGGTGATTTATAAGCACACCTGGTGCTGAGTTTGGCAGTTTTTTACCAAAAACTGTATGACACCTGTGCCCCATCTTCTCTATTCATCTGATCTCACCCCGAGTTACTTTTTTTTTTATTTCCCTGAGTGAAAAAATCCTCAAGGGGAAACTTTTTGCCAATGTGGAAGAGGTGAAACAAAACAACCCCCCCCAAAAAAAACCCTGGCAGAACCTCTAAAAGACATAAAATCAGTGAGTTCAAAAACTGTTTAGAGCAGTGGGAAAAACATCTCAGTAGGTATATTGCATCAAATACAGAATACTTTGAAGGTCACTGAAGTTTAAACATAAGACAAGTAGATGATTTTCTAAATAAATAAATTGTGGTTTTTGAGGAGTCCCTTCTTGTATACAACATCAGTGAGGCATCAAGCAGACGAGCAAATGAATTACAGTGTCCTGCTCTCAAAAGATCTGGTTTAGTAGCCAAAACCGGATATACAAAATTATAATTGCAATACTAACAGGCTGTGATAAACACCATATAAAAAGTACAAAAAAGCCCTGGCTGGTGTAGCTCAGTGGATTGAGCACAGGCCTAAAGGATCGCGGTTCGATTCCCAGTCAGGGCACATGCCTGGGTTGCAGGTCAGTTCCTGGCAGGAGACGCATGAGAGGCATCCATATATTGATGTTTCTCTCCCTCTCTCCTTCCCTTCCCCTCTAAAGACTAAAAAAAAAAGTACAAAAAAGAAAGTAATTCTAGTAGGTGGTGGTAGTGATGAGAATGGGGAAATACAGTTTGTGAGATAATCTCTCAACTGACCTTAAAGGATAAGTAGATTTTTGACAACTAGAGATACAGAGGTGAAGTGCAATGCATGAGTGATATTTGGATTGAGTAGTTCAGAATGTAAGCTAGACAATATTAAAGCAAGTTGTGGAAATTATATGAAAAGGTCAACTGAATGCAAGTTTAATATAGGCTGTGAATATTAGACTTGGATATAGACTTTGAGTGTTGATGAAGACCCACTGATATTTCTTGAGGAGAAAGGTTTAACTAGGGCTCTAGTTTAGTTGTATTAATGTGCTGAGCAGTCCAGATTAGGGAGTAGAGAGACTGAGGCAGTAGGCAGTTGAGAGGGGTCTGTGATTACCAGAGGTAATGTGACCTGAACAGGGATTGAGATGGTGGAAATGGAAAGAAAGCGAAGACATTTCAGAGACTCTCTGCCAGGAGTCTGCAGCTGTGCTGCCTACACACTTTGTTATATGGTATAAAGAGTCGGAAACTGGTTTCGAGCCAGGTGGGGAGAAAAGATGATCCTAAGTGTTAACTAAAGGTTTGTAGTCTGGCAGTGCTAATGATAGAAACAAAGTGGTTGGGAAGAAGAGTGGTTTTGTCTTGCATGTATTAGAAATGTGGAGATGGGCTCAGAGGGCTGGGCAAGTAGAGTATGTTGGAGAGAGCGCGAGAGGAAGATCACATATGTTTGTATATTCTGACATATTAGTGGAACAGACATCAGAAAGACGAGATTTCTACCCTGATTCTGCTGTTAACTAGCTGCAGATCCTGGGTTAAGACATACACAGATTTTTGATGTGTGGTTGGGCATTCAAGTAGGCAGAGGGCTGACGTAAGTCGTATTTGGATTTTCAATAGCAGTCGGAGCAGCAGTCAATAGCAGCAGGAGCAGTCGGCAGCGCTAACCCTAAGCTGTTCAAGGGTCAAGTGTATACTTTTCCCAGGACTCTTACTTCATCGTATCCATTGTGAGACACTGGCTGAATGATCTTCTAATGGGTCTTCTCCCATTCTAAAATTTCATCTTTTGTGTTGTTTCTGTAACATTCAGATTCTCAGATTAAGTTAGCATCATCACTTGTGTCAAAAGTATGTTAAAATCAGCACTAGCTAAAGTCATACTTTCTTTCCACTTGAATTGTACTCAACTTTTCAACCATCCTTCACTGATGTGTACTTACCTGGTACTCACTAGATGTACTTGCCTGGTTGGAAATTCATTGTTTACAAACATCACTGTAACATATATGTAAACTTGATATATTTTAAATTGGCCTCTTGAGTTTGCATGTGCCAGGGCTTGAAAAAAAATGGAATTAAGTCTAATAGGTGAATTTTAGCTCTGATCAAAGTGATTCAGATTAAGATTGTATTACTTTACTTTTTTTTTCTTCAAATATCTGATACTTTGTACATTTTGTGTCTCAGGTTCACTAATGTATTTAAATGAAGCCACACTTCTTCATAATATCAAAGTTCGATACAGTAAAGACAGAATTTATGTAAGTATTTTACCTATGATTTAAGTTTTTGTTGGTATAATTGTTTTACATGCTACTGTTTGATTTTGTCAAGCTTGACATTTTCTAATAGGAAATCATATTTGATCTGAGTGTGATCTCCTTGGGGATAAGATTTTTTTTTCTAATTTACTGCTGTAACTCCAGGGCTTAAAACATGCACGGTATGTAGTAGGCATATGGCAGATATTTGTGGAATAAAATAGTGAGTTCAGAACATCATCTGGTATCTTTCAGACTTAAAAACATTTCAGTTTTTATTTTAAAAAACATTTTGGATTTTTATTTTTGATATATGTCTGTAGATCTGTTTAATTAACTGACTTTTCACATAGTTCTGCAAAGAATTTAAGGTATTCTAAAAGAAATATATAGTAAAGCTAAAATCTAGGACGACTAAAAAATATCAATGATAATACAAGCAGTACCTAAGGAAATAATCAAGAACACAGAAATGCTGACTCTATAGCCTAAGTAGTTGCAATATGTCATTAAATTCTAAACATATAACTTACCTTAGAATCCAGAATATTAAAAAAATGACAGAGTATGCTTTTAATGTAACTAGATTTGCACTAAGTCATTCAAATAGACAATTAACTAGTTTGCTTTTTAACTCTGATTATTCATTGGGCACATTAGAGATTTTATTCTAATATGACCTAGCTGTAGGTTCTTTTATTAGCTGGAGGTGAATTACCCACTGTAGTTCGGTATTAAGGATAGGGCTCTTCATTATTTTTAAACGAAGAAAACACATGGCTTCTTTGATACCACCTAGATCAAGTGACAGCCTTAATATTTTATAACACTATCAATTTGCCTAATTGTACTTACTTAATTCTGACTAAATTACCTTTAGTCTTTGCCATCTGTCCAAGTAGTGACAGCTGGGAAATAGGAATAATCTAGTCTTTTCCAAAAGAGTTCACTTGCTATCTTTATATACACAGCATAGTTTTAAGTCTTTACTTTCCTTCTTTATTGCTTTCAAAATCAGCTGAATAAAGTGTATACTTAGATTGATATATGGTTATTCTTGATTAGAAATATATTTAGAAGCAAATTCACTCCGTCAGCAGACTGCTGTTTAGCATCTGATGTGTGCTAAATCCTGTTTTAGGTACCAAAATAATACAAGCTTTTAAAATTTGTTGAAGTAGTTTAACTTGTAATAAGTCAATAAAGTTGACTGGATATAACCAGAAAATATCATCTATGAAGTAGAATTGGCTATGTTTTTTTTCTTTACTTGTCTTGTATTACTTGGTGGTGGTGGAGCAATCTTATTTCACCAAATTTTTATTGAAATCTTTATTTTTGAAGTCAGAATATTTCTTACTAACTTTACAGAATCATGCTTTTTAAAAAATGAGATACTTTGTTTTTATTTGGGATATCCCTACAAAAGCTTAATACCCTCAGGATTCTAATTGGTATTTTAATGCTTCCCATGTTAACAGTGGTACTATACGTCTGACTCTGACCATTAGTAGTGAAGCGTTTGCATGTAGTATTAATTGCATTTTAAAAATTAGTTGTCTTTGGTTTTTATAAATTTTATTTTTGATTTTAGAAAGAGGGAAAGGGAGGGAGAGAAACATCAATGTGAGAGAGAAACATTGATTGGCTGCTTTCTGTACCTGCCCTGACTGGGGACCAAACCTGCAACCCAGGCATATGCCCTGACTGGGAATCAAACCAGCGACCTTTTGGTTTACAGGATGACTTACAACCAGCTGAGCCATTCCAGCTGGGGCAGTTGTCTTTTTCACATTGAGACCAGTTGACTAAATTGAATGGTTGCTAAAAATAATTATCTGCTTGTGAAATTTAAGTTTTTGTTTCTCATATATAATGTCTATATCACTCCAGAGATTTTTCAGGTTATTCCCAACTTTCTTGACCATCTGTTCCTAAGGCATGTATGCAGTTGGGCATATGACCTCTGTTAGATAGTATCTGGCATCATCAGCTCCTGTTTGCAGAACCAGTATTTTGAAAGTTAACTGAAGCCAAGATTGATGTGTTTTTTCCTAACCAATTATGCCTTTTAGTTACAAAGCCATTAAAATTAACCATATATAAATATCGTTATTATTAGTATAATATATGTGAAAGAAGGAAACAATTTGGAATAAGAGTTTAAATTTGATATTTTTATATTTCTCATCAACCAGAATTATCACTATTTTCCCTTAGACTTGAGTATAACTAATAGCTAACTTACCTTGACATTTTCATTAGTTATTAAAATCTCTATTACTTTCCTTTGTCTCCTGTAAAAAGGTTATTTTCTAGAATTTCTTACTTTTTACCCGACTCCAGGAAACATTTTTGGGAGCCTTCACTGAATTTTAGATTAGTAGTCTGAGAGTTTAGGGTTTCCCCATCATTTCCCTTCCATAGTTAGGTGTAGAAAAGAGAAAAATGTGGTCCTTTGTGTCCTAGCTTGACCAGTAAACCACAACTAATTGCTAACTCCCTTTCTACCCACAAGGAATCTTATAAACCTTATGGGTGAATTTTTTAAAATCCTCTTAAAGCCACAGTTAAATTCCAAATTTAAAGGCAAACTTCAGTTGTTCATTAAACATTTAGCACATTAATATTCTAGGTAATAGTTAGCATATGTTGTTTTGTAAAATCTGGGACGAAGTGGTCACCACAGAACTAAATTAGTTCCTGTCATTCAGTGATTGGACTAGGCCTAGAGCATCCTATGAACTAAATCAAACTCTTTAGTAATGGGGTGAGTAAAATAGTCTAGATGAGTAATATAAATGACCAAACCTTGGGCTGTAGGAATAGACCTGGGAGAGTAGGTTTCATAATAAGCATCAACAGAAGAAGGCCATTGAGCTAGAGGCTTTGGGACTCAGCTCTCTGTCTGTGATGACTTGGTGGCGATATCATGAGCCTGCAGAGCATGTGAGAGGGGAAAGTTTTCTTCTAGGCAAAGAGAAGTCAGGAAAAACAGTCTTGATTTTGGATGTGTTGAGTTTGAGATGACTGTGGGATGAGAAGATGTATTTATTAAGATGTATTAGAGAAATATGGGTCCTGTAGAGATCAAGGTATATTTTGGGGTAGAAATGCAGATTTGGGAGTCCTGGTTATATAGAGAATGGGAAGTATTGATTGCTGTTTTGTTTCTCCTGTGAACCTTGCTTGGTTTTAAATGAAAGTATAATTAGAAATTTTTATACTTCTGTTCAGACATATGTCGCCAACATTCTGATTGCGGTGAATCCATACTTTGACATTCCTAAAATATACTCCTCAGAAACAATCAAGTCGTACCAAGGAAAATCTCTTGGGACAATGCCACCTCATGTCTTTGCAATTGGTGAGTGATTTCATTGCATCATAGTTTTTTTCCCTTACATTATACAAATTTACTCAGTTTTTTGTGGGTAAATAGAAGATACCATGAAGTGAATATGTATTTTGGAGAGCCTGTATGCATTTTGAAGTTGTCGCCATTATTAGGAGCCTGTATTTTACAGATTTTAGGAAGAATACTGTAAAAATAGTCTTCCTTTTAGGAAAAATACCTTTACAGCCAAATCATGGGGCAGTATGTCATTATCTTTATTAAGTGCCTGTGTCCACTCAGTTGAAAGTAGGACATAATAAAAGCTGACCTCATGGTTCTTTTTGACTCAGCACAATCAGCTCCAGCCTAAAAGTGTCCTCCTTTATAGCTTTGAGGCCCAGCCAGGCCTTCTGCTGTCCCCCAGGTCATCACTTGTGAGTATGTCCCTTGGGCCAGACATAAGCTGTAAGAGCACATGTCTTCCAGGCCTTATGTGCATCAGGACTTTATAAAATTTAAAGGGCTGAAAACGGTGTGTGCTTCATATCCCTGGGGAATCTGTGTGGGAGGTCAGCAGTGTCTGTCTTTGCCTTTCTCAGGCTCTATCTCATCTTTATGAACTTGTAGCTCTGAGGAACAGAGAGATGGAGTTACTGCCCCCAACTCCCAGGCTGATAACTGCAGATATAGAGATGTTAGCTAACTCTTTCAATCCAGACATAACCAGGAGTTAAGTGATGACATGTTTTGGTCCTGATTCTTAGTGCAGCTGTGTCTCTTTGGGCTTTCACTCCATGCCTGTGTTTTGGCCTAATCAGGCTTCATGCACTTCCAGATTTAGCTGACTTGTGTGTACTGGGTACTGTTGTGCAGACTGAGTATGTTAGCCAAGGCCAGTGCAACAGCAGGTTGACCTTTGATTCCAAGATGCTGTGACAGGCATTGGTGTGTTTTCTATCAGCTACCAAAATGGTACATAATCCTTAGAACATAAAAGTGAGCAAGCATTTCACTGGAGAGAAGTTAACATGTTTAAAGTAAATAAACTGGCTTTTATTTTTAGTTGTTTACTGCTAAGAAGATATTTATAGTGATTCCACAAAAGTCGGTGGAAAGATGGCTGAAAAATTGGTCATGAGGATGGGTATTCACTTGCAAGTAGTTTGCCTTTGGTCCTTAGATAAAAGCCATTTGTAAAGCCTTCTTCATTGGTGGGGGTGTCGTGTGTCTGAGGTGAGAAATAGTTGTCTTCATAGGACTAAATTGGCTGGGGTTCAATTTTTAATTAAAATTGTTTTTTTTTAATTTTTTTATTTTTAGATTTTATTTATTTATCTTTAGAGGGGAAGGGAAGAAGTGTGGGAGAGTACATTAATGTATGGTTGCCTCTCATGGGTCCCCCGCTGGGAACTGGCCTGCAACCCAGGCATGTGCCCTGACTGGGAATTGAACTGCAATCCTCTGGTTTGCAGGCCCATGCTTACTCCACTGAGCTACACCAGCCAGGGCTAAAATTGTTTTAATTTGAGACCACTTTAACAGAATTAAATCATACTCAACTTATTAGTGTAGTTTCAAAATTTAAGACAGTTTGTAGCATAAGTTGTTGGAGTATAATGAAGATAATTAAAAATTATATGTATACATAATTGTGAATCTGAATAAATTAAAGCAGTTAATTTTGCTTATTCTTGAAATGCTGATAAATATTGTAAGGTATTTAAAATTAATAGTATTAAAAAAACACAGTTCTTTTTTGCAATTATGTATTTTTTTCTTCCAGAAGAATTTTTGGTTACCAGATTTTTTTTTGGTTTCTTAATTGATACTGTGTTAATTTTTCTCTGAGGACTTCATTAGTTATTCATAGTAAGCATATTTTATCTCTGCAGATCTTCTCTGGTACTGGGAGAAACTGAGCCACAGCTCATAGTATGGAGACATTTTAAAACAAACATAAAAGTTGTTTGGCTTTCATATTATTTAGCTGTCAGGATAATAAACTAGCCATTTAAAGTAAATACTTTAGGAATGTTTTGATACTTCTGAATGATTTTATTTAAAAATTCTACTAACTGTTATCACACATTTATAATTTATTTAGTAGCAAGTTCTCCTTCATAATAAATGAGTTATCTGTCACTTACTAAATCTTTATTTAATGCATTCTCCATCATTAATGTGTTATTTTGACCCCAGCTGATAAGGCTTTTCGAGACATGAAGGTGCTCAAGATGAGTCAGTCCATCATTGTATCTGGAGAATCAGGAGCTGGCAAAACAGAAAATACAAAATTTGTTCTAAGGTGAGAAATACTTAGGTCAGCCAGAATAATTTAAACAGGTTTATGTATTTTTATTGAGGTAAAAATGTGTAATGGAATTTATATATTAACCATTTTTAAGTGTACAGTTCAGTAGTGTTCGGTTCACATTGTTTTTCAGCCAATCTCCAGAGCTTCATGTTGCAACACTGAAACGAGATTCCTGTTAAATGGTTTCTCACTTCCATCTCCCTCAGCCCTTGACGACCACCCTTCTGTTTTCTGCTTCTATGATTTTGATTGTTCTAGATCCTCTCATATAAGTGAATCATACAGTGTTTGTCTTTCTGTGACTGGCTTATTCCACTTAGCATAATGTCTTCAAGGGTCACGTATGTTGTAGCATGAATCAGAATTTCCTTCCTTAGTAAGGCCAGATAATATTCCATAGTATGTATTTATCAAATTTTGTCCATGGGCACTTGGATTGCTTCTTGTGACCTCTTAACTCTTGTGAATAGTGCTCCTATGAATGTGTTATGAACTAAGATACAGATATCTCTTTGATATTGATTTTAACAGGCTGACTTTGAATTCTTTTGCGTGTTTTATGACACAGTTTAAAATAAGGGGCTTTATCCCTTTGAAAAAACAGACATCTTGGACTTCTGCCAAGATGGAGGCATAGGTGGAGACACCGTGCTTTCTCATACAACCAAGTTTAGAGACAATAAAATATTAGCAACAGAAAAAATAGCCAGAACACAGAAAATCGAACTTTTTGGAAGTCTGGCAACAACGAATGCTTCAGCCGGACCGGCGCAAACAGACCAAAAATGGCTCAAGAAGATCTCAAAGCCCTAGAGCCCATAACTCTAAAAGATGAAGAAATAGCAAAACTTTCAGATGCACAGTTCAAAACACTGGTGATCAGTATGCTCACAGAACTGGTTGACTTTAGTTACAAATTAGAGGAACATACGAAGGTTAAACTAATTGAAATGAAAGGAATTGCACAGGAAACCAATAGTAATGAAAAGGAAACTGGGACTCAAATCAAGGGAGTGAACTAGAAGGAAGGAAAAAATGACCAAACAGGAAAATATGAAGAAACAAAAATTCAAAAAAGTGAGGAGAGTCTTAGGATCCTCCAGGACATCTTTAAACGCTCCAACATCCGAATTATAGGGGTACCAGAAGGGGGAAAGGAAAAGCCACCAGTGGAAAACTTATTTGAACAAATAATTAAGGAGAATTTCCCCAATCTGGCAAAGGAAATAGACTTCCAGGAAAGCCAGGAAGTTCAGAGAGTCCCAAAGAAGTTGGACCCAAGAAGGAACACACCAAGGCACATCATCATTACATTAGCCAAGATTAAAATGAAGGAGAGAATCCTAGAAGCAGCAAGAGAGAGATAAGGGGACAGTCACCTACAAAGGAGTTCCCATCAGAGTGTCAGCTGATTTCTGAAGAGACCTTACAGGCAAGAAGGGGCTGGAAAGAGGTATTCCAAGTCATGAAATCCAAAGACCTACAACCAAGATTACTCTATCCAGCAAAACTTTCATTTAGAATGGAAGGACAGATAAAGTGCTTCTCAGATAAGATCAAATTCAAGGAGTTCATCATCACCAAGCCCTTATTATATGAAATGTTAAAGGGACTTATCTAAGAAAAAGAAGATAAAAAATAAGAACAGTGAAAGGACAGCAAACTCACAGTTATTAACAACCACATCTAAAACAAAAGCAAACTAAAAGGACAGCTAGATCAGGAGCGGAAACATAGAAATAAAGATTACATGAAGGGTTAGCAACAGGAGTGGGAAGAGGAGAAGGGGGGAGAAGGTACAGAAAATAAGTAGCATAGACAGTAAATAGAAAATAGATAGGGGGGAGGCCAAGAATAGTAAGGGAAATATAGAATCTAAAGAACTTGAGACACATGGTCATAAACTAAAGGGGAGGAATGGTGGGGGAGGGGTGTGCAGGGTGGAGGGGAATGAAGGGGGGAAATAGAACAACTGTAATGGCATAATCAATAAAAATTTTAAAAAAAAAGAAAAGAAAAAACAGACATCTTATGTGGAAGCTAAGCCATAGATTGAAAACGATTTCCGACCTTATTTTCTTGAGGATACTGGAGGAGATCAGTGCTGGTTGGTCCTTCAAAATCCAACCTTTACGGGTTGTCCCCGATATTCCCCTGCTGTTGGCATGGTTGAAACCCTTTTCTACATAAAGCTTATGACGATTGGCCTTATTTCTACCTCCTCACAACCCTCCTTCCAGGAAATTCTTTTTGCAGCTATCAAATTAAACTCTTTACTTTGTTTAACATCATAGCATTTTAAATACTTCTTAGAGTTTAAAACTTTCAATTTACATCCTTATAAATGGGGATGTAAAGTCTAGTGTTGAAGCTACTACTGGGACCAGGGAGTGCATTCTGAATTCTCACCAGTGTTGTTCTCACTGTGTTGTTACACTTCTTAGTTGATTGCTGCACGGTCAGTCTCTTAATTCAGTTTTTCTTTTTTGTGCAAATATATATATGCTATTTAGAGTTATTTATGTGTTACCAATTTGAGTTTGTTTTTGCCTGTTATGCATATGCATTTCTGCTTAAATGAATGTTTCCTAATACTCTTGGAATTCTAAGTTGTTCAATTTCTTTTTCTCCTGTATGTAATAGTCATAATGAATCTCTGGTTAATATACATCTTTGAAAATGAACACATAATTAAGAAACTATAAATGTATAGTGTAAACTTATATTGTAAATCCGAGGTTACTCTGTTTTGAAATGTGCCAGGCAAGTAGTTGTTCTATCATGTTTTATCCTGCACTGCAGCAGCACGAAGAGCGGTAACTTCCTAGTTGTTCAGTGGCGGATCAGTGTGTCTTTGCCTCCATAAAGATTGAATTACTAGGCTGTTACAAAAGGCTTTGGAATCTCGTGCAGAAATGGATACTCCTGTGTGAAGTGTGTGGTGTATTTGAAACTCAGTAGTTGGGTACAGTGAGATTATTTCTCAAAACAGTTTAAAAAAATGCTGATTTAGATGTTCAGGTCAATCCAAATAGAATTTTAAATGTTTAAAGAGTTATAACAGAATAATTATATTTAAATATAAATCTGTAATTTTTAAATAACCAGTTACTACATTGATCCAGATTCAAATTTGACGTGTTAAACAATATTAAAATTATAATGTGTACATTATTATTGTCATCTAAATTTTTATATCCTATATTTTAAACAGATATCTGACTGAATCCTATGGAACAGGTCAAGACATTGATGACAGAATTGTGGAAGGTATCGTTAATTTTAAAAATTCTTATTTTATATTAGGTATATACGAGAATCCTCTTAAGTGGTCTGGAATGTTCTCCTAGAGATCTAGAAGACTCTGTCTTCTACTAATCTTTGCTCAGTTGTCATGTTCTCTTTCACTTAATGTCTGTTGTTACCCCTCCCCTCCACCAATGTAAGTGCTAAGAGGACAGGAATTTTTACATACTCCAGACCCCTGGAATAGTCCCTGATACATAGTGTATGCTCCATAAATATCTGTTGGATGAATGAAAGAAATCCAGGAAACTCTTTGGCCTTCTGTTTTTACCTTGCTGGTTTTTTAAAAAAGAGAGAGCAAGAGAGTTATTCGGAATTGAGATACTTTTTTTTGCAAAATCATTTTAACAGAAGAGTACAATTGGAAGATGAGAATCTATAAATTGATTTCCCGAAGCTCTATGCTTGAATATCCTTAGAAACCCTCTTTGTACCCCAGTTTGGAGACTTCTGGTCTAGGCTCACCATCACATTGAATCTGTACCACCCTTCTCCATCATACATTCCTTTCTGGTCTCACCACTTAACTGTACTTTGCTGTGTATAATGTGCACGTTTTTGCCCACATTTTTGAGGGAAAAATAAGATGTGCATCATATCATACATGGGTAGTTCTAATTTTGTATCTATATAAATGTTACTGATTCTGTAATTTATGCTTATGTGTTAAAAATGTGACTCGGGAAAACAATAGTGATATCTGTGTGCAAAATGATAACCTGGAATGTGATCATAGATTTTGTTTTTAAATATTAAAAAGTTGAATTAAAAAATTAAAACAAAAGGTTATTTTCCTGAAAGTGTGGGGCAAAAACATGGTGGCACATTATACATGGGAGTGTGTTATACATCGCCAAATAAAATCGTGGTTTCCTTGTAGTTTATTAGGCCGTTCTGGACACTCTTCCTCCTTCCGCTTTCCTCATTGTCCCCTACTAGGCACTCAGTAAGTGTTTTAATAATATTGATGATATTAACATAATGTGGGATGTATTGGGCATTATCTGGTTTGCTTAATATCTGTGTGTAACTTAAATCTTAACAGAATGAGGTAGGTACTATTTTATCCCTACTTTACAGATAAGAAACTGAGGTAGAAAGAATTTAAATAATTTGCTGAAGCCATATGGCATGTAAGTTCTGGAAGTGAGATATAAACCCAGTCATCTTAACTATCTGCTATATATACTATGTAACACTATATATGTACTATATAGATGCACTATAAGTGCATCTTTTAACATTCTTGACAATTTAGTGAAGAATTTCAGTTGAACAGCAGTGAATTAAGGGCCTTCTGCATTCATGCATTTTGCTAATAAATATTTTTAAAGTGTGCATCAATAAGGTTTTATATATTTTTGATATAAACAACTTGTTAGTTTTACTTACAATTCTCATGGTGATATTATGACACACCCAGGTATGAAGATTTCATAAGTAGTTCTATATTCATTTTAAAGTACCTACTTTAGTGAGGAAATCACCCTTTAAAGTTGAATAAATAATAAAAAACAAATTATGGGTTAACTCAATAAAATACTGACTAGTATTCTGATTTGTTTACTTGAGGTGCAAACTTGCTTGAGAAATGAATATAAGTCTGGTTTCTTCCATGGTGTATTGTTGAGAAAAGTTAGAAGGTATTATTTCAAATGTTTCTAATGCCCTTTACTACAGGATAGTAGATATTAACTGGAAGGACATAGAAATCTTTTGATGGGAGTGACTGTATCATTAATAGCATTAATATAATTTTCTGATGGAGAGGACCTAATGCTATTTTTGGATACTTTATTTATATATTAAATCTTTCAGTAAAAACTGGTAATGGAGTCAGGGAAACCTGTAAGTAAGTCCCTTTTTTGTCAGTAGCCAGTTATGTGGCCTTCCACGAGTCAGTTGACCTTGCTGGACATCAGTTTTCTTGCCCATCTGAAAGATGGGGTACATGTGCTGACACTTCTTTTGGCTTTACATATTTTCTCACTTATCTTGAGAAAAATAAGAAAAAACTGAGGAGTGATCTTTAAAAGGGTACAGAGACTAAGTAAGCTTTCTGCTGTGGATCAAACAAGAGAAATGGACTTTAAAAGGTTTCATAAAAAATATTCTAGCAGTAGACGTTGTGAAGCAGTTTGTGAGGTTGATAGAGGACATGAGAATAACATTGACACTGGTATGTTTATAGCTGAGACTCGTGAATGCAAGAGTGGATGCTAGTAATCTTTTTACAGTCGTGTGGATGTGTCTGATTATAAAATAAAAACAATTAAAATTTACATTTGTTCATTGGGATTTGAAAACTATTGTTCTTAGAACCTTTGGTAGGTAATTCTGTAGACTAGTTTGTTTTGTTGGATGTGCTTGTAAAAATGGTAAACCTGGAGGTTTTAATTCATGTATAAAATATTTTAGACAAGTCAACTAGTAATCTGTTGCTTGTAATTTGTCACGAGGTTTGCTGATTTTTGTATTATAATTACTACTCTAGTAGGGCTGATATACTTGTGAAAATCTTAACATTTTTAGGGAGAAATTTTAAAAGTTGAGTTACAAATTTTGTAACCTAGTTACCTAAAATTTAATCTTTCTATGAAATTTACATTTTTAATATATTTTAAGTCATTTTCCCATCTTGTATGTTAATAAGGCATGAGTATAATGGTAGTCAATAAATATTTGTGGGATTTGACATTACATCTGAATTTTTATTGTTGATATTTTAAAGAACTTTTTAAAGTTATATTGTTTTGTAAATTTTCTTTATATGATAATTTTTTCATGGAATATTTTCATTTCTTTTTCAATAGCTAACCCACTCTTAGAAGCCTTTGGAAATGCAAAGACTGTTCGCAACAATAATAGCAGTCGATTTGGAAAATTTGTAGAAATACACTTCAATGAAAAGGTGAGAATGAGTTTGGGAATGATATGGTTGGGAGGGTTTTTGAAAAATACAAGGGTCTTGATAGAATTGGTGCTGTTCTTGACCTCATGGTAAATTTCTTTAAGTTTCTCTCTGTTACTTTAGGTAGCTGGCAGAATATATATGTTCGCTATGACCTCTGTAGACACTTTAAACTTACATTTAATGATCTGTTTTTCCCCTTTATTTGATGTATAATTACAACCTTTTTGACAGGTATTTATTAGATGAGATAAATACTTTAACATTTGTAGGTTATACTTTAAAGCTGAAATGCAAAAATGTGTTTTCTCTCTTTTGTTTTTTAGAATTCAGTTGTTGGAGGATTTGTTTCACATTATCTTCTAGAGAAATCTAGGATCTGTGTTCAAGGAAAAGAGGAAAGAAATTATCATATCTTTTATAGGTTGTGTGCTGGTGCTTCTGAGGATATTAGGGAAAAACTTCATTTGAGCTCCCCAGATAATTTTCGGGTAGGTTGAATAAAAACATTTCATACAAGATTTGCAAATTGAATTGCCTTCAATTATAAAACTAATTTTAGTGGATTTTGATAGTTTTATGTAACTTACATTAAATTTAGTGTAATGTGATGAAATGTCTTTTGTACTAAGTAGATCTGGGATTCACTGCTGACTTTATGATACTATATGGGAATTATGTAAGGGAACTGAAAAAAGGGTCGATGTTAAACCCATTATCAATTTAAGCTCAATAAGAAATTTATAATAGTTTTGTAATGCTGACTTTAAAGTTACCTTTTTACTTTTGTAAAAAAAAAAGTTTGACCACTGAGTTAATATCAATAAAGTACCCATGATTCTCTTCCTTAATTCAGTTCAAAAACAAATATTTATTGCTTGCTCAGTGAGTGTCAGATATTGTGCCAAGGTTAAAAAGATAAATGAGACATCCCCCCACACACAGAGTCTAACTGACGTGTTGGAATAATAAAAAGAGGTGAGCATAGGATGCTGTGGGTTTTGGAAAAGCTTACTGGAACCACTGATGCTTGATCAGAATCCTGCAGTACTTTCAAGTGTTAACTAGAGAAGGAAAGGTGCAAAGGGTATTTCTGGTAGATGCAAAAAGATGAGCAAAGAAAGGCAGAAACAGTGGGGCAGGAAATGGTAGGAGGTGAGGCTTGAGAGGTTGGACTGACTTCTGTAGTTAACAAGGAGCTATTGAAGGGCTTTATGTAGACAGCTGGATATCAGGTCTATACTTACTTCTGGCTTTAAAATTGAATTGGCTTTAAGGGGTACAGAATGGGATGGATCGAAATGGCAACCATGGGTAAATTGCTTGGGAACCTATGGCCGTAGGTTCAAGTAACAATTGCTTAGTGCCTGAATTTGGTTTATTGATTGGAAGAATGTGCAGAATATTAGGAGATAATATTGATTGGACATGGAGACTGACTATGGGAGAAGGGACTCCTATAGAGAGAAGGGAGAGTCTGGAATAATTATCCAAAGTTTGACTAGGGAAACTAGATAGATGGAAATGCCATACTGGGACCAGGTAGAAGATTTAGCATATAGGATGAGTTCAGTTTTGGAACCTATGGCTCACCTGAGCAGACATGTTTAGAAGACCAGTATGTATACTAATCTGAAGTGTCAGTACTAGAATGTCAGGCTTGGGAGGTGCCGGTGTTCTGGTGGTAGATAAAACTATGACAGTGAGTAGATGAGATTGTTCAGAGAGATTGCATGATATAGAAAAGCAAAGGATGATCAGATACAAGTTGCCCAAGAAAGATAGCTCCAGTGTAGTTGTAAGGGAAGTACAGGGAAAATCATGAGTGCCAAGAATCACAAGCCAGTTGAGTTTCAAGAAGTATAAACAGGGGATGGTCAACATAATTTACAAATTGTCAGCTATCCAATAGTGTCCCTATGAGGGATATAGGGGAGTTATGGGGTGGGGGTTAGGAGGGTTGGGAATGTAGTTTGTATAAACTTTTCCAGGTAACTTTAATGGCCCTCTTTGGACAGGAATCTTCCATTTGAGAAACATGACACACTATTATATATATATAAATTATTGTTCAGTGTGTGCATATTTGTGTTTGCAGCTCAGCTTCTCTTTATTTTTTCTATTAGTTTCTTTCAATGTGTACATGGAAAATTTTTAAATTTTATTGTTTTAAAATGCTGTATAACTGCATCTATTTATGTATTTCTAAAATGTCCAACCTTCTCTAGAACTCCCCAAATTAATAGGGACTTGCAGTTAGTTACCCACATTATCTTCATGAAGGTAGAAGAGACATATCTCTACAATGATTTTTAGAAAAGGAACATAAATTACTGTGAATAATATGAAATGTAATAATGATGATGTGGCTTTTTCCTCAGTGAGTTAATGGTAAAGTGATGAAATGAGGAGTCTTCAGAGCATAGTTTGTGCATGTCTCAGAATATGCTGTATTTCTTGACACAGAGGTGGGCGTCCTAAGAGTGCAGCTACTGAAATTCTTTATCAGGCCAGAGAGTGTCCTGCCTCTGTAGTGTGAGCTGGGAGGCGTGATTTCCTCTCTCATAAAGAATGTGTGTTAGGGAGACGAGAGGAATAGCATTAGCATTACTTTTCATCCAGACACAACTGCTGTCTCGGACGTTCCTCCCAGGCATGTGTACATGCATCTCTGTATTCCTTCCCCAAATGAGTATACCTCACAGTGATTTGAAAGTCTATTGGTAATGTCATCAGGCTTTTCTGAAGTTTACAGAAACTTTAGGTGAAGTTGTGAAGACAGAGAGGACCCCTGCTGCATGGTGAACACTTTCAAAGTACTTTTTTTTGTCATTGCTCTATCCAAATCAGTATGTAAAGAATTCTAGAGATACATGTGTTTAAGAAAAATTGTATTAACTACCCATGTATTTTGTAAAATAAAAGGTTTAAAATTCTTAGATTTTTCAAAAATTTCAAATATTTTCGCACATTTAATGAAACATTTCTTACAATCATGCAAAGATCCTTGAACATAAATAAAGCTTGGATAGAATGAGAATGGATGGCAAGAAGAGTTACAGCTTTTTATTTATAGAAAGGTAGGAATAAACAAGTATTTTTTATAGATTTTAATACTAAGCCAAAAGCCAAATAATAAAACAGTTGGGATGGGTGGATAAACCTCTTGCTAGCAAAGAAAACATATGCTTGGGCTCTGTATTTAAGCTACATTTATCTTACTAAATACTAGAGATCATTTTTGAAATAGTTAATTGAAAATGTTAACCAGTATTATTCCTTCTCTCTTCCCAAAGATTCTGGGATAGGAAAAAAACTCATTAATATTATTTTCTGGTTCTAACCAGTTTTAATACTTCATTATAATGGAGGGGGAAAGATAGATGGTTTGCTCATCTAAAGTATTCATTTACTCCAAAATTCAAAATTTACTATAATTTTTCTTGGTATCTATATGATGTCATATATTTAATCTTGGAATTCTTGCCATGATGTGTGGATACCTAGTGACCTGATTTAAGAGAGGGAGGGATGAGTTTTAAGATTTTCCTTTTTGTTCCTGGTGTACTTTCTTCCTGCCCCCTCCCCTTCCTCCCCAAAAGGTGGGTAACAGATTCCCTTTGAAACCCGTGCAGTGTTCTTTTCTTCTCTGCTACGATTTGATAGTTGAAAGCTCATGGCCTTTAAAAGGCTTCTGGGCAACAAAGTAAATGCTTGAGATAAAAGCTGTAATTGTTATTTGAATAACTATGAAGGTTTGTATAGCAAGTACTGTAATTTATGTATCATCATTGTTAACTGTCAATAAATATGAAAGGCATATTTTAGAGAACTGATTCTAAAAATCAAAAATTAAAAAAATTCAAGGGTATTTGTTAATTAGTTGGAATTTAAAATATTACTGGAAAAGTTAAACCACACTCTGTTGTTCTTTATTTGAGACTCTTTACATATTTAGTAAGAAGATGATTTTCATTATTATCTGTACTATGTATCAAGATATTTGACAATGGGAATATTTAAAATTACTGTCCTTTAAATATAGAAAAGCTTTATAGTATTGATTTTTATGTTAATCATTTAATTCAGTCTACCTCGATGAATTGGGATTTTTCACATCCCTGGTGTGATTAGTAGGAGTGAAATACTTATATAGAAATACCTATTTTAATTGAAAAATTGAGTGATGCTTAGGTTATGTTTAGAAATTCTTTATGATCAACACTATTTGGTAAGTTGTGTTGTCTTCTGTATTACTTTCCGGAGGATATTTGTTAATTACATTTTACATTTCTTTGTCATAGTATTTAAACAGAGGCTGCACTAGATACTTTGCTAACAAAGAAACTGACAAACAGATTTTACAAAACCGAAGAAGTCCTGAGGTATAGTAGACTATTTTTTAAAATTAAAATCTTTAATACAAAAATTTTTTTGCCTAAAGATACAGTTTTTATTTTGGAGCCCAAATAATATTTCTTACTTTTAGGCTTGTACTTATAATAACTAAAAATTCATCCAAGTCTCTTTGAGTGTATATAATACTTTACACCTGTGTTGGCATCTGCAGAAGCTGTAGGTTCCGGCTCTTCTTGGTTAGGCCTCAGTACACTGCCCCCTCTTGTTTTTTCCCCAGCATGAGGGTGGTGAATTGCCTAAGAATTATTGTTTGCTAATATTTTTGAAACTTACTCTCATATTACCCACTTGGGATTAAGTATAAAGTATGTCCTTTATCATTGCTTACTCCAAGGCAGAAATGAGCTTTGTGTAGATACTGTAGATACTAAGTGGAGTAAGCATTATTGTGTGTGAATGGATGCTTACATATTGTTGTATTTCTTTTCAAAACATATTTCTATAATATATCATAAAAAGTTTTATATATAGGTCTTACTAAATTATTACATTTGTAAGCATAATTATTTATAATTATATCATTAAATATTATTAAAAAACATTAAATCCTTAACCTAAAAATCTATAACCTTTATAAATTTAATATATAATGTTTAAGTAATATGTGATACTATATCTACTGAAGGAGCTTAAATTATAAAATACAAACCAGGATTAATTATAGTAACTAGTCATACTGTCTTTATTAATTTCATTAAAAGATTGACATTGAGTACTTTTTTTCACTTTTTTTTATTGTTGTTCAATGACAGTTGTCCCCATCCCCCCCCTACCCATCCCCCACCTCCCACATTCAGTCCTCCTCACCCCCATTGTCTTTGTCCATGGGGCCTTTATACATGTTCCTTGACTTGACCTTCCCTCCCTTTTTAAAAATTGTAATTGTTGTTCAAGTACAGTTTTCTGCCCTTTACCCACCCTATCCCCTTCTTAATTGAACATGTTTTTATTGTACTCAGTTTTCAATGCTCCTGTATTTGAGTGTCAGATGCTTTTGACTCCTTTCAAAATGAGTGAGACGAATTATGTCTTCATTATATTCACAGAAACAAAGCATATGAAAACTCTCATTTATTTTGAATTCTAAACAGTTAATTTTTAAGTTAACATTTTATCATTTTAAACACAGATGTCTGAATAATAAATTGTGAACTTTAGTTTGTTATGTCCATGGTTGCAGCTTTTAAGAAGTAACATTAATATTTATTATGGTATCTTTCTTTGTCATGGTAACCTGTGTTTTCATAAGGCATCATCAAAATACAGAAATTATATTCTTTCCACCAAGATAATGGAGACATTTCCTTTGGCATGGATTAACCTGAGTAAAGAGGAAAGAAAAACTGGATTTTACTCTTTAAAGAGTAGCATGTACTCTTGGTGCTCTCCTGTGATGAGAATGGCCTCTTTCTGACCCTAGTGTCAGCATACTTTGTTAAGAATGTGTTCATGTTATTGAGTTCATGTATAAAATATATAAGTGAACAATGGATTAATATGTCTAAATTACTTTCTATGTCGTCTTTATCAGGAGGATGAGGTGATCATTTTGACTAATTAGAATCCTTTGTCTTGTTCCATTTGAGTGTCTGTAAGCTGTGTATAACTTTTAGGAGAATGCAGCATTTTTAGTCTTCCATAAAGGCAATATATTCATTAATATTTGATTAGAAACAGTTTTTAAATGAAGTAACCATTCAATTACAAGACTAAAAATTCTGCATGCTGTGTGTTTTCTATTAACTTTGGCTGCATCTGAATGTTTCCTTTGCTTCTTTTAAGACTAAAATTAAATTTCTTTATCTAGACATTTTCCAGAACCTTCACACAAACATTAAACATTTTAAAGAATTCTGTGGAAAGACAGTCACAACTTCCACTGGGAAGGCCTTGCTGGAAACTGGGAAGAAAAGAAACATCTCCTAGAGGCATCTTTAATGGCCAATTACTTTTCACGCTTTATTACCTAACATTTACTTTTGTTTCTTCATTCTAAGGTTCTGGAAAATTCCTAGTCCAACCTTTCAGTGTCCAGTAACTTTTATTTTTCTCCCTTTAGTTTTACAGGTCTTTTTTTTTTCCTTTCCTGAGTTTGTATTATAGGTTCTAAAAAATGAATACTTAGATTGCATGTTCTGTTAGGAGAGAAAGAGAATTCTCTCTCTTTTCTGGAATGTTTTCAGTCATTGCATAAATTCTTAAGGTGAGCATAATGCTTACTAATACATTCTACCTCATGTATACTTATGCAGAAAGGTTTAAAAAATAATTCTCAGGCCATGAAAATTATTAGCTTGTTCACCATTTCCTAGTTTGAATATTAATACAGTTGATGACAGTTAATTTAAAAGAGTATAATGCCGTGTCAGATTTAAAAAATTTTTTACAATTTTTTTGCTCATTTTTGTTTTGACCTGTGGTATATGTCAATTCCGTTCAACCACTAGTATTCCATTCTTTTTACTCAGTTTTTGTTTTATCTAATACCTTAGCATTATACTGCTTAATTAATGTAATTTAATTGAAAAACATCCCATTTCATTCTTTGACAGAAATTTTTATTGAGATAATTATAGATTCATATGCAGTTAAAAGAAATTATGCAGAGATCGTGTGTACACTTTGCCTAGCTATTTAGTTTTTGATTGCTATAATACTAAAGTTTTTCCATTGACACAGTTTATTTTTGCATGTTATACAGTACATCAGTAGACCTCCTGTATTTTTTTTAGTATACTTAAATAATGTAAAGTGCAGTTAATTAATGTCTTCTTATTTTATAGTACCTTAAGGCAGGTTCCTTGAAAGATCCTCTGTTAGATGACCATGGAGATTTTATTAGAATGTGCACAGCCATGAAAAAGATTGGTTTGGATGATGAAGAGAAGCTTGATCTGTTCCGGGTAGTCGCTGGTGTCCTGCACCTTGGAAATATTGATTTTGAGGAAGCCGGAAGCACTTCAGGTGTTCTTGTGGTTTTTGTTTGCTTTGTTTGTTTTAAGGAGGAGTAAAAAGTAGTTCTATCATTTCTTTGTCATATGTAAATTAAATCTGTGCACAAGTTTGTTAATACCCTGGAATTTCTAGAATATGTATTACATGATGAATTATGAAAATGGAGGCTACACATTAGTCATTATAAGTTCTGTTTTGAAGAGGTTAGTGATACTGATGAGGAATGAACTCACTTTATGAAGGACAAGTAACTGACTGCAAGGGTCATATTCAGTTAATTTTTCAACTGATATTATACTCGCCTAATAAGTGAACAGGATAATTCTGCACCATCTGTTAAGGTATTCTGACATTTTGGGGGTTTATTAATTTAAATTTGGGTCAGTTAATTAGGGCAATTGAATACATAAAAGAAGCCCATATATTTTATTACTAGAAAATAAAAACAGGTTGAGCTTTATGCAGATTGAAAAGAGCATTTAAATGCATACATGATAATAACTTTTCAACTGTAGTGGTTTAGTCTTACATAAAGAATAAGAATTTTTATATACTTTTAAGTTTGTTCTCTGAATACAGGGATTGGCAAATACGGCCCATGACTCAATCTGACCAGCTGCCTGTTATTGTAAATACAGTGTGGTTGAACGTGGCCACACCCAGCTTACGTCTTGTCTGTTCCAGCTTTTGTGCTGCAGTGGCAGAGTTGAGTAGTCATGCCAGAGAGACTGTATGGCCAGCAAAGCCTGAAATCGGACACTTTAGAGAAAAAGAATGTCGACTCCTACATAAATACACTATTTAAAAATATTACACTGGCCCTGGCTGAGTAGTTGTTTTGGTCAGAATGTTGTCCTGATGCTCCAGGGTTGTTGTGAGTTCGATCCCTGACCGGGTGCATACAAGAATTAACCAGTGAATGTGTAAATGGGTGGGGCAGCAAGTCGATGTCTGTCTGTCTCTCTCTCCCCCTTTCTCTAAAATCAATCATTAAAAAAATCTTACACCGGGTTAAGAAAATTTTAAGCATCATTTGATATTATAGTCAATAACATGGGCATTGGTATCAGATCCCAGAAGCTCTCTGAGCCTTGGTTTTTCATTTGTAAAATAGTGAAGAAGTAATCCATGAGAAGTGCTTTTAAAGTGTAGTACCTAGCAGTAGTGTGCATGTAGGGAAGGGGCATAAGAGTAAGGAAAAAGAACATTTTCTGTACTGCATTTCTTCATAACTATAGTCTAAACTTGATAAAGATAATGAGGTAGAGGAGGGGATATTACCTTCATTTTACACACAAGTGCAACCTGTGCACAAGTTAAGTAAAATGGTTATTAATGAAATTGTAGATGTGAGAGCTGGGTTCTACTCATGTGTTAATAACTCAGGTAATTGTCCCTCAAAGCCCCTAGTTACTGACCTTCCCAAGTGTCATGATCCATGAATGAGCAGATTTAAATAGACCGTCTTGATGACTTTTAGACTTAATGTCCTGTGTTGCTGTGAAGTCAGTAACATCAGATGTAACACAGTATAGTGTTTAGTAGCACATGGTCTTGAACCAGACTGTTCACCAGTAGTGACTGCCCTTGTGACTCTGGCCAGTTGTGTGCTGGGACAACAGTCCCTATCTTATGTTATAAAGAGGAATAAATGAGTTATATATTTGTAAAATGATGTAAATACTTATGTCTGGCACATAGTAATTGCACTGTATTTTTTTGAATAAGTAAAATAAAGATTCAGATTGCTCCCAGTTTAAAAGAAGAAAAAAAGCAAAACCAGGTATGTTCTTAGTGTGCGTTAAATTATTTATTAGTTTTTGAGGGATTTTAAAATGTATTTTGAAAATATAATTAGTGTTAAAACACATTTCATTTCCTCTATGTCATTGTTACACCATGAGAACATATGAGAGTTCTAAGTAACACCGAAAAAGTTTAGAATATGTAATGAACGCTTTGGAAGTGTTGCTAGAAGTGTTTCACCTCGTGTTATTTTCCTGAGCTAGAACATGCAGGTACATGTAGAGGATCATAAGGTGGCGCGATCTAGCTGGTGTGAAAAGCACTTACATGGTCAAAAGGCACATAGCACATATTTACATTATCTTTTATTTTTCTTCTTAAATGTTTTTCTGTTAAAGAGAAAGTGAGCAGCAAGCAGAGAGGGTTAGAATGAGGCAATAAATCAAAAGAATTAAAAGGTTGCTTTTCTCTTAATAGCTAAGATTTTATTATTCTTCATCCTTCTGTGGCCCTTCCTGTAGATCCAAATGGTTTCTTTCTAATTAGAGTTGATTTTTTTTCTCACTAGAGAGCTCAATTTTCGCATTTCCTCACAATCTGAAAACATTCTGAATATTTTAATAATTATTTTATTAGAAAATTTTTCTCTAATAGATTTTTAGAAGACACTGTTACTGAGAATATTTTTGTATGATGGAAATGCAAAAAATACCTTTTGGGACTTCTTATGCTTTTTAAGTTCCACATTAACAAACATTTTATTATAACAAAATAGTTTTTAAATGCTCAAAAACATTCTTCTTTGGAAGTGGGTCTAATAACATGAAAATCTCATAGTATTTTGCCTTTTTAAAACTTTTAAAACAAATCACTCTTTTCTTATGTTACCTTCATATAATTCCTGTAAAGTGTATCAGAAACTTTCCAAAGTAGTAAAAAAAGTATTTAAGTAAAATTAGTGAAAACTGGTGGTCATTTTTTTCAGAGTTATATCATTTTAGGTACTGCATATGTCTGTAGAAACTTGAAGTTTTCTGGACTCTCATGAATTTTAATAATAAGGCATTATATTTTTCCAGAGATTTAATATATTAACAAAGAGCTTTGTTTATTCCATAGTATTATGCAAGGGAAGTATACTTCTAAGAAATGGATCTTAAAAATCTGGCTAATGTTTATTAATTTCAAGTTAAAATATATTTTCATTAGGTGGCTGTAATCTGAAGAATAAGTCTACTCCGTCATTGGAATATTGTGCTGAATTACTGGGTTTAGATCAAGATGATCTCCGTGTAAGTTTAACCACAAGAGTCATGCTAACAACAGCAGGGGGCACCAAAGGAACAGTTATAAAGTAAGTTCCTTATCTCGCTGCTCTGTGAAAATGCTGCCTTGGGGTTTGTCAAGGAAAAATCTTTCTTTTTGAGAACACTGAGATTTTAAGTTAATCTCTATGTATGACTCATTCTTTTCATTATAATGTTCTAAAACATGTGCTTGATAGATCAAAATTCTGTGTATCTCACCACAATAACCCATCATAAAGATTAATACTGACTTCCATGTCTCTTTATTTCTTTTCTTCCTTTTTTTTCTCCACATTTTAAGACCATTTCATTTTTTTCCCCTCAACTTCTATTAGCTCAATATCTGTTTTGTTTGGTCTGCTTGAAAATAAAGTTTTTTAAAAAGTGTATTTTATTGATTTTGCTATTATAGTTGTCTCAGTTTTTTCTCCCCTTTATCCTCCTCCGCCCTACAGCCCCTCACCCTCCAGCATTCCCCCGCCTTAGTTCATATCGGTGGGTTGTACGTATAAGTTCTTTGGCTTCTCTATTTCCTATACTCTTCTTAAACTACCTTGTCTATTTTATGCCTATGAATTATGCTCCTTATTCCCTATACCTTCTCTCCCATTCTCCCCCTCCTCCTCCTCACTGATAGCCATTCATGTAATCTCCATTTCCATGATTCTGTTCATGTTCTAGTTATTTGCTTAGTTTTTAATTTTTGTATTTTAGGTTCAGTTGTTGATAGTTCTGAGTTTGTTGTCATTTTACTGTTCATAGGTTTTCATCTCCTATTCTTAGATAAGTCCCTTTAACATTTCATATAATAAGGGCTTGGTGATGATGAACTCCTTGAATTTGATCTTATCTGAGAAGCACTTGATCTGCCCTTCCATTCTAAATGATAGCTTTGCTGGGCACAGTAATCTTGGATGTAGGTCCTTGCTTTTCATGACTTCAGATACTACTTTCTAGCCCCTTCTTGCCTGTAAGGTTTCTTTTGAGAAATCAGCTGATAGCCTTATGGGAACTCCTTTGTAGGTAACTCTCTGCTTTTCTCTTGCTGCTTTTAGATTCTCTCTTTAATCTTGGGTAACTTAACCATGATGTGCCTTGGTGTGTTCCTCCTTGGGTCCAACTTCTTTGGGACTCTCTGGGATTCCTGGGCTTCCTGGAAGTCTATTTTCTTTGTCACATTGGGGAAGTTTTCCTTCATTATGTTTTCAGATAAGTTTTCCACTCATCGCTCTTCCTCTTCCCCTTCTGGCACCCCTGTGATTCGGATATTGGAATGCTTAAAGCTGTCCCAGAGATTCTTAAGCCTCTCCTCATTTTTTTGAGTTCTTGTTTTTTCATTCAGTTCAATTTGGATGTTTATTTCTTTCTTTTGTTCCAAATAATTGATTTGAGCCCCATTTCCTTCCTTTCACTCTTGGTTCCCTGAATATTTTGCTTTATTTCACTTTGGGTAGCCTTCATTTGTTCCTTCATTTTGTGACTGAGCTCAATCATTTCTGTGAGCATCCTGTGTACCAGTGTTTTGAACTCTACATCAGATAAGTTGTCTGCCTCCTTTTCTCTTAGCTCTTTTTCTGAAGTTTTGATCTGTTATTTCATTTGGGACATACTTCTTTGTCATGCCACACCTGTTGAGTTGTTAGTGGGTGGGGCCTTAGGTATTCCACAGGGCAGAGCAACCCTCTTTGCTGCACTGTGGTGCTGTCTGTGGGGGAGGGGCCAGAGAGGGAACAATGCAGCTTGATTGCTCAGTTCTAGCCCCACTTTCCAACAAACTCCTGTAAGGCTGGGGGTTTCTCCCACCTTTGCAACTCCCACAGATTTACAGCCAAAGGTTTGGAGTCTTTAGAGTCCCAGGGAGCCAGCCCGTCTTGCCCGAGTGGTCCTCTGCCTTTCTGCTCATTCCCTCTCTGCCCATCACCCTGTCTCTCCCCCTCCTACCAATGTGGACGAATGTTTCTTTAAGTCCGTGATTGTTGGAGTTCCATACAGACTGTTATTCTGGCAGTTCTGGTTATTTATTGTTTTTAAATTGGTTGTTATTCTTCTTTTGCTTGTGTGAGGAAGTGAAGTATTTCTACTTAGGCATCCATCTTGGCCGGACTCTTTAAGTTATTTCTTACAGATACAATGCATGACACAGATTTGGAATTTATAAGGTAAAAGAGAAGTTTACTTTTGTACAGCTATGAAAATACACAATGGGGCAAAAGTAGGTTTAAAGTTGTATGTGAAGCACACTTTATTCTTGTGTTATTAGTAATTAATTATTATACTATTTTCCATATGAACAACTGCAAACCTACTTTGGCCCCACCCTGTATGAGTTGATTATATATCAATATTTGTTTTAGATGACAGCTCTTTTTAAAAAAATTTTAGAACTATATATTTTGAGATATAATGTACTCTGAAGTGTGCAATTTAGCAATTTTTAGTATATTTACAAGGTTTTGCCATCATCACCATTACTTAATTTAGTTTCAGAAAATAAGTGATCATTTTACTTTAAAAGTGACTTTCCTTTCAAATGGTGTTTACTAAAATTTCTATTAAGTAGAACTTGCGTTAGTAAAACACTCAGCAGATGGAATTTCCCCTTATCTTAGGATTTTTCATTTACAGAAAATTACAAATGACAGGAAAATAAGAAGCTAGCCAGGATTTTTAAAACCCATAACCAAGAACATCTAGATTGTATCTGGGCCAATGTACACTTTTGACTCCGTATCCTATGTTTTAGGTATTTTTGTTTCCAGTACTGCAAAATAAAATTGATGTTCAGTAATTGTTCTGAAGTACTGTAACACCTTCATTTGTAGGGGAATAGTCAGACCCTTTATCCCTTCCTACCCAAGGCAGGCAATGGGTCTAGCAACATAGTTCAGTAAAATTTTCAACGAATTAAAATAAGGATTAAAAAAAACTTTAGCCATTCAGAAAATTGCACTTTCTGAAATATTACCAAGGTGTGCTTAGTCAGTTTCATTGCGAAGTGAATTCCAGATTATGCTACTCTAAAGAGAACCTCAGCAAGCAGGATTTATAGTCATGCGTTAGAGTGGCTTTGCTCCCTAGAGATATTTCTGAGGCCCAGGGGAAGGCTGGTAAAAGAAGTAAGTGGTGCTCGGGCGCCATTTCCTCCATTCCTGTTGTTCAGGGGCAGTTCTTTTACGTGTTTTTATGTGGAGTGTTCACGTAACATTCACTTCAGGAAAGGTTGCCATTGTAGGAAACACAAGTTGGAAAACCTCTGTTCAGAAGGGATTCAAGTGTCACTAGTGTCTGAATGACTCTTAAGGTAATGTCCAAATTTGACAGTGTTTTTTTTTTTTTTTTGCTGGTGCTCCCATGGTTCCCGTACTTATTTTTATGATAGCATTTAGCATGGTGTTTATAAATTCTCTTCTGTGGCAGTCTAGCTTCATCAGACTATCATCTTCTTGAGGATAAGGGTTGTGTGTCTTTATCTGCAGAATCTCATACTGTTACACCATATAGTTACTTATATTAAATCATAGAGTTGGACAGTTCAGATTTTAAAATGTAGACATTTTTCCTAGACAATGTTAAACAAATTACCAAACTTTTAAAGTTGTTCTGAATTAAACACAATTTCTTTTGTATGTAAGGAAAGTCAAAACAAAAATTATTCCTCTCAATAATTTCTTATATATTCAGCATGTACACTGAAGTATAGATTAAGGTTAAAATAATTTTGAGCCCGAAGGTCTTTTTCTCAATAATAGATTTTTTATATAGTTATAGATACTTTCTTTAGTTCTTATCTTGTACTACTCTACTTAGCCCCATTGGTCTGTACATATCCACAAATGACCTTTTGTAACTATTTTGTTCTTCACAATGAATATATTTAGATGTACTTAGATTTCGGATGTGCGGCGTTACTTTCACAGTATTCTGCTATGAAGAGTGTTCACGGAGATGGTTGTCTTTTACAGGGTACCCCTGAAAGTGGAGCAGGCAAACAACGCTCGTGATGCCTTGGCCAAGACAGTCTACAGCCACCTATTTGATCATGTGGTGAATAGAGTAAATCAGTGTTTTCCTTTTGAAACATCATCCTATTTTATTGGAGTCCTGGATATTGCTGGTTTTGGTAAGTATGTTTTTGTTTGTGAGTTTGTAGCTGTTAGATATTTTTCATTCAGTTTTATCACACATTTATAATTAAAAAACAACTTCTCCTTTTGTAATACCTTTTACTTGATGTATTTTCAGTTATATGTCCTTACCTAAATTTCATGATTTAAATAGGAAGTTGATTTTTTTTAAAAAAAGGAAAGACTCATGGATTTTGGTCACTCTGTTACTAAAATTAAAACATGGTGCTAGAAACCACTATACAGTGAGTCATCAATAGGTTTTTGGAGACTGTGATTTTAAGTGAAAAGATGTATAATGAAACCAGTTTTACCTTAGGCTAATTGATATTAATAAGAGTTAAGTTTCTAGGGGTATTTCTGGTCACAAGAACCCCACCAAACTCTTAAGTGAAGATCCCAAACGCTTCTATTATTAAACATTGAAATAAATGTGAACGATACACACATATAAGAAAGATGAATAAAAATAAGTAAGAATAATTTTCTAAACCACTCACTCTGCTTGAGGGGTGCGAGTGGCCAGAGCCTGTCCTGGTGCTCAGGATGGGAGGCGGGAACCCGCCCGGGAGAGGACGTCCCTCCGTCACTGGGCACCTGGCCCCCACCCACATGCCCTCAGTGTAGACAGGCCAGCCAACCTAATGCACACAGCCGTGGGATGTGGGGGGAAACCAGAGTATTCACAGAACCCCACATAGGCAGTGGTTAAATGCGCAGACTCCACACAGACGTTAGCCCTGACTGGGAATTCATTTTTTTTCTCATCAGTTATAACAAAATAATGTTATGCACCCCAGTTGAGTGGCTCAGTTCTTATGCTAAGAGTTATGTTACATTTTTATATCTTTTACTGTCGGAGTGTCAGCCCGTGCCCCAAAAGGTGTGGGTTCAGTCCCCATTCAGGGCACATGTGTAGGTTGTGGGGTTCGATCCCCAGTTGGGGTGCACATGAGAGGCAGCTGATCAGTGTTTTTCATATTGATGTTTCTCTTTCTCTCTCCCCCCTTCTTCCTCTTTTAAAAATCAATAAACATATTCTCAGGTGAGGATTAAAAAAATAATGTTATTTAAGAATCTACTGTAGTTAGGAGACATTTTTATACTCTTACATGAATGCAGGTGAGTAAAGGTGAAATTTTGAGTGCTACTAATAAAGAGAATTAAGTCATTAAAACCATTGAATACAGTTTAGAGGTGCAACTTGACCTTGCTTATAGGCCAAACTCATTACTATGTGCAAAAATTCATCATTAGTGTTCATTATTAACAGACATATACTTCCAGTTAGTGTCCACTGAATGATTAAGATATCAGGATAAATATTTGAGATCAGCTGCAGGGCTGTGCAACCAGAAATGGAATGAGTCACTGCCATCTGAGTGCTACTTTATCCTGAATGAAAGTGTGGTAAAAATGTCAAAGTAAATCTGACTTTTTAAATTGGGCTTCATCATTGTGGACATTCCTTCTGGCTGTGTATGAGTGCTCTTTCTCTCCTTTGTAGTATGTTTACCTTTGCCAAATGAAGGCCTGAATGTTTCCATTCAGAGTTTTGCTTTAATGTGATATTTATTTTAAAATGTAATAAATCATTGCCTTTCGTTCAAAGATAGAGAAACACTTATCACTGACTTAAGATTTCAGGACCTTCAGGCGTTTCTTTCCTGGTCTGTTACCAGTTTTACTATAATACACACAATACATAGAATCATCACATTTTATAGTTGCAAGGATCTTAGGATGTTGCAATACAGTTCCTTAATTTTAGAAATGAGTTTGTATCCATAACATTTTTACAACTGTAATTTTACAGATTATATAGGTAAAAAGTGTAAAAACACTTGCTATTTTAAGTTATTTTCTTTAATTAATTTAGATTAACACCTGTTCTTAAATTATGTTAAAAGTTGTGTTACATTTTTACATCTTTTACGTTACGACATTTATCTCATCTTGACAAACACCTTTTTGTCAAGCAAGGTATTTTTAATACTTAATTTTAATGCCTAACAAAATTTAAGTCTTGAGACAAGAACATTTGGAGAGTATAGAACAGTTATATTTATTTCTTTTACCTAATCTTAAGCATTGATACAATAAAATTTTAGCCTAAGATAAATTTATTAATATGAATAATCTGATGACAACTCTTGGTCCTGGTTTTATGTTTTCAGAGTACTTTGAACATAACAGTTTTGAACAATTTTGCATCAACTATTGCAATGAAAAACTTCAACAATTTTTCAACGAAAGGATTCTGAAGGAGGTACTTACCATTACAATTAAAATTTAAGAACTGCATTAATCTGTGTTAAATTTTAGGAAGCAGAGACATGCTGAAGTTACCCTGTTGGGTGGGGTGCAGTGTAAGGGGGCCCGGGGAACCAGAGGTGCCCAGCATCGGTCCCAGTGGCTTAGCCATTGGTCAGGTACCTCAGAAGCGTTACTGTACCCTCAGAAGGGTACAGTTGAAGCTTAGGGACCCAATAAAAACTCTAATAGGCACGTCTTTTGTTAAAAACTTAATTGTTGTTCAAGTACAATATATGTAGGTGAAATCTGCTTCTTATTGGTGACACTAGACTTGATATTTTGTTTTCTTTCCTGTGTTTGTTGTTTTTACTCCTGCCACTGCCGATCAGCTTTCTACTCTTGTCCCTGACTGCTGCATCTCCCACCCTTCCTCTTCGTCACCTGCTTCCGCCCACCCAACATGCTTGCCCTGCCTTTGTGTGTGGGGGGAAGCCTCCCACTCAGGAGTCTCAGTGAGGCCATTGGCCTGGAGTGCCTCTGGGCAGTGCTTTCGTGCAGTGCTACCTGTGCACCAACGCCCCTGGCCCTGTAAGGACTTTCCTTGTGATCAGTAACTGTGGTCATGGCTGACACTCACAATCTCAAGTCTAGGAAAGTTACTTTGTAATCGTCTAGAGTACAGTGTGGGTAAAGGTAGCTTTGATCAGTTGATTTGTGATAAGGCTCACCATTTTCCCCTTGTATTTGAATTCTCCATTGTTTTTCTACCAATACCCTCGACTTTCCTTCCCTGAGCTTTTGTGATAAGTTTTACCAAAGAGGTAATAAAGTTAGACAACTCAGAGGTAATCTAGTTCAGCCACTTATTTTACAGGTGGAGAAATTAATTCCCAGAGCAGTCCAGTGCCTTCTGCAGATTCGACCCCCCTTCCTGGCTGCTGGCCTGCAACACTGTATTCTCACCACGTTAGCACTGCTGTTTTCTAAGTTCTACTCTCCACTCTCTCTGGACTTGAAATGTGAAATATTCCCTTTTCTATTTCCATTCCACTCACCTTTTCCTACATTTTTATTATGTTTTGTCCTTATGGATTTCCCAGCACTTGCTACCTTTTATATACACTATGGTTAAACCAATTCTAGCATAAGTAAACAGGTAAAACAGTTAAGATAGTTTCTCTGAAAGGTTTTACGTTCTTCCATTACTTGTGGGAAGCCTTACCAGTCTGCTTTTCACTTAACATATCCTAACCTTCCTTTGCATGCTTCCTCGTTTACTGTGGTGTGTGGCTGCGTTGTGCTGCAGTGGCATGACTGAGATAAGGTGGCGCACAGCTGACTATGGTTACTGTCTGGCCCTTTTCAGAAAAAATGTGCTGACCCCTGGTTTATTCTGCTGATAGATTTGAGTTTAAAATCACTCAAAATATTTCAAAGCCCTCGTCTTTCCTGGGCTTTGAAATGCTTATACACAGATATCTGTATTTGTGCATAGTTGTTCTCTTAATCTGTAAGGGGGAACATGTGCACACATGTAAGTCACATGTTGTGTTAGCTGTTTAACTTTTGATTTCACATTGCTTTTGGGGCAAGGATTTTGCTTCCCTGATGTTTTGTAGAACTCCCCAGCCCCAAAACTAGTGTGTATGAACCTTTGTACTCTGACTAATCAAATAAACGTTATGATCAGAAATGGTACAAAACAAAGAATCTGTTTTATATTGCATGGTATTTCCATATCCATGATTATGATTGTTTCATTTTTAGGAACAAGAACTCTATCAAAAAGAAGGGTTAGGTGTTAATGAAGTACATTATGTGGATAATCAGGACTGTATAGGTATGTATTTTTTTTTCACTCCACTTTGGGAAATTGGGAAGATACAGTGAAAGTTTATACTAGTAACTTTTCTGTGCTATGTAACTGATATTACTGGTTAAAAAAAGCTTGTAGCTGTGATATTTGATGGAGGTTTTACTGCTCTACTGTTGCTAGGAAGTTATTTTTCCTGCCAAGGCATCAAATTCAGATACGTTGGAAAGTTTTTCTAAAATTCCTTTTGTTTACTGTGATGAATATTTTATATATTAATTTTTCTTCTGTTACACTTGATATTCATTACTATATTAGTTTCAAGTAGGATATTTCCTTTCTCTGATGGCTAACATGTAAATAATTGCTTAAGCACTGAAGGGATTTATTATCTCACAAGGAAGTTCATGGTTTAGCCAGGACCCAGGTGAGGTTTGACTGGCTCAGGCTCTGCTGTTCTGCAGATTTCGTTTCTGTTTTCTGCGTGTTGGCAGCATCCTCTGGCTGGTTGCACATGGGCTTCACAAGTTCCATGTGTTAAATCCTGACGACACGGAGCATGAGAACAGGATCTCCGTTTTCTTGTCTGTGTTTATCAGTAAAGAAACCTTTGTCACTGCCCAGCTAGTGCTCAGCCTTCCTTTCTCTCTCCCCCATCTCTGAAATGAATTGCTGGGTAAGCCTTGTTGGTCACCTGATGTGTATATGGCAGCCTTGCGGGTAGCCTAGCTTAGACTGACTCTTATTCAGAGTTTATAACTGTTTAGATTAACCTGTAAACACCCTTAGATCGCCCTGTGTGCTGTAAGGCTTGTTTAACCATATCCTTTAATTTGCTAAGTGTAACAGAAGTGCTGAGACTTACTAGTTTAACTTTCTTCCATACTTATGCCACGTCTGACACTGGTGATTGCCAGAACTGCTTCTTCAGGGATAAGCCCAGGTGCCGACCTGGCTCAGACTGCCTGAGACTGGTGGAAGCAGCCTGGAGAACTGTACACTGACCTTTTCACGAAATGTGCTCATTATACTCTCATTATAATACTAAAATCTCCTCCTAGCAGATATTTTGCAGTCTTTGAACATCAAGTATATGTATAGGCATGACTGGGCATACACAGGAATCCCTACCCTATACATAAGATGATGAAGCTCACCTTGGTGTTCATGTATGGTTTTCTTGAGTGAAGCCAAATCCAATCCTTTGTTCAGCATGTGCCCCTTTGGGAAGTGACTTTCACTACTGCGTCCCATGTTCTTGCCTGATACCTTGCAATAAAATACATTCCTTCTCATAAAATCTAGTTGGAGTTATCTTTTGGCTGACAACTACTGTGTAATTGGACCTGGTTCATTCCCGTGACAGTTTAAAAAACCCATTTCGACAATCGAGTCATTAACTCATGTGCTAGATTTGGATCAGATAGTATTATAATTCTTTATGTAAAGTAGTATAACTTTCAAAGCACTTTCATATCTCACTTGGTCCACCCCACAGTCCCTTTGTGGAACATACCCTTTCTCAGATCCCCACGCCCTAGATTGTGCGGCTTGCGGTCCTGGCGGGGCCTCCTCCCACTTCCGCATTCTCTACCTCTATTGAAATACCCACATTCATAGCTTAGTCCAGCATGCCCCCCACTCCCTTCACCACCACTGGTTGCCCAAAAAGCATAATTTTCTGACCAAGGCAGTTAGAATCTTGATTTCTTTTTATATTTTCTTTCTTTTTTTTAAAAAATATTTATTTATCTTTGGAAGGAGAGAGGGAGAGAAACATCAATGTATGGTTGCCTTTCATTTGTCCCCTGCTGGGAACTGGCCTGCAGGGAACTGGTCTGCAACCCAGGCATGTGCCCTGACTGGGAATCGAACTGCGATTGTCTGGTTCGCAGGCCTGTGCTCAATCCACTGAGCTACACCAGCCAGGTCTTTTTATATTTTCTATAATTTTTATACAGTCCATCTTGTTTAACAAGAGTTCTTTAAGCAGTTTATACTTTATAGTTATTTTGGACAAGCAGGGAATTCAAACAACACCATTAGTGATTAGTAAATTGTTTACATATCTTTAAAATGTTTTAATCTGACCACATTTTAATATTTCTGAAATAGATTTAATTGAAGCAAAACTGGTGGGAATACTGGATATTTTGGATGAAGAAAATCGCCTTCCCCAGCCAAGTGATCAACACTTTACATCCGCAGTTCACCAGAAACACAAGGATCATTTCCGACTCACTGTGAGTTTGCCTTCCAGAATTCAGACTCTCATGGGGGAGAGAAGCCTTTAGAAAGAGGGACTAGATGTTAGACCATTGGAATCATGGGTTATGTAGAATTTAAAGCAGCTATAATTTATGCAGCATCTTCTAGATGTGGACATTTAATTTATATCTATCTAACCAAGGCCCTTTTAGCTGGATGAAAAATGTATTTCACCTATCTAAAATGTGCAGAAAGAATTACCTGCTGTTTTCATGTTCTCCCTTTTGAGCTACTTGGTCATCAGTTGCTTTGTTTTGTGTCATGTGACTTGTTCATGTCCCATGGGTTAGCACCCAGAAGTACAGGCAACCACTTGTCTGCACATTTGTAAGACTAGAAATGAAGTGTGTGGCTTAGGTCTGACTGGTGGAAGCAATACATGTTAGTGATGAACCAGTTTGTTCTGATGCTTTTCCTAGGGAGTTTTGAATGGAAAAATATACTCCAGAGAGGGTCATAAAAGCCGAAGCAATAGTATTAGCTAAAGGGAAAAACAGACACACAGAGCAGTAGATAGAAATAAGAAGAACATTTCCATTAGGGCCAGAAGACCTGATTTCCTGAACTGCTCTTGAGGCATAGAACTGTGTATGAATCTTTGAGATGAAGAACAGTAGGGCCATTCTCCATGAGGACGGGCTGTGTGGCTGTGGGTGTTTTCTGTGTTCACCTGATCCGTGTTCATCTCTACACTCAACTTACCATCACCTGCGATAACGCAAGCACCACTCCTTTATGCAGAAAGACTGGCTGGCTAGCACAATGAACTATAGTTGTCTCCCCTTATCCACAGTTTCAGTTATTCATGGTCAACCTCAGTCTGAAAATATTAAGGGGAAAATACCAGAAATAGAGGATGTACAAGTTTTAAATTGAGTGCTGTTCTGAGTAGCACGACAAAATCTGGTGCCATCCTGCTCCGTCCTGCCTGGAACATCTTCCCTTTGTCCCTGCATCTACTGCATAGCTGTCCTCATTATCAGATCAACTGTTGTGGTATCACAGCGCTTGCATTTGAGTAAACCCTACTTTTTTAGTTACTGATGGCCCCAAAGTACGAGAGTAGTAATGCTGGTAATTCAGATATGCCAAAGAGAAGCCATAAAGTGCTTCCTTTTCAGGTGAAAGTGCTGAATAAGGAAAGAAAAAAAATTATATGGTAAGGTTGCTAAGATCTTCATTGAGAACAGATAGTCTATTCCTGAAATTGTGAAGAAGGAAAAAAATTCATGTTAATTTTGCTGTTGCATGTCAAACTGCAAAAGTTACAGCCACATTGTGTTATAAGTGCTTAGTTAAGGTAGAAAAGGCATTAAATGTGTGGGTGGAGGACATGACAGGAAATGTGTTTTGATTCGATGGCAGCGTGTTGTGCCGTGAAGCACCGAGCCTATAGGAAGATGTCGGGAAGGGATCCCCTGGGACAAGTGACCATATTCACGTCAGTTTTATTACAGTGTATTGTTATAATTGTTCTATTTTATTATCAGTTATAGTTGTTCATCTCTTACTGTAGCTAGTTTATAAATTGAAACTTTATCGTAGGTATGTGTGTATAGCAAAACACTGTATGTGTAAGGTTCGGTACTGTCCATGGTTTCAGGTATCCATTGGGGGGTTTGGAATATATGCCCTGCTGGTAAAGGGGGGACTGCTGTAACTTCATCCATGAAGCTAGGTGCTCCTTCATCTTACAGAGAACGAGGGAGGGAGGAGAAAAAAACGTTGGTTACAGTTGCATGTGCTTCTTACATTGTTTATTGTTTTAAAAGTATATAACAGTCATTGCATAAGTGAACAATTATAAGTATTCTTACATCATTAATTAAAATTAAGAATGCATTAGATAAGTAGATTGAATACGTTTACTTGAGAAGCTGATGTAATTGTGATAACCTTATCTAGAGATTGGATTCCACAACCACCTCTTCCATTGACCTGGACAACTTCTGTATCCTTATATATTTCTTGTAATGTGCAGCCAGTTTCTCTTGCTTTAGTGAAGATAAAAATAAAACAACATGTGTCCTCAACAAAACCTTTGCTCAGATTGGAGGTGTGTATTATTCCTGTTGTCCACTGCTCACTGGCTTTTGTTATGATCAGTCTGTGGGTCTATGAGTGCTTTTACCGAAAGTACTGATTGCTAGTCAGCGAAAGTGTGACGAGGGATTCAGAGATAGAACTCCAAGGACAGCAAATTAAAGCTTCAAGGGTGGGCTTTGGCCACATTGCTCAAAAGAGAACAAGAACAGACAGTAAATTATAATTTGTATAGGCCAATTATACAATTGGGAAAAAGTAACACTAGCTTGGGAAAAAGTAATACAATTATAATTTGTATTACCTTTGTTGTATTTCTTTGGAAATAAAAGTCATAATAACCATTTATTAAACACAGGTATCAGGCACTCTTCTAAGGGTTTTACTTGAACTATTTTAGTTAATTCTCCTCATAATTTTCTGAGGACAAATGCTGTTTTTATCGCCATGCTAGAGATGAGATGTGCACAGAGAGGTTAACTGACCCGCCATATTTGGCACAGGGAGGCAGTGGTGGATCTGAGGGGCGGGCCAGGCGTTTTGACTCCAGGGCCCTCACCCTCACTCGTGCTGGAGAGGGTTTGTGGTCTGCACAGAGAGGCTTTGTGGTCTGCTAGCTCCCCCACCCTGAGAAAGCCTGGTAAGATTCCAAAGCCTTAGCTTTTTCATCTTTAAATGAAATTGTCTTTTTTTGTAAATTCTGCACACTTGTTTTATTTACTTATTTATTTTTGTCTTTCTTAATCTTAGGTTACTTTGAGGGTCAGATGTGATCTTTTATGTGCAGCATTTGGGGAACTTTTAAAAATGATACAAATACGAGATATTATAATTAGATAGTACCATGCTAAAATGACTTAGTTTTCTTCAGATAGGTTCAGGCAATTGTGTAAACATGTAGGATGTTTCATTTTAAAACAACGGGAGAGTTCCTGTGCTAATGTCAGGTATTTCTTTAGAGCAGTGCTTCTCAACCTTGGCCGCACCTGGGAATCACTGATGTGAATGGTATGAGCTTTGGGAGGGTGAAGTTCTCCAGGTTCTAAGTCAGCAGCCAAAGTCACTGTGTTCGACACAGGCAGGCAACTTTATAAAAATGTCCACTTTGTTTTGCATGTGCTTCTAAATAATGTGATTGCTTTCTCTTTTTTTGGTCACACTCCTTTTCCCCTTCCTTAGAGTTTATAAACAAACATTGTGAGAGTTTACTGGTACCTTAAGGTTTACTAGGTATTTAAAAAGCAGTATAATTGTGTAAAGTGTGAACATATCCCAGAGGTTTTCTAAGGAGAATTATGTAATATATTTTTGATGATTTAAAACGGACGTGTGTGTCGTTTTTAGATTCCCAGAAAATCTAAGCTGGCAGTTCACAGGAACATCAGAGACGACGAAGGCTTCATCGTCAGGCACTTCGCAGGAGCAGTGTGCTATGAGACAGTGAGTACAACCTGCACGAGGAGAGCACTCTTCCATGTTGAAGCTGTCCCGCACGGTGTGGAAACCTGTAGCCACACCTGGCTATTTGGATTTAAATTAAATTAAAAAAATTTAAAATTGATTTCTCACTTCGTGTGCTCAGTGTGCTCATCAGCCGGTGGCGACTGTATTACACACAGCACAGTCATAGACCATTTCTGTCATTCCAGAAGTTCTGTTGGGCAGTGCTTTGTTAAGGGGTGTTATCACAAGTTGGATCGAATTATTCCTGTCTACTTCATTTTTCAGACCCAGTTTGTGGAAAAAAATAATGATGCTTTACATATGTCTCTTGAGTCCTTAATATGTGAATCCAGAGATAGGTTTATACGGGAATTATTTGAATCATCCACAAATAACAACAAAGACACTAAACAGAAAGCAGGAAAACTTAGCTTCATCAGCGTGGGAAACAAGTTTAAGGTATTTGTGTTAAATATACTACTTGAAATTCTTTTATTGCATTTAAAATAAAATATATTGTTTAATATACTCTACAGTGAATAATGTAGGCACTATAAGAAATCTCACGAAGTTCAAGAGTAAACTCTGCATTATTGAAAATTTGCAAAAAAAACCCCCATTAAATACGTATAGTAATTGAACAAACAGAAATTCTTGTAATTTTTATGAATGTCTTATTTCTTGGTGCTTAACATATCGGATTGCTTCTCCTAATGCTCTTGCTTCTGCTTACTGTCTGGTTGACCTTCAAACCTTCTGTTTCCCATTTGTTTTCTGTTTCCTTCCTCATTCAGCAGTGTTGTTTTGGCTGGAGTAGTCCAGCTCGGGATGGCTAGAGAGGACTAGTTGAGTTGAGAGAGGAAAAGCAGGCACAGCCAGGGGCTTCAGGTAAATGATCACCTTCATAGACGCTTATTTATGGAGTGGCTGCCATGTTAAAAAGAGGCTGTCTCAAGTTAATGATTTTGTTTGCAATTCATTTTCAGTGTGTTTTCTCTCACAGTGCGTTATGGGTGTGCATATTACGCTAGAATTTGACTGCAGCTTTTAAAAACTGTAAAATATAAGTGCTCTGTGTGGCAAACCCTTCAAGTTGCTTAACATTAAAGAACATTTCCTTTGTTTTATTTATTTTGGATCAGGAATTTATTCTTTGTGGTCCGACAAGGAATTATCACATGATGTGTCTTAGAAATGGAACACTACTGTCCTAATGGGTTCTAATTGTTGAATATTTAGCATAAAAATAATTTAAAAGCTTAAAGACTAAAATAATATATCACAAGGAAGAAAGAAATAGAATTAATCTCTCTTACAAATTTCCATAAAATATTTATATTTACAAGAAAACTACATATGCTTTTCATTATGTTTATTTTAAATATTAAAAATGATGCAGTTCGAAGTAATATTTAAGTGTTAGAATTACTGTGTTACTAACAGTGTAAGCCTCTAAAATCTCTTTGGATTGAAATGGCCTCTAAATAACTAATTGGTTAAAGTCATGTTTATAAAGCTAGATTTTTTAAAGCTGAAATAATAAATGTAGGAGGAAGCTTATAATACATTTTCAAGTAACTGAGTAAAAAGTTTTTAAATTTATGTTATATTAATTAATTATGAGTTTCTAATTCTCTTGAGGAATATTTTTCTCTTACTTAGACATTATTAAATTTCTGAATAGATATATAACAACATTCATTTAATGAAATGGATATCATTCATTAAGTATTTTCCTGCCGTGATAGTAGGAATATAGTAGTATTGCTGGTAAGAACATACTTGGAATTTTACACAGTGTAAATAAAAACAAGCATTCTATAGATTAAAGTATTCTTTTATGTTGAGACTTGAAATGCCTTAAAATTACTTATATGCAGTAAGATAGATTTTACACATTAAACTGAAAGCTATAAATGAGTGACATCATTAATAACTATGTTTTTATAAGATACTTTGAAATGAAATATTAATAGTAATTCTTAATTTAAAATAGAATAGCTCATTAAATTAAATTTAAGTTATGTGAGGCAACAAAAGACAAAACAGGCTAGCATTTACAATAATATTTCAGTGGTCTAGCATTGCTGACAACCAGAAGTTTTCCACTGAAAAATGACATTTTCAGGCTATTGGAACATAACCATTTTACTGTTAGTGATATAGTAAAAGTAACCCTTTTTGATGGAACTCTTATTGTCATTATAAACATGAATATTTTTATGCTTTAAAATAAAAATAAAATACAAGTAAAGCATGAGTTGTATAAGGCTTTTTTCCCTTATGCCTAATGCTTGGCTACTGTTCTTTGATTTTTGACATTTTCCCGTTTTTTCCCAGATTCTGTTAGTTTATTTTTGCTGGTTCTACTCTTCTGATTTACTCTATCTCCATTTTGTTTTGGAGAATACTGTGCTTATTAGTCTGTGGATTAAGAAGCATGGACTTTGTGGTGGCCATTTTCTTCCCAAATTAGTGGCCCCTACACTTGCTTTTCAGTTGTATTGTGGTCCAGATTGATTATATCATTAGTGTTTGGTATCTGAAATATACTAGTAGCATTACTGGCAAGAGAATGAACTTTGGTGTTAGGCCCTATGTTGAAATCTTGGCTTTGCCATGACTAACTTCATGATCTTAGGCAAGTTATTTATCCCTCTGGGCCTCAGTGTTTTCACCTGTAAAGTGGAGCTAATGCTATATTCTTAATTAGAATTTTTGTGTGGATTAAACATGATTAATGCCCATGAAAAGTTTTGAGCAGTGGTTGACTCATAGAAAGCATTCAATAAAGTATACCTATTAAATTATTATTAAATATAGCTGTGCCTGATATGTTAAGAAATATCATCTTAATTTATCTTTTGTAAGCAATATAATAAACACCTTAGCATAAAATCAATATAAGAATTTTATATAATTCATTTACTTTTCAGAGAAGTAAAGCAAATATATGAATTAAATTAGTACTGAATGAGGTTCAGTTACAACACTCAATATTATTAAAAACAGGAAAGGATAGTAACTTGTAGTGTTCATTGTCAGTTTATTTTGGAGAAAACTGTCCAAGCTTTTAAAATGAATTGAGATATGAAGTGTTTTAAAATAGTAAGGAGGGTTTCTTCAGCTAGACAGGATAATTTTATTTATGGTGTTACATAAAACAATCCAAATATATACCACTAGCGTGTATTTTAAACGTGTCTTCAGTTTTAATGGAGTGTGACACCAGCTACACCAGCTTGCCGCATACTCAGATACTGCTCTGCTGATCTCTTACTGAATGCACCCCCCGCATTTTCGTTCACTTCCTCCGTTGCTGGCCCACTGTCCTCATTCATCCCACCTGCATGTGTGTGTGTATGTGTTTTATTACTGCTAATTTTTAGTCTTCTAATTATACAAGTTCTGCATAAGTAAAGTAAGTTATTGTCCTTACATTAGCCATACATTTTGCATGTTACTGTCAGAGTCTGTGTACCAGAAGTTGTTAAATTACATTATGTTGTATATCCATGGTATCGCACATTGTTTTAGTCTAATCTTGTTGAGTAAATTTAATCTGTTTAATGATGTTGAGTGTTGAAGGGCCAATAATAACTTTCGACATTGTGTGTTTTTGCTCTTTGAAAAGTGATTTTCTTTCTTTTACAGACACAGTTAAATTTGCTTCTGGATAAACTTCGAAGTACTGTGAGTATACTTAAAAAACTAGGGTTTTAAAATGGTCCTCTTAAACTATTATTAATATTTACTCAAATAGGCACGGTAAATCTGGTATAATTAGAAATTTATTTTCAACCAAATTCCCTCATTAATAAAAAGGTTTTTAAAGTGCTTGTTATTTGGTTAAGTTTGTTCCCAAAAACATCAAATATATATGTGAAGTCACATTATTTTGTAAATATATAGAATTCTCTGAATGTTATTAAGATTATCCTGTAATTTGAGAAAGTGAAAATAATTAGTTATTATGGAGAAGGAAAATACATTTTTTAGTATTAAAGGTAAATTTATTGGGATAACATTAGTTAATAAGATTTATAGGTTTCAGGTGTACATTTCTGTGATACATGGTCTGTATATTGCATTATGTGCCCACCATGCAAAGCCAGATCATCTTCTGTCATTATGTATTTGGTTCCCTGTATCCTTTACTACCCTCCTTTCCCTTCTCCCCTCTGGTATCCACATACTGTTGCCTGCGTCTGTGAGTTTCATTTGTATATCCCAAATAGGAGTGAAATCATACAATTCTTATTAGCTTTTTATGATGGACTTGTTTCACTTAGCATAGTATTCTCAAGGTCCATTTTATGTTGTTGCGAATTTCATCTTTTCTTATGGCTGAGTAGTATTCCTTGGTATATTTGTACCACGTCTTTTTCCAAATATTTATTTTTATATTAAAGTATCATTGAAATGCAGTATTATATTAGTTTTAGGAGTAAAACCTAGTGACTCGACATATGTACAGATCTTAGCAATTATTTTGAAAGAGCTTAATATATTAATGATAAAATGCACTAAAAGTTGCTGGTATTCATAGAAATAGAAAAATAAGAATGCTGTATGTATTGTCTTAAAATGTACATTTATTCTCCTAGGGAGCAAGCTTTATTCGTTGTATAAAACCTAATTTAAAGATGACAAGCCACCACTTTGAAGGTGCTCAAATTTTGTCTCAACTTCAGTGTTCAGGTATTTCCATATTTTTATAATCTGTATTAGTGTGGGTCAGGAGTCTAAGCTCAAATACAATTTGGTATGTCCAGTGTTCTCAGATATTTCATAAATTACCTTGATTTTTACATATAGTAAGATTTTTATTTTATTCTTTTAACTATAAGAAAAGCACAGGTGGCAAATTACTTGAGCAATATTGGGGTATAGTTTATTGTGAAATAAAACTATTTGACATAATTAAAGTGAAATTTATAAAAACTCAACAAACACATAGATCTCCCTTAAGCAGGTTGCTTTCCCATGGCCTCTTCAGTCCAGTGGTTCATTTCTCATTCCCCACGTAACTGGGTCAGGAGGTTTTGGTGTCCTTGCTTCCCATCCACCACTTGTGAAAAAATGTAAACGACAGGATGCCTTCAGCTTCTGTGGAACTTGTGTGCATTTGGTAAAACTGTCACTCTCTCTCTCACTTGCCACATTCTAACCTTGCTGGATGTCAGAGGTCTTAGGCACCAGGCGCACTGTTTTTCCTTTCACTCCATGCCCATCCTCCATTCCTACTTGAACTAATTATTCCTAAGGCATCTGTCCTCTCTTTTGTTAAAAATCTATCTCAGGCTTGTGACACTTCTTTAAACTCCTTCGTCTCTCTGACTCATTAGGTTCCTCTTAGAGATGCAATTATTAGAAAGCTAAGGTCACTTATGGTTTGGGTTCCCTCATTTAAATGGGCTCCTTCTACAGGCCTGCACCTGATTTTGTATACTTTTATAATTTGTAATTATGTATGTACTTTTTTCTTAAACAACCCTCCCCTAAAGTGTAAAAACTTAAGGCTCCCCAGTCTGGATCTACCCTTGACCCCTCTCACATAACTTTAGCTATTAATGAATCTAATCCTGTCCTTTTTCCTTATCTGCATAGATAAGGTAAGCGAGACAGATTGGCATTTTTATAAATTCATAATTACCAACCTTTAAGGGCTCTCAAACTTACTCTGCCAAGTTTCCCTGGTCAGCATATTCTGTTTCTCCACAGAAACTAGTCAGACCCACCCTGCTTTCCTCAAATCTCTGAGCATCTGCCAGTAGACAGCCTCACCTCTTCACAAACAAACACCTCAAAGCTTCACCTGTCTGCTACCAAACACTTCTATCTACCTGCATTACCTTTCCTTCCACTAAGAAGGTAGGAAGTGCCTCTCTTCCTAATTGGGCCATAGTTCTTTGGAATCCATCTCTTCCCATCTTTTCCTGATTCTTCAATATTGATTATATGAGGTCTGTCCAGAAAAAGTCCAGCCATTGTTAATATAATGAGAATGGTCTGTGTAATATCAGTCTAACTTGGCAGCCGAGAACAGTGGACTAGAACTAGCACATGTGTGAACCGTGAGGGCTTCACCGTACTAGTCAGTGAGGGTAGTAGATGCTGTTGAGTGAGCATGTGTACTGTGTGTTTGTCGCATTCAAAATTACTGAATGAGTAGAACAATGAATATGAATCAAATTTTGTGTTAATCTGAACATTCCTCCACTGAAACTGTCGGTATGATTCAGAAGGCTTTTGAGGGCAAAGCAATGAGTGCAACACAAATAAAAGTGTGACACAAATGCTTCAAACATGGTCAAGAATCTGTTGAAAGTGATCAGAAGGCATGCAAGAAGCAGAACACCTGATCATGTTGAACGTGTACAGGCTGCAGCCAACAAAGATTGGTGACTGACAGTGCAAAAACTAGAAGCTGATCTGGGCGTTCTAAAAAACACTGCTGTGTTTGAGTTTTTGACACAGGATCTTGGCATGAAACATGTAGTTGCAAAATTCATTCTGAGGCTTCTGCTAACAGAGCTGAAGGACTATCGTGCTGCAATTGCTAATGACTTGATTCAAACCACTACCAATGGATAAGATTTTGGGAACAAGATTTCCCCCCAAAAAATCATCTTTGAAAGGGAAGAGATTTCAGACCATGGATAACGTTCAGGAAAATACAATAGGACAGCTGATGGAGATCCCAGCAAAGGTTTCTGCAGAGTGTTTTGAACAGTGGAAGAGACACTGGAAGAACTCTGTGAGGTCCCAAGGTGCCTACTTTGAGGTCCCCTGTGTCATTGTCCTGTGTACAGTGTTTCTTGTATCTTGTATTTTCTTCAATAATTGTGTCTATTTTTCACAGTAGATGGCAGGATACTTTCTGGACAGGCCTCGTATGTAGTGAGCCATTTCCTTTGAGCTGGATTTCTCAGTTACTATTTAAACATGTGAAACCTTGTTTTTATTCCCTCTGACCCACATTCCTTTTCAGCTTCCTCTCCATTTCTTGCTTTACTTTTTGTTTTTCAGTTTTTTCTTTTCTGTCCAAAAGTGGTCTGTTCTTGTTTTCTCAGTTTCCTGCCTTCCACTTGCTCTTTTCCCCCACGGAATTCAGCTTCTACCGTGACCAGTCCAACAGACTAATTCTCAGTGAGGTCACCAGTGATTTCCTCGATCCTAAATCAGATGTTCTTTTGTAGTCCTTATTGTAGGGAACTTCACAACAGCATTTGACTCTGACCAATACCTTTTGCAAATCCTTTCTTGGCTCCTGAAGAAGCCTGTGTCCTTACTTTTGTGTTAAATTCTCTGGCCTTTCCTGACTTCTCTGCTGGGTTATCCTTTTCTACCTAGGTACCATTTACGAGAGTTCTCAGGCTGTGGATCAGGCATGTTTTCCATTCTCACTCACTGTCGGTACCCCATATCACTTTCCTTGGTGACGGACATACTCTGTATCTTTGTTGTCCAGTATGGCAGCTACTGGATACTTGTAGCTATTGAACAATTGAAATGTGACTAGTATGAATTATAAATTTAAATTTTATTTTTTTTAATTTAAATTTAAATAATCACTTGTGGCTAGTGCAGCAACACAGCGTGTGGCTAGTTTCTGCCGCATTGGACAGCATAGCTGTGTATTTTCTGTCTGCCCAAATCCCTTTGATGTGACCTTCTGAGCAGTGTGTCTCCTCCCCCCAAATTTATTTGAATATAATTGACCACATGACATTGTATAAGTTCAAGGTGTACGCTGTGCTGAGTTGATGTACTTATATATTGCAAAATGATTGCTACTGTAGCATTAGCTAATGCTCCCATCAGGTCATGTAATTACCATTTGTTTTTTGTGGTGAGAATATTTAAGTTTACTCACTTGTCTCTATCTGCCTTGGTGAGTCTTAGTACATCCTGACTGAAGCTGTCACCATCTTTCATCTGCAGCTTCTTGAGTATTCTCCTTACATCTGCTCGGTCTCTTATCATACTGCTGGCATTATTGCTTTACAGCTGAAGTCTGATTATGTCTTTTTACTGCTTAAAAGGCTGTAATGGTCTGTTTATTCTTAGGGTAAAGACAAAAATCCTAGCAGCTTATGAGGCCCCATCTGGTCTGGCCCGTGTGCCCCTAGCTTTATCTCTGCACTTTTTTTCCTATGTACTACAGCCTCAGAGGCCCTTGTTTTAGTTCCTTAAATGCTCCATAGTCTGTCCTGTTACAGGGCCTGTGCACATGCTGTTGCCTGTGCTTCCTTTTCCTTCATCTTTCACATCTCAGCTTGATTGTCGTTTCCTTGTGGAAACCTTTCTCAATATCTGCAACCAGGAAAGGCGCCCGAGTAAAGGTGTTGAGTGCCTTTATTTCACAGTTATTAATTTATGTATGTTTGAATATTTAATTTTCCTCTGTTCTAACCTGTAAACCTTATGAGAGCAGACACTGTTATCTGTTTTGGCTGGCACAGGTGTCCCTGCCTCCTGGGAGTGCAAGGCATGTAGTAGACTCAGTAAATATTTGTTGAATGAAATGCATAGTCTAGCAAATATGAGAGTAATTTGTGACTAATTTAATGAATACTGGAAAGTTAAATAATTTATACCTGGTCTGTTCCTACATAAAGTATAGATGTATTTTTTAATATTTTCTTTAAGTTGTTTTACATTGAATTTGACTTTTATGTCATTTACATTTTTTTCTTTAGGATTTGTTTAGCCCAATATAATAAATCACTTATTTTCTTAGTGAGCATCTAATCTCCTGGTAAGGCACATCTGTAGATTTAGTTCTATGCAGTCTGTCTAGAAGGTATCCAGACATGTTATATGAAAAATAGAGATATTTATTGAAGAAAATACAAGATCCAAGAAACATTGTACATAGGACAGTGACACCTCAGTCCCCTTCAAAGTAGGCACCTTGGGCCCTCTCACAGTTGTCTCAGTCACCATCAGCTGCCCCATCACATTTTCCTGAATCTCATCCACAGTCTGAAATCTCTTCCCTTTCAAAGGTGGTTTTTAGTTTTGGGAAAAGCCAGAAGTCACCGGGTACCAAACCTGGGCTGTAGGGGGCCTGAGTCATCTGAGTGATTTGATGTTTTGCCAAAAAACTCTGCATGAAATGTGATGCATGAGTAGGCAGATTGTTGTGATGAAGCTGCCAATCACCAGCTGCCCATAGCTGTGGCCTTCTGAATCATCTGAATAGTTTCTGCAGAGGAATGTTCAAGCTTAATGCAAAACTGGATGCAGATTCATTGCTCTCAGTTATTTTTAATGTGATGGCCACACAGTACACATGCTCACTCAATGGTTTCTACCGCCCCCACTGACTAGGGCATTGGAATCATCATTGTTCACACATGCACATTCCAGTCCACTCTTCTTGGCTGCCAGGTTACATCCAGGTTGCGCAAACCATTTTCATTATATTAACGATGGCTGCTCTTTTTCCAGACAGACCTTGTTGTGTTCTTGTCATATATGCTATTAGGCTAGTAAGCAGTGTATTTCAATATATTGAGATATTTTAGCAGTTTAATAGATGACTCTCAATTCATAATAGATTTTTTAAAAGTACTACTACTACTAAAATGGTATAGAGTTGGTTCTAGTCATGTGGCTAGTAATGAGAAAAAGCCAAAAGTACCAATAACTGGTAGAAGTGAAAATATTTATGAAATCTTCTAAAATAAACAATTAAAAATTTGAATTCTATTTTGACTTTCCTTTTTCCGTTATATTTTTCATGACATGAAAAGTTGACATTGACTCAAGGCTCAAATTAACCACCTACTAAAATAATTAATTTGGGATATTTTTTACCAAAATTACTATACATTTTTTCATCCTTATCCAAGGATATGTTTTACTAATTTTAGAGTGAGAAGAAGGGTTTGGGACAGGCATTGATAGAAACATCAGTGTGAGAGAGGAACATCAATTGGTTGCCTCTTGTACATTCCCTGCTGGGAACTGAACCTACAGCCTAGGTATGTGTGCTGAGTGGGAATCGAACCCGCAACCTTTTGGAAAACAGGATAATCCAGCCAACTGTGCCACTTGGCCATGGCTAAAATCACTGTCTTTTTGATCAGCCAAGATGAAGGTGAAGTAGGGGAAGGTGTGAGAAGACAGTAGATCTTCCTCTGTGTCCTTGGGGCTGTTCCACATGTCTGTCGTCACATGGTGGCGTCCTGAGTATAACCAGCCAGAACTGTACCAACCAACTCGTCATGAAACTCCCAGTGAAAGATCCTGGTCATGGGAATTTCCAGAAGGAAAAGTACTTGGTGTGTTGAGAAAGCAGCCATAGGCTTGGTGATTTGTTAAGCTCCATTGAAATTGTTAGTGAACTTCTTGGAGCCAGTGCATGTGTTGTCCATGGTTACAGGGCAAGAAGCCCTGGGGGGCTCAGAGGTGGCGGGCGCGCACATTTCCAAGGGTACTCATGTACTGGGCACAGTGGGCAGAAATTGTGACAGTGTCAACCAGACGTTTTATCTCTTCAAGCAGAGCCTAGAATCAAATTTAGTCCTGGAGATTTTTTCCATAGGAACTTTTGCTTTTATGTTTTCATTGATTAGTATTAAAAATGAACTGGAAAGCATTATGCTGAGTGAAATAGGCCAGGTGCTGAAAGACAAATACCATATGATCTCATCTTTAACAGGAAGCTAAACAACAAAACAAACAAGCAAGCAGGAAAAAAAAACAAAGACACTGAAATAGTAAACAAGGGGACAGTGACCAGAGGGGAGAAGAAGGGAAGTTAAGGGGAAAAAGGGGGAGGGATTTGGAGGAACAAATAGGAAGGACACAGGGACGAGAACTAAGGGGGGTGGAAATGGGAGGGAGGTGGGGAGCAAGGGGCGGGGGAGGCTGGGATGGGGAGAAATAGACAAAAAACTGTACTTGAAAAATAACTAAATAAAATTAATTATTAAAAAAATTATAATAGTAATATATGTTCACTGTAACACATGAAATAATACAAAAATATAAGTAAAAACTCACTTCTGGTAACCGCTTTATATCTTGGATACATTTTTTATACTGGTTAGATAAAGCTTGGTTCTTTTTAATTAGTACATCATATATGGTTATAACATAATTGATATTTGTTTTCTATTATAAACAATGACCCCGTGGATATATAGAAATTCTCTCTGGGTATATTTGCCCACATGTGTGACCAGTTGTAGGACAGATTCATAGAAGTAGAAAAGCTCTGGGTCAAAGGGGTAAATATTTCCAAATTGCCATCCCAAATTTTTGCACTGGTTTTACTTTCCCGGGAAGAACGGGTGTGTGTGTTTGCCCGCACTGTCGTTGACCCTGAGTGCAGCAGTGTTTTACACTTCGCCCATTGAAAAGTTTACATGTGATCTGACTACCAGGAAAGGCTGCCTTTCCCATGCGATGATTTTAAAAGAAAAATCAACTTTTAAAATATTTTATAGTTTCATTTTGCTAATTTAGATCATTGGCTAGCAGGTATTTATTTTGGTATAAGAGAGGTGAGGGTCAAATGTTTGTTTTTTTTTTCTAAATGCCTAACCATTTTTCCTAACACTTCTTGTTGAATAATGCTATTTTCTCCATTGAATTGAATAGTCCGGAGTCTAAAATCCAGGGTTTTTTGGTGAACAAAGGTTCTTGGCATTATCTATAGTTATTGAGCTTTTACTATTTTAATGCTTTCCATGACATGAAAAGTTGACGTTGTTGACTCAAGGCTCAAATTAACCACCTACTAGAATTTCACTGATAATAGATATGCATCCTGTAGCCTCTTTACTCCTATAGACTTGCTTCCTGGAGAGGGGAGCAGAAGAGAATCTTTCCAGTGAAACCTCCAGCTCTCCTTTCTTGTGCATTTTTGTTTAAGCACTGGCAAGGACTCGGGGCTGTGTTTGACAGCTTCTTGGAGACTCTATCAGGAGTCTTATTTTAAAATTAACCTCAGGACTTAGGAAATGGACTAATGTAGGCCTTATATACTGTGATTATGACACAGGTTTATAGCAGAAAAAAATATATAAACTAGACTTGAGCTTCCTAGAGATCAGTAGTTTGTCTCAAAAAAGGTTTACTCAAGATGGCTTTAGATGAAATATGCTACAATAGTTTTAGGTGGTGGGTAAGTTGGGATACAATAAGTATAAATATGATATTTCTTAGGTAATATTTACTTGTTGGTAATTACTATAGATTGCACCTTTGAAAACAATTTGTAAAGTTGATTATTTGCAAGTTGTTTTTGTATTTCTATATGGTGATTGGCAATGATATGTGTTTGTTTATGAATCTAGGTATGGTGTCTGTTTTGGACTTGATGCAGGGTGGTTTCCCATCACGAGCTTCATTTCATGAACTCTACAACATGTATAAGAAGTACATGCCGGATAAACTTGCAAGATTAGATCCAAGACTATTTTGTAAGGTACAAATACCAACTGAATTGAAATTTCTTAACTATAGGCATCTTTCTTACTAATTACTAGCTGTCCTTTAACTTTTTAACTTTTATTTTTCAGGCTCTTTTTAAAGCTTTGGGCTTAAATGAAATTGACTACAAGTTTGGGTTAACAAAAGTATTTTTTAGACCTGGCAAGGTAAATATATTTTTATTTTAAACTTGAACATGATAAATATGAATAGTTGGTGTTAGTGAATAATTTTAAGTGTTTAGTGATTTGAATTATTCTTGACTTACATGATCACTAACAGCATGCATATATGAATATGTGAGAAGTTTACAATGTGTAATACTCTATAAATTTTACGGTTTTTTTCAGCTTTGGAAATAATTGGAATCAGAGTGTTGTTTGATTGGATTTTTTTTGTGTAAGTAAGGGTTAGCCAGAAAATACTTGTGTTGTAAACACAAGTTGAAAGCTCTTCTAAACCATATTAACTCGGTCTTAATAATTAAAAATTTCACAGTACTCTGAAGTCTCTGTTGTGTGGAGAACAAGTTCCATTAAAGTATGATAGGTGTACAAGGTATAGGAAATTGGACTGGGGTTTCTGCTGACTTCCTTCAAACCCTAGAATGAGTGAGTGTGTATATGCTTTTGCATGTTAACATAATTTTCTTAGGCTAACTCATAGTTTTAGTATTTACGGGTTTCGTAGTAGGTTGTAAGACCAAGTTAAGAATATTTTATAACTAAATAATACAGAAATACCTAAATGCTCTTCACAATCTATTTATAATTTCACCATTGCTAACTTCTTTAAAATGATCGAATTATGTCTTAATCATTTTAAGCATACTTGCTCTTGTATAATAGTCAACCATATTTATTTGACTTAGCAAAATCATTAATAAGTATCTCTAGTTCCTTGAAGGCTAAATTAATCATAATAAATCTGATTTGACATTTTTGGGCATGAGATAAAATCTGCATAATGCATTAACAGTGTATGTACTTTCCTGTGAATATTTTTATTGCAATGAACCCATACCATTTCCTATAAAAGAGAAAAAAATTAAGAGAAAACATAATTATTCATATTTGGCTTAGCTGTAATCATATATATTTCTCATAAACTGAACATTTATCATATTTCAGGGCTATACTAATATTTTAGAATTGATAGCCTGATAGAGAAAGTACTTGGTCTCATGTGCTTCCAGAAAAATTGATCAGTCAGAAGAAAACGTTAAAAGCACATGACATATTTTCACAGATCTTTAGTCTCATTATGTTACCTTTAATTTTGATATGAGAAGCCATGATATTGATAGGCATGACATCCTCAGTTCATTGTAGTGGGGTACAGTGATTCTCCATGGGTGGACCACAGAATGTTTAAAACACGCAGTACCTGGACTACTCAGGGGCACGGACCTCTTTTCCCTGAGGTTGTCTGATAAGAAAATGACAACAGCCAACACCACAATAGCCAGCTGGTGTGAATGAATCAAAATTTTACCTATTTTTTGTCAGATTGGCCAAAATATATTTTTTGGTGTGCCACGGAAATTTAGTAATTACTTTATGTGTGCCATCAGATGAAAAAGGCAGAAGATCGCTGGTGGATTATTTGGTATGGGGTGGAAATTATCATGTAATTTGGTGATAAACTGTGGAAACGATACATTTTCTTAACTTAATAGTTTTGTTTGTGTTATGTCTCTTAGCAACAATTTCTTATCTCTGACCAAAATGAGGATGGGGTTTGGGGAAGACGAAATAGTTTTGGTGGTACATAACATTATATGGCTGACCTTCATTAATCAGGAACTATATACAGATATCTGAGAAAGAGGATAAGGCAATTAAAGATATATTAGCCCTTCTTTCTTCATTCTTTTTTCAGTAAGACCTTTTTGCCGATCATCTTTAATTGTCATGTAAGACTTTTTTCTATTTTTATGGCTGAACCTGCTAACTGGCAATGAGTAACCTGCCTTATTCTCCAAAATCCTGAAGGAACAAAGGAAGGAGGAAGAGAAAGGCAGCAAGAGATAGTGAAGTGTCCTTGGGTTTGCTGTGTAACCCACCGAGACATGCCTTAGGGCTTGTGGCTAGTTCCAAAAAGTTAGATTTGGGACTTGAGTTATTTTGTATCTCTGTGTGTTTTGATACTGATATTAAGTTACTTTATTTTCCAGTTTGCAGAATTTGATCAGATTATGAAGTCTGACCCTGACCATTTAGCAGAGCTGGTTAAAAGAGTCAACCACTGGCTTATCTGCAGTCGCTGGAAGAAAATTCAGTGGTGCTCACTCTCAGTCATCAAATGTAGGTGTTCTCTTTCACACCAGGCTCTGTAATTATTTTGCAAGTAGAATGGTATAAAGTTGTCTCGGTGGTGAGTGCTGGGCAACAGGGATCTCACTGCTTATTCATGTTGATTCTCTGGTTCCTCAAGTAGTACCTCATGTATAGTATGTGATAAATTAGTATTTGTGGACTTTCTCTTTTGAGTGTATATGATACTTTTTTATGTGAGAATTAATTTCATTGTGTCCTAAACACAACAGAGTTTACTGTCTTGATGGTTTTCTCTCCCTGCCCCCTCCTCACCTTTCCCACACCCTCCCCCAGTCTCTCAGACTTAAGCCAGAGCTCTTTCTATCTGCATGGCACCATCAGCACAATGTGCCCAAAATTTCAGGTTGTAATGATTTGTCCTTTCCTGTCCCTGAAATCGTGTCCATCGGTAAACCCTGTTGATTCTTCTAAATGGTGCACATCCTTCTCACTTGGTTGCCAGCACCTTAGTGGAGCCTGTCCTCCACGTGCGTAGCAGCTTCACTAGCTCTCAGAGTGGTTTTCCTGGGTCCCCAGAGTTCTCTCTGGAAACCAAAAGCTTTTTATTACAGCTCTTTTTATGTCAAGTCAAGTCTAAAAAGTCTATGTCTTAGAATCTTTCAAGATCACATAAAATGGGGCTTCAACGTGTGTTTCCAGCCTCTTCTCCTGCCTCTGCTTTTTTAGACCCTGTTCTCTGACATACTGTACTGAGCTGCTTTTCTTGTGTTCCTGGCCAGATCGTACAGACTACTTATCTCCGACCCCAAACAAGGGTGAGGGGCATGATATTTTAGGGTTACTTGAGTGTCTGTGGAAAACCTTTCAGTGTAAGGAGCTGTTGCCAGTAACTTGACTAAACTTGTATTTGCCCTTCTCTCCATACTCACCAGAGTACCTGAAACAGTGCTAGAAACCTGAAAAAAAATTCAGTAAATTGTTCCTTATTAATAGAAAAATAATTTTTTTTACCTAATGAAAAGGAGCCATGCAAATAAAGGTTATTATTGAGATATTTTGTTAGAGAGATATGAATATAGATAAAAAGAAAGCTATAATAAAAAAGATAACAGAAGCTCTTTTTCTTACAATTTCCCAAGTACAGTGTTAAACACTTATCAATATAGCTCAGTACTTTCAGCTTTATCCATTGAGTTATGATGGACAACGTATCACATTAAAATTACCTATACTATTCATTTGTTCATGGACCGTGTTGCACAGTGGTGAAGTCAGTAACCAGTCAGGATTTTTGCAGGATGCCGAGAGCAGCTCTAAGAAAATGTTTCAGGATCGAATCAGCGTAGCACTTTCTGGGTATCTGAAGTTAAACATTAATACATTCCTTTACTGTAGGATTCTCAGAGGCTTTACTCACTGTTTTTTTTTAATTTATTTTTTTAATTTATTGAGTTATTTTTCAAGTACAGTTTTCTTTTGTCAATTTCTCCCATCCCAACCCCCCCTCCGCCCCGTCTCCCCACCTCCCTCCCAATACTCACTGTTTTTATTGTGAATCTCCAAAAGTAGCGCTTAGCTTTTTCTAAATTCATTTGGCAGGTGAATCCTTCCTTTAAGACACACCTGTTAGCATTTCATGGACCAATATTGCCTAAAACAGTTTGGGGAGCAGTAGTGTAGCATAGTAGGGAAATAATACATTTAAAATGTAAATCTAGTCATAGATGTGGTATACTTTTCATTATAAGAATTATAAGGAATTAAAGAAATGTTCAACTTCTTGATTTTGATGTCTGGTGTTATATGTTCAGTAAGATCTCATGTTTCTCGAGAATTGTTTTGTCAAAGTGAGTAAATTTTAAAACTATTGTATGTCTGATTTAAACTGAATGATTTTCTATCATTATATTTTTCTCTTACACATAGTGAAAAACAAAATAAAATATCGAGCTGAAGCCTGCATTAAAATGCAAAAAACTATTCGAATGTGGCTTTGCAAAAGGAGACACAAACCTCGGTAAGATGGATAGTGACTGAAGAATACTACAAAACCTAATTTCCCAAATATGAAATGACTATAAAGTCATAATGAAGGGCAGTTTGGATACTAGAGTTTTCTTTCTCATGTTCTTATAAAACGATACATTAATCTGTTATTTCCACTATTTATTTGAAATTATTTGATTACTTCATTACTAGCCTCATTCTACAAAAGAATTTGAAGGCGCTTACAAAAATGTAGACCCCATGAAAGTTCGAAATAAATTGTTGTAAGAAGTTCTTTTATTCTGACTATTTTAGTGACTTGAGTTTCTTGATAAATGTCACAATGACATTGTTTATTTGTTAAATTTATTGGGGTGTCACTGGTTAATAAGATTATGAAGGTTTCAAGTGTAGATTTCTGTGATACATGACCTGTGCATTGTGTGCCCACCACCCAAAGTCAGATCATCTTCTGTCACCGTATGTTTGGCCCCCTTTACCCTTTATTACTCCTCCACCTCCCTTCCCTCTGGTAACCACCATGCCGTTGTCTGTGAGTTTCAGTTTTATATCCCACATATGAGTGAAATACATGATTCTTAGCTTTTCCCGCCTGATTTATCTTGCTTAGGATGATATTGCCGAGGTCCATCCAAGTTGCTGCAGATGGCAGTGTTTCCTCTTTTCTTTTTGCTGACTAGCGTTCTGTAGTGTATGTGCACCACATCTTTATCCGGTCACCTATTGAAGGGCACTGTGTTTGTTTCCAGGTCTTGGCCACCGTGAATAGTGCTGTGTTGAACATAGGGGTGCATATATCTCTGTGAATAAATGTTTTCAAGTTTTTCGAGTAGATACCCAAAACAGGGATTGCTGATTCATATGGTACCTCTATTTTTAATTTTTTTGAGGAACCCCCCTACTGACTTTTGTAGTGCCGTACCAGTTTACATTTCCATCAGCAGTGAATGCGAGTTCTTTTTTCACCAACACTTGTTACTACTTGTCTTGTTGATAATACCCATTCTAACAGGTGTGAGTTGGAATCTTAGTTTTGATTTGTATTTCCCTAATGGCTAGTGAAGGTGAGCATATTTTTATGTATCTGTTAGCCACTTGTATGTCTTCTTCGGAGAAGTTTCTGTTCAGGTCTTCTGCCCATTTTTTAATTGGATTGTTTGTTTAGTATTGAGTTGTATGAGTTCTTTATATATATTGGATATTATCCCCTTGTTGAAGCTGTTATTTGCAAATATCTCCCATTTGGTTGGTTGCCTTTTTGTTTTGATATAGTCCCATTCATTTATTTTTGCCTCTACTTCCCTTGCCTTTGAGATCAAATTGATAAAATTTTTTCTCATACCAAAGTCAATTAGTTTAGTGCCTGTGTTTCCTTCTATATAATTTGTTTCTGATGTTATACTTAGGTCTCTGATCCATTTTGAATTAATCTGTTTGTACATGGGAACAAACTAGTCTAGTTTAGTTGTTTTGCTTGTGGTTTTCTAGTTTTTCTGGCACCATTTATTGAAGAGGCTTTCTTTTCTCCATTGCTTTTGGCTCCTTTGTCAAAAATTATTTGCCCATATATAATAATGTGGTTTTATTTCTGGTCTCTTCACAACAGTACATAAAAAATAACACATCCTGATCAAGTGGGGTTCATTTTAGGGGCACAGGGTTGGTTCAACATATGCCCATCAATCTGTATAATACAACACATTAACAAAACAAAGGATAAAATCATACGATCTTATCAATAGCTTCAGAAAAAGCATTTGATAAGCTGCTACATCTATTTATGATTAAATCACTCAATAAAGTGGGTAGAGAAGGAAAGTACCTTATCATAATAAAAGACGTGTATGACAGATCCTCAGCTTATACCATACTCATACTCAGTGAAAACTGAAAGCTTTTCCTCTAAAATCAGGAAGATAAGGATATTCACTTTCACCACTCTAATTCAGAATAGTTCTGGAAGTCCTAGCCAGAGCAGCCAGGCAAGAGAAAGAAATAAAAAGTATCCAAATTGAGAATGAAGTGAAAGTGCCATAGCAGATGGCATGATTCTGTATATAGAGAACCCTAAAGACCCTGCCAGAAAACTAACAATAAGCAAGGAACAGTAAAATTGCAGGATACAAAATCAATGTACAAAAATCTACTGAATTCCTATATATTGATACTGTTTTTAAAAACATCTCATTAATGTTTTGACCATAATTTTTGAATTATGTGTAGGAATTGTCTCACTGTAAATTTAGTATTAAATTCTCATGTGCTTTTATTATTAATTGATACTCTTTAAACTTAGTCTGAATAACTGTTAATCTTTAACACCTTTAAAAGAGACTAGATAACTCTTAGGTTTTTCTTTAATTTGAATTCTCCAGTTTTTCAGTGTAAAGATAGAAGGCTTAAATCTTCTTGACAGACAGCTGTGTCCTTCACACCCATATTTGATTATTTTTTTTACCCTCAACAAATTATCTAAAAAAGAGAATGATGAACAATATGAAAACAGAAGTAAAATATCTTTTTAAACAATATGTTCAGCATTTTATTCAAATGGAAAGTGAACCTCCATAGCTGTAAGTGGTGAAAGTAAACTGATGCAGTGTTGTCTTTACAGCATTGATGGCCTAGTTAAGGTGGGCACCCTGAAAAAACGACTGGATAAGTTTAATGAAGTAGTGAGTGCCCTGAAAGAAGGAAAACCAGAGATGAGTAAACAGGTCAAGGATCTTGAAATTTCCATTGATGCTTTAATGGCCAAAATTAAGGTATGTAATTTTAACCCGAATGACTATCACTTTTTAAAGTAATTTATTATCATTTATTATTGGTGTTGAAATTGTATAGGAAAATGTTCTTATTTTTTAAGGATACAGAGTGTTACAATGTTGAGTCCCAGTGATGACCAGTGATGTTCATTATAATATACTCTCTACTCTAGGTTTAAAAATTTTTATAGCAAAAAAGATTTGAAAAGTTATCATACTTCCATTGGTTACTAGGAAAGATTTTTTTCCTCCAAAAATAGTAACTAAAATACTATTTATTGTTTATTGTTACTGAAATATTACTGTATTTAGTTTACTATTTACTATTTTAAATAGTATCTGAATACTCATTTTGTATGCTTTTGCATAATCATTACTGAAAAAGGATTAATGCAAATTATTTTATTTCATGTTTTTCTACTTTTAGAAACTAATTTTTAAATGATAAATGTAATATTGAACATTTAGAGAAAATTACCAAAAAACTCTCAAGACTAACACATGTAACTGTTTTACTGTTGTATGTTCCTTTTCCTGTCTTACTTTACGTGCACATGTTGTTGCATAGTTCTTATCCTAATGTTCATTTAATTTTGTCCCTATTATTATGCCATATGCTTTGTTTCTATAATTATCTCCATATAAGCTCTATCATAAGTTAGTTAACTGTTATGAAAATAGCATTAATCCTCTCCCAAATTTTGTAGAAAAAAGGGGCCTCTTTTTTCTATTAATTTTTATTTATTTACCAGTGGGATTGATAATTTTTTTATATGCTTGTAATTACATTTTGTCTGTTTCTTCTATTTTTTTCTGTTTTATTATATGGTCTTAATGTTTTTCTCATCAACTTTAACAAGTCAGTGCAATTATATGGTATATAATAACTTCAAATGAGCCTTTTGTCATAGTTCCTGCAGATATTTTACATAGATAGTGTTCAGTTTCAGATAGAATGGAGAAAGATTAGAGAATGAAAATGCTTTGGATAAGTTTAGTTGATTTTGCAAGTCTGTTAAGATCCATCCCTGTTTATGTGGTGTTAATTAAAACCAACCAAGCCACAGTTTTTGAATACTCACTTGGGAAAATCATCCAACAATGTTGGATGTATTTAATAATTTCTTAAATATTTCTTAAATAATAGTCTGAACATTATTATAAAAAGTAGTACACACTAGCAAAATGAACTAATTATTTCTTTGAAACTATTTTTTTAACTACAGTATTTTACTTTGTCTACAGAACCTCCTTAGGTATTTGATTACTTGATTAATGGAAAATAGATGTAGATATTTGTATGCAAAGATAACTTTTAAGTGTACAAATAGTTTAATAAAGATAATGGGCTTATTGCTTACCAACTTTTCTAGTTTTTGCTATATATGTACATATTGGGTTTTTTTATGGTGATAAAGGGAGATAACATTAAATTTACTATCTTAATCATTTTGAAATGTGTGATTCATAGTGTTCAAGTGTTCACATTGTTGTTCAAAAGAAGAGATAACTTTTTAAGTCCCTGTTTATTATTTTTTAAAGTCCACTATGATGACAAGGGAACAGATACAGAAAGAATATGATGCACTAGTTAAAAGCTCAGAGGCACTCCTCAGTGCTTTACAGAAAAAGAAACAGCAAGAAGAGGAAGCCGAAAGGCTGAGGCGTATTCAAGAAGAAATGGAAAAAGAAAGAAAAAGACGTGAAGAAGATGAACAGCGTCGAAGAAAGGAAGAGGAGGAAAGACGGATGTAAGTCATTTATATTGTTGTTTCGAATTAGAAGGAAACAGGACAGTGCATTCTTGTTGATAAATATTCTTATTTTAAATAGTCATTTTATTTTATTTTAAGTATATTTTATTGATTATGCTATTACAATTTCCCCCCTTTACCCCCTTCACTCTGTGCCCCCTTAGTTCATGTCCATGGGTTGTACATATAAATTCTTTGAGTTCTCTGTTTCCTATACCATTTTTTACCTCTCCCCGTCTATTTAATGCCTACCAATTATGCTTCTTCTTCCCTGTACTTTTCCCTCCTATTCCTCTCTTCCCCTTCCCCACTGAAAATCCTCCATGTCATGTCCATTTCTCTTATACTATTCCTGTTCTAGTTGTTTGCTTAGTTTTTGTTTTTGTTGTTGTTCTTTCTTTTATTTTTATAGGTTCATTTGTTGATAGTTGTGAGTTTGTTGTCATTTTACCATTCATATTTTTTATCTTATATAAGATCCTTTAATATTTCTTATAATAAGGGCTTGGTGATGATAAACTCTTTTAACTTGACCTTATCTGGGAATCACTTTATCTGCCCTTCCATTCTAAATGAAAGCTTTGCTGGATAGAGCAATCTTGGATGTAGGTCCTTGCCTTTCATGACTTCAAATACTTCTTTCCAGCCCCTTCTTGCTTGTAAGGTTTCTTTTGAGAAATCAGCTGATAGCCTTCTGGGCACTTCTTTGTAGGTAACTTTCCTTCCCTCTTGCTGCTTTTACGATTGTCTCTTTGTCTTTAATCGTGGGTAACTTAGTGATGATGATGTGCCTTGGTGTTTTCCTCTTTAGATGCAACTTCCTTGGGACTCTCTGGGCTTCTTGGACTTCCTGAAAGTTATTTCCTTCATCAGATTGGGGAAGTTTTTCTTCACTATTTGTTCAAATAAGTTTTCAGTTTCTTGCTGTTGTCGTTCTCCTTCTGGCACCCCTATAATTTGGATATTGGAATGCTTAAAGTTGTCCCAGAGGTTCAAAAGTTTATCCTCATTTTTTTGAATTCTTTCTTCATTCTGTTCTGATTGAATGTTTGTTTCTTCCATTTGTTCCAAATTGTTGTTTTGAGTCCTGGTTTTCTTCCTGTTACTCTTGGTTCCTTGGATATCTTGCTTTATTTCATTTTGGGTATCTTTCATTTGTTCCTTCATTTTTTGACCAAGTTCAGTCAGTTCTGTGAGCATTTTGATTACCAGGGCTTCAAATTCTCCATCAGATAGGTTGGCTATCTCCTCATCACTTAGCGCTCTTTCTGAGGCTTTGCTCTGTTCTTTCACTTGGGCCACATTTCTTTGTTTGGGGCCCCTCTTAAGTTGTAAGGGGGCGGGGCCTTAAGTAGTCACCCAGGCAGGGCAACCCTCCTTGCTGCTGCAGGGCTGCCTGTGGGGGAGGGGTCAGAGAGGGACAGTGTACCTCCCCTGCTTTCTCTAACCCACTTTTCAATGAACTCTCCTTTGAGTCTAGGAGTTTCTCCCACCTTGGCAACCACTACCATGGTCCACAGCCAGCTCTGAGTCTCAGTTTTCCCTTAAGTCAGTCCCTCCCACACAGCCTGTCCTGCCCCACAGCCTCCCCGTGGTTTCTCTCCATGGGTGGCCTCACTGGTCTGGTTGGTCTGTTCGACTGTTTAATTTCATGGTTTTTAGAGTTTCATTCAGTTTGATTTTCTGGCACTTCTGGTTGTTTATTGATTTTAGATTGGTTGTTATACTCCTTTTGGTTGTGTGAGGAAGTGAAGGGTTTCTTCCTATGCCTCCATCTTGGCCAGAACTCCCTAAATAGTTATTACTATTTGAAAATACCACAGTCACGTGCTGCGTAATGAGGGAGATATGTTCTGAGAAATTTGTCATTAGCTGGTTTCATCACTGTGAGAACATCATAGAGTGAATTTACATCTATACCTAGATGGTATAGCTTATTACACACCAGGGCTATATGGTACAACATCATTGTAGATATGGTTCGTTCTTGACCAAAATTAGCTTATGACTAATTTTAGAATAAGTTTGAAACTGGAGAAAAGCTTATTTTATAAAAATGAAATGGTTTTAACTATAATCTGAATTTTGGTTAGATTCTTACACCTGAGGATTTCTTCTTTTTTTAATCATTTTTATTCTTTGATTTAATCTTTGTTTTTTAAGATTTTATTTATTTATTTTAGGGAAGGGAAGGGAGGGAGAAGGAGAGGAAGAGAAACATCAATGTGTGGTTGCCTCTCACATGTCCCCTAGCTGGGGTCCTGGCCCACATCCCAGGCATATGTCCTGACTGGGTATCAAATCAGCGACCCTTTGATTCGCAGGCTGGCACTCAATGCACTGAGCCACACCAGCTAGGGCTGATTTAATCTTTATTATATTTCTTCCAATCATTTTTTATTTTTAATTACAGTTTATATAAATTATTATATTAGTTTCAGGTGTACACCCCAGTGATTGTACATTATATAAATTACTAAGTGGTTGTACTTCTTAGTCCCTTCACCATTTTTACTCATCCCTCCAACCCCCTCCCATCTGGCAACCATCAAAACTTTCTCTGTTACCTATGAGTCTTTTTTTGTTCCACTTGTTCATTTATTGTTTTTTAGATTCACTTGTTGACATGCATTATTATCATTTTTTGATCTTTTTTTGTCTTCTGAAAGAAGATCCTTTAACATTTCACATAATGCTGGTTTGGTGGTGATGCACTCCTTTAGCTTTTCCTTGTCTGGGAAGCACTTTATCCTTCCATTCTAAATGATAGCTTTGCTTGGTAATCTTGATTATAGGTCTTTGCTTATCATCAGTTTTAATATTTCTTTCTAATCCCTTCTTGCCTGCAAAGTTTCTGTTGAGAAATTGGCTGGCAGTCTTATGGGAGCTCCCTTGAAAGGAAGTAGTAAGCTCCCTTTCTGGTCACTAACTGCTTCTCTCTTACTGTTTTTAAGATCCTTTCTTTGTCTTTAAGCTTTGGCATTTTAATCAACATTTTTTAAAAAGCAGTGACTTGTGTGTTATTTAATAAGTAGTAAAAGGGCACTTCAACTTTCCTGTGGTTTTAAAACTGGTAACATTTTGAAAGGTTGGCATAATCTGATAGACACAAGAAACATAAAGTTGCTTAATTGGAGAAAAAGAGTACAGGAAAGCACATGTCATCAGTACTTCACAACTAGCTTTATAACCAAGTTAATCTAAAGATATTAAAGGTTATGCAATACAATTGTATTTGTTTTGTTTCAAAGATTATTGTCAATAGAGTTAGATTTTATTTTTTAAAAAAATGAGTTGATATGTATGTGGCCAGGAGGTTAATGTAAGTCCCATCCTGTATCCTTTGTTTATGAATAGTTAAATTGCCTTCTGAAAGATTCCTTATTTTATATTAAATTTTTGAAGAGTTTTCTATTTTTTGTTAGGAAACTTGAGATGGAAGCAAAGAGAAAACAAGAAGAAGAAGAGAGAAAGAAAAGGGAAGATGAGGAAAAACGTATTCAGGTATGTACTGATGAGATAGGTGAACCGAATTTCTATCAAAACAGAATCTACAAAATTATAAAACAAAAGAATTGAACGTAATATCTTGATTTGCTAGGTAAGCTGCCATTGTTTTATTCCAGAGATGAAAAAGTAGTTTCTGAAATTGTTATGGGAAGGGACTTTGGAGTTAGGGAAGTGACAGCACTGTGTCACTGACAGAAATTATGACATTGCACAAGCAGCAGTGAGTGACTGTGGGCCACAGTTTTCTCTCTGTGGACTGGGGGTAAATAATGGTTGTGAGCATCACACAAGTTAACACATGTTAAAGCATTTCGAACAGTGCTCAGTTCAATAAATAGTAGTTTGGTGCAATTATTATACCTAGGGTAAAGTCAGATGAACATTTACTTAAAACATCATTTTAGAATATACTTCAATTAAATAAATTATAAAACATTACTTTTAAACAGTTTTTATTTATTTTTCTTTAGAGGGGAAGGGAAGGAGAGAGGGAGAGAAATATCAATGAATGGTTGCCTCTCATGCATTCCCTGCTGGAAACTGGCCTACAACCTAGGCATGTGCCCTGACTGGAAATCGAACTGCGGTTGTTTGGTTCACAGGCCCACACTCAATCCACTGAGCTACACCAGCCAGGGCTATAAAACATTATTTTATAGCTTTGTAGATACTAGTAGTAATGGGTTATAATAAGATTCTCTCCTGGTCCTCATTTTTAAAAAATCTATGTCTGAGAATAATTAATTGATCATGTATTTGAGTTTCTTGGCTTTATTCATTTATCCTGAGCACAATGAACACTTTAAATTCCTGACATCTGCTTGTCTTGTGTTGGTGTTAATGTGATCCCTGGGATACTCATGTGATATCTGGGACATTGATAGTTACAGAAGGTGGAACTGTGGTTTCTCTTGGGTTTGGAAAGAGCAAGTATAAATCATAACATAGAAGAGACTAGAGACTGATGAAATTTCTGGTTAAACAAGGTATATTCCTTAGTGAGGAACTTGTCTAGAACAATTTTAAGTAGTAATGGGTGTGATCAAGTGAACATATGGAGACACCTTGGTGAAATGCTTTCTGTCCTTGGTAGGCTGAAGTCGAGGAGCAGCTGGCCCGACAGCGGGAAGAGGAGTCCCAGCAGCAAGCCGTTCTGGAGCAGGAGCGCCGGGACCGGGAGCTGGCCCTGAGGATCGCGCAGAGTGAAGCAGAGCTCATCAGTGACGAGGCCCAGGCTGACCTGGCGCTCCGGAGGTACTGGGCCGGCTGCTGGGTGGGGTGCAGCGTTCTCTCTTCTTACTTTACCTGTGTGCCTTTTATGTCAGCCCGAAAGGTATAGGAGACAATTCTATTCCTTAGTCCTGATGTATTTTAAGTAAACTAAATAATTTAAAACTTATTTGAATTCATTTTTATACCCAAGTGAATGAAACAGTTTATTTTATCAAATTCTTAAACTGTTAGAAAACAAAATTGGTATTTCAGCTCATGAGTACTTTAAGAAAACAGAACACCTCAACTTTTAGTCTGGAATAGTCAATGAGCATTGCATAAAGGGTAGATAGCTAATTTCTAAATACCTGCCATAAAATACTGTAATGGAAATCATTCAATATAGTATAATCCAATTTAATATATTTGAGGTAGGAATTTATTTTTCCTAATGAAAATTAAAAACTATTTGTATCCTAACATCTGAGATGAGAAGTTTTACACACATACCCTGTGTTTCAGAATGAATAGATTTCCTTTTCCAAGAAAGGAGGTTAATCACATTGAAATATTTTGGTTCCTATGGTTTCTGAATTATCTCTAAATACCATAGTTTTTAGAGTATGGAAGTTCTTATTAAAAGTATCAGGAAGCATCAATATACAGATTCATTTTACATTTAGAATGTAGAAACTTTAGATACTTCAATTATTTGTAAAAACAGAGCAAAACTAGTTTGTGAGTTCCCATGTATGTAGATATGTACATTCTATATATATTGTGAGGCACATAGATGTGTCTGACCATGCTTTTCAGAATGTTAGAGCACTGTTTACAACAAAATAAAGTTAAAGTAGCAACAACCAGTAGATGTTGCTATTTCCTTGTAAAAGGAAAATTTTGGTTCGTTTTACAAGGTGGTGCTTAGATTTTATTTAGCTGAAAACATGGTAGGGAAGGAAAATGGTATGTTAAGTTGCCTTCATGCCTTTTCTAGTAAGCGATTATATTGGGGAGTTCAGGCCAACCCTGGGGCCTGAATTGTGTACGAATGTATATTGAAATAAACTGAAATGGCTTAGCAGGCCCAGGTATGATAATAATTTATGGCTCTTGCATTTGAATTCAATATTTGGGCTATTTACTAACATTTACCATAATTAAAATATTTCCTCCCATCTCTGGCTTTTGTAGCTCTGCCTTAGCTGAGCTGCTGTTCTGTGCCTCCCACCTGTGCTGCACTGGAACGGCGGGGAGTCTGTGTAGCTGACTCGTGGGTTGGCCAGGCTCCTAAACAAACCAGGCTCTTACAGCTGCCACCCCTGATGTTTGCGGATGTCCTACACTGGACAGAGCTGCCTTTAGTATGGCCGAGAATCATTTCTTAAGGACGCATTAATGTAGTCATTATTGGTATTCATGGCCAAGCTTTATGTGTGAGCATTTGAAATATTAAGCTATATCCAGTGCCATTCCATATAATATGTATGAAATAGTGGGTGCTTCCCATCTTCAGAGAGGTGCACTTCTTCCAAAGTGATTGGTCTCAGAGAAAGGGTGGACCATTTAGGACCTTAAACGTAAATGACAACTTACCTGTGATTTAAGTTAAGCAGAATTAATTAGGTAATGGGACCACTGCTAAGTACTTAGGAGGTATTCAAGCAGTTATAACTTGAAAGGAGGAAGAGTTCATTTCAGTTCTGCTGTGGCACAGGCCTAGAGAGGCTGCCCGCCTCTGGAATCCCCACCGAAGCCTTTTCTGTGAACCCTCTTCCAGGAAGCTCTCATTGACCCCCAGGAACTATGAGCTCCTTCTCTGCTGAGCCTCCTGGTTATTTTATACTTGTCCTAGAAGCATTAGCAATTTGTTATGGGTGGTGTTCTGTACAGATTTCCACATTTGATAATTTTATCTCACTCTGTGGGCTAAGCTAAATGTTTTTGAATATTTACTTTACCTTTGCTAGTACTGAATTCTAGCAATTTATGAGTAAGAACTTTCTAACCCTGACCTTAATATATAGCATGAAAATGTTTTTCTTTGGTTCTGTGATGTATAAAAAAATACACGTAGACAGATTCTGCTGCAGTAAACGATGTCACGTTACTTTCCCAGCTCGGGTTCCCATCCAGTAACATCTAAGTAAGAACTGTTTTTCACATGTGTAATACACTTGAAAATATGATCTAAATCAATTACACGTATGATCCTTGGTGCAAAGTTGATTTCACATAGCAGGCATACCTTGAAGATATTGCGTGTTTGTTTCCAAATCATGGCAATAACGCCAATCGTAATCTTTTTGCTAGTGGAGGGTTGCCTTCAATTTGTGAAAAGCACAGAATTTGTAAAGCATAATAAAGTAAAGCACAATAAAACAAGGTATGCCTGTACCTAAAATTATAAATTAGTGTCCAGATCCTGTTAAAAACATACAAGCAAACCTCACCATGTAGGACTTTTGTAATCTAGATGTATACTAATATTTGCATACTAATTTTCAATGAATGCCTTTAATTCTCTTAGTCATTTCTAATGAAGATTTTAAAACATTAAAATTTGTAGTCATCTCACACATAGATTAACTAAAGATTACATAGTTTTTTAAATCAGTAAAGTCACTGAAACAAATTTGGCACAATTCAGATTTTCATAATTTCATAATTCAGAATTGGTTATGATATTAACTACAATGTATTCTTTTCACAGAATTGATGGAGCAAGACCCAAAATGACACCGTATGTCATTTTCCTTTTTAAAACTTGACTTAGTCATATAACCTTCTTTTTAATAGGTCATGGATACTTTTTAGGAGAAATAGTTTCCTCATTGAAGTGAATTTTACATTATTTCCTTTTATTAAAAAAAATAAGATAACTTTTTTTTTTGCGTGGGAAAAATGTCTAGTGCTCTTGTTTGGTGCTCAGTCACAGTAGTTTGTGATTTGGTTTCCTTCATTGTGTTTTCTAACCTTGTTTAAACACCCATTTTGTTTTATGTGTTTTTAGCTTCATTACTTAATGTCTTCATAGAAGCAGATGTGGGGGTATAAGTAAGAATAAATAAAGTATTTGAGTCATAGCAGATAGTTTAGTTTTCAGTGTATATAATAGTTTATTCTACAAATATCTAAAATAGCTCCTTATTAGAACTTACATATATAATGCTAATTTGGTTCCAGTGTATCTTTTTGTTATGAAAATTTCTCCACAGAGGGAGAATCTAAGTAACATTTGGGATGTACACATAGAATACATCTTTGCTTTATTTTTATATATTATTTTTATATAATAGATATAAAATTTTGGAATATATGTAAAGTCTAAATTTAATAGTTTTTAGACCCCAACTGTGATGTTTATAGCGATGGTTCTCAACTTTCTCAAACACCAGTACCAATAACAGATGTTTTATAGATAGTGCAACTTGTATAAATAATTCTCTCCAAAGAGCTCATGTAAAAGAGAAGTAAACACACGGTGATTTATAATAAGACAATGTTTATTTTAATAGGAAAGTACTTGGTCACAATTATAGAAAGCATAATCAGGGACTCCAGTGTTTGTGTCTATACAGAGAATCACCATGAATGCAACAGCCCCAGATGCAAATTTATGTGTTTCATCAGTCAAGTAAATGCCATGAGAGTGTGAACAATCTTTTGTGAAGATTAAGTACCATCTCCTCTACAATATGCAGTAGGCAAATTCTTACACAAATTATCGTGAATATTAAAACCAGGCAAAGAAAAGGTTCTTTTACATGTAAAATTATTTACGTATATGTGCATTTCATCTTAATATGTCTGGTGGACATATTTTAAAAATATTCTTGCCTGAGGATATATTTATTGATTTTTGACAGAGGGGGAGAGATGTGAGAAACATCAATCTGCTGCTTCCCATGTGCACCCCAAGTGGGGATTGAACCTGCAGCCTGAGTATGTGTCCTGACCAGGGATCAACCCCACAACCTTTTTGTGTATGGGACAATAGTCCAACCAGCTGAGCCACCTGGCCAGGGCTGTGTAGTGACATGTTAAAGTCACAAGGGGCATAGGGCAGCTCTTCCTTGTGCAGGACACTTGGCATCACTGACTGACCCTTCACTTCATCAAATGCCAGCCATGCAGAGAACATCATCGTTAACCTCCCAGAATTTTGAAAATGTTGCTGACTAGATGCTATAGGCTCTCTGTTAGAATTTCTTTATAGTTACCATTTGAGCATGAATTAAGCCCTGCAACTGGTGTTTAAGGTGAGATTGTGAGTATTTGCCTATAGTTTGGGAAAATCAAAAGGGAAAAAAAGCACCTGGATACAGGAACCATTTCTAATCAGTTTATTTGGAATAGCACCAAGAGCAGTAACATAGGGTCAGGTGAGATATTAAATCAGTGGAGATTGACATCCAGTGATGTGTTGGATCATACAAAGAAATTTCTGTGGTCAACAGACCCAGTGGTAAAAAGAGCTCTGATTCCCTTGAAACCTGATGTGGGAAAAAGAAATGGAGGGAGCTTTAAGAGAAAGGTGGTAAAAACAGAGGTGTTCTTTGCTCCTAAGAAGCCTTGAGGTAGGGTCATAAGAGAATTAGAAATAGTCATCCATCCAAGTTGTTCTGAGTTTGAAAGTTAGAAATTCTGACTAGCCTAAAGAGAGATCAATAAATTGTTCAATAAGTAATTTTCTGTAGGTGATATTTGTGGGTTTTATCCTTGATCATCAGTGTGAGAGGTTGCCTCTTCTCTGACTGCTTGCTTGGCTGGATCTGTCAGTACCTGACCTCAGCCAGGGCTCCTCTCAGGGAGGGAGGCTGCAGGAGTCTGCTTTATCAGTGCATCCGGGCCCAGGGCCGGCCTCCAGGAATCTGTGCCCTGAAGCAAACACACCTGTCTTGTTTGCTTTTGGTTTTTACCGGTTTGTTAGATTTTGAGGTCTACCAGAGTGTGATGAATAGAATGAGTAAAAAAAAATGATTGATTATAAAGGAAGACAGCAAAGGACAGGAAAATAAAATAATGAAGTTAAAGTGTTGAGGAATATGATGAAACATTAATTCCATTTCACAGACTTTAACAAATATCAAGAAAGTTCCATTCTTAGGGGTAATAAAAGATAAGGTTTTTGCCTTTGGAAAATGTTTGTCCTTGAAAGGTCAGAACACTTCTGACCATTATATTTAAGTACTTGATGCATTTGAACTTTTTAAAAAGGAATATGCTCTGATTTAGGATTTTAGAACTTTGAATACATCACACTTACTTAAATTTTGGCAGTGGAAAGTAGATCATCTTGATTACTTAATATGCCTTGTCTAATTACTGTTTTCTAAGAACTCAGTGCAAAAATCTTTGTGTAGAATCTGTATACTGCCAAGTTTCTTGTATGCATTTAGAACATGCAGATTTTATTCTGTACATTAAAAAAAACAATTTTAAATTACACTTTTAGGTATTTTAAGTAATTTATATATAATTGTCCTTTATATAACTATGTTGTATTATCATTTTTCTTATAGGGAACAAATGGTGAAAGAAATGTCAGAATTCTTGAGTAGGTTAGTGCAGTGCAATTTGCGGGAATAAGTGTCACTTCAAAATCATATTTTTTAATTACTCTTTAATATTTGGACCAGAACCTGTTATATGAATAACCTACTCTTTCCACGTAAATTTTCTGTACCAGAAATGTCACTTTACTCTCACTCAGAAAAAAATAAAAACTAGTGTTCTTCTAAATCGGTATTTTTCACCGATGATACTATTGGCATTTTGGATGGGACACTTCTTTGTTCTCAGTTCTTCTGTGCTTATCACTGGCCCCCACCAACTCAGTCACTTAGGAAACACTCCCTTTTCATGCGACAAATTAAGTATTTTGAAACTCCCCCTGGGGCAGCGCTGCCCCCTGTCTGGGAACCACTGTGCCTCGTTGGAATGGGGGGAAGTAAAGGACGCACGTGGCTCCTGAGGGCGTCTCCACTGTGTATCTTGCATGGTTGGAAAACCACTGCTGTAAAGAGTGAGCCACCAAAGGATAGAGCTTCCAAGCGGGATCTGGTCCATTGCCTTTATAATTGGATACGAATCAATAACATTTTACGTGTTAATTTTGAACTTACTGAATGAATTGAAAATGTAAAATATGTTTTTTTAATCTAAAGTCAACTTTGCTGTTACCTCACTATATTGTTCACATGATTGTTTCTATAACAGGCTAAATAATCAATAAATTACAGCTTTATTTTACTAACTTCCAGAGATGAGGGGGCATTTAAATGCATTTTACTTGCATACTTCTTAGGATGCTTGAATATGTTTTTAAGCAGGTGTATTTTTGTTTGAGGTAATATAAATGGGAAGTTAGTAATAGTACTAGCGCCGTATTCCAAGCAGTAATCTGAATTCAACATTATTATTATTTTTTAAGATCTCATGAGCACAAGATTATATTTTATTTACTTTTAATTATTTTATTGTTGTAGCATTATTATTTTTAAAAGTACCAAAACACATCTTATGTGTACTAACTCATGTATTTTCTGACATCTGTAAAACTTACATTACGTAAGTTCACTTTTTCTTTCAAAAGAAAATAAAGTGATGATGAAAAGCCCATAATCAGAAAAGATTCTTAGAAGAGCTAAGGAGAACAGAGAATCTTTTTATTAGTTTATTGAATGGCAGTTCAGGGATATAAAAAATACATATTTGAATAAATGTTAAAGCCTAATTGATTGTTAAGGGTAATAGAGAGACCTTGCTGACACACAGCTGGCTCTTCTTGGGCAAAGCAACTAAGAAGAAAAGGCTACGTGGAGAATTGTCTGTCACACAGCTTCTAAAAGTATGGATTCTGCAATAAACCTAAAACAGATTCGAACCAGAAAAATGCAGGAAGGACTAAGAGGCCACACATTATTTAGACAAGCTTATATGTGACCAACACTTTTTAAGTATGTAGACTGGATTATGCTGTTTTATAGTCTTTGAAAAAAAGCATAAATAGGCCTTTTAAGGAAACAAAAGTACTTATTTCATTGTTAAGCTTAGTATTGAAGAAATAATTTTCTTTATTTCAGGAAGAAGGATACATATTTTCAAACATCATTTTTCATTATCAGTTTTATTTAAGTATCCATGTCTTAACTGTCAAGATTGCTGTTGTCTTTCAGAATGTAAAATGATGAGAAAAGAGCTCATTTTTGTATTGTACCTTGATTGTTTTTCTCTAAGAGGAAATTTTTTGACTAGTGGATGATAAAGCAGAAGTTCCTGTGTGATACCTGAGCAACATTATTTTAGTTCTTTTAATAGTTGTCTCATCTTCTTTTCATGTCTTGAAATAGGGTGTGTTTAAACTCTTCCTTCATTACATTGTGCTTAAAAAGTGTCCACTTGCAGATAATTATGAGTGTCTCCTCTGTGGCTAGTGTAATCTGAAAAAATAATGCTCATTGTTACAGAACAGAAACTGTTTCCATATATTCTGAATAATTATTTTAAATTATATACAGAAACAAGTCTTAAACGCTGAGTGGTACTGCTATAAAAAAGTTGAATTTATCCCTTTTTATTTTAAAATATATTATTTTATCTGTTATACATATTTTAAATTTTTACAATGCATCTTTCTGTCCACTCAAATATTGCTGTTACACAGGACAAAATATAACATTTGTGCCCTTTGAAATCTCTGTTATCAGCTTCATGACTGAGAACCCCTTCCTTTAATTTACTAGTTGTCATATATGACTCACTAAATAGGAGGGTATGGTTTTCTTTGCTTATAGAATTTGCTAAGTGTTCTTTAATAGTGGAGCTAAAAAGTCACAGGAGTTTCCAGAATCCAGCAGCTTTTTGACTAAGGCGGTGGGTTGCAGTTTATCCATTTACCTGTGGACCCTGTGAAACTCAGATGTGCAGGGAGGCGCTGAGTCAGTAGGTTGGCTGGGGCTTGGCCGTCTGTAGCTTCCAGCAGAGTCTGCAAGGGATTGCACTGGGTGACCCTGTGGCTCATAAACACACCCTCAGTGTGCTGTTCATGATGCTGTGCAAGTATGTTGAGGACTTTTTTTTCTGATTTTTGAGGAATACATATAAATGTATATTTTAACTTTAGATGTTAGTGTATCCATCAGTTAGAACATTTAAACTGCAGCCTGGGGGAAATCCATGGTACTAGAATTTTGGAATGAAAAGTTCTGATTAAAATCCTAACATGGCTATAAAATTTTAATTTCCCTGAGCATTCTGTAGTACAACATTATTAGTTATCTCCATCAAAAATAGAAAAATTATTATGTCTTTCTAATGGTTACTTCCAGTTGTTAAAGTTATACTTACTTCTTTAGTCACCATTCATTCATGTTTCTAGTTTAAATATACAAAAATATGTAATAATTACAGAGGTCCTGCTGTACAAGCCACCAAGGCAGCTGCTGGCACCAAGAAATATGATCTTAGTAAATGGAAATATGCAGAACTGCGTGATACCATCAATACCTCTTGTGGTAAGTGAATGGCGAGGGTGAAACATGAGAAGGCTCTGTACCAACAGGTAATTTGCATAGAATTAGTAGAATTCATGCCCTTTGTTACTGTTACCTTGAAGTGAAAATCTAATTTACTCAGCTAAAAGAAAGGCATAATAAATTAAATTCATTTTGCCTTTCTCTTGCTTAGGTCAGAGAAGAAAAGCATGGAGAAATGGTGGTTTGGGGTGAATAACTGATGCTTCTGATGTTATTTATAGTAGTTAAGTACTTATAAGAATCTTTGGGTTCATGAATGCAAAGTAAAAGATGGCAGTGCAGTCCTTTTTTTTCAATACTACTTTTCTTCTAACAGAACAGAGTGAATACTGTATCCAGCAGACCCCACGCAGGTGTTTTCTTGGTGAAATCATAGTGTTTGAACTGATGACACTACGATGAATGAGGAACTGAAGTGTCATAATTGTACAGGACTTCTCACCTAGTTCCTGTCCACCTCACTGAGTTTATCTGCACAGTCACAGACATGAACATGGGTTGCATGTAAATCTGGCTTGCATTTCAACACAGTGACTTTTTATTCTGTTCTGCTCTATAACCTTGGACAGGTGACTTAGCCTCTGTGATTTAAGTTCTTCGCCTATAAAAGACCTATTTAGTCCAAAGTTATTAATATGGAACAAATTATATAAATAGTAATAATGCATAATACAATATTCTGTAAATGTAAAAGGTAATATTACCACAAAATGCTCATTTTTATCAATAATTAGTTTATTTTTATTTTGTACTATTCAAAATGAAAACTTTATACTGTAAATGTGTATATATGTTTATATGCCACAGAATAATTATGCTAGACAATTAAATCAGAATTTTTTTTTGCTCTGTTTATGTAATTGATAGATATTGAGCTTCTGGCTGCTTGCAGAGAAGAATTTCATAGGAGACTAAAAGTGTATCATGCTTGGAAATCGAAGAACAAGAAGAGAAATACTGAAACAGAGCAACGTGCTCCAAAGTCTGTTACTGATTATGGTAAAAACAAATCTGTACTTTTGAATGTTCCAAAGTGTGTATATATGTAACACACATGTACACATATGTGTTATATACAGTTACATGTATTATATGATTGCATGTATTTTATATGTGTGTGTATATTTTATGTTTATGTATATGAAAATACATGTAACTGTACAAAAGACATTTGGGTAAAATGTCCAACACATATTTTTCCTTACTGTAGAACTGTGGTCTGCTGAATCTAATGCAACCATGACGGCTCATCTTTTATAGCATTAATTCTATTAAATACATGTCTAAAGTCTTATTTGTTAGAAAGGATTGAATTTACTTCTTAAGATACATTCTAGAGGTAAGAATAATCTTGTCTATACTGAAGAGGTTGTATAATGTTATTAATATGTATTTTTCTGCATACACATGTATACACAAATACATATACATAAAGATGATGTGTGAAAACGTAAAGCTTAGTGTGAAAAAAAGAATGTTTCCTGCAACCATTATTTTACAATACTGTGAAAACATGAGTGAGAAATGGTACCGTGGTTTGTTCCAGAGTTTTGCCAAGACTAGGACTTGAGTTTTTGACTGAGATCCAAAAAATGAATCCTGTTCACTTTTTATGCAAATGGAAAGTTCTGTTGTTGACTCAGAAAATAGAGCAGGATAGACATAACCTGGTGAAAGTATACAGTAGCTTTAACATCAATTGGGAATAGCTGTAATATGAGTTGTGATTTCAGTCTTAAATGCAATAATTGGAATTTCATTTGTTCAACTTGCTACTTTTCAACTGGCACAATTTATTATCTTAATTCTGGTTAACATCAAGGTGACAGCATTTTTAGTGTCTTTATGTGTATATATATATATATATATTTTTTAAGATTTTATTTATCTTTAGAGGGGAAGGAGAGAGGGAGAGAAATATCAATATATGGTTGCCTCTCGTGCATCTGGCCTGCAGCGCAGGCATGTGCCCTGACTGGGAATTGAACCGCTGTTGTTTGGTTCACAGGCCCATGCTCAATCCACTGAGCTACACCAGCCAGGGCTTTTTTTATATTTTAAAGGCACTTGATACTAGCACTTTTTATACTAGCACTTGATAGTATAGTTTGTCAATGCATGTCCCCAGTTGACTTAGAAAGGGAGTTCTGTTATATTTTGCCTCCTTTACCTTCCTGGCAAATAGTAGCAGTGCTTGATTAAGGTCATTTAAATGGTAGAATTTTAATGTTTCTAAGTTGTTGCAAAAATAGATTGAGTGAGGGGAATACGTTATTAATAGGACAGATCTTAGTGATAGTGATTGCGGAAGGCGTGTCATCAGTTACAACATACAGCCAGAACTAAGAAGTGGCAAGTGGAACACGCTCTCATTGTTGATCTCCTGACCCCCACCGTGTTCACCCATTCACAGATTTGCCTCCTTCCTGTCCACTCAGATATTCCTGTTACACAGGGCAAGATATAGCACTTACGCCCTTTGAAATCTCTGTTATTAGCTTCATGACCTAAAACTCCTTCCTTTAATTTACTAGTTGTCAGAAATAATTTTTGGTGCAGTGGAAAATTTCCCAGTAAAAATTTATAATATTTGGTTGCTTAAAACAGTGACTTTGGAGAGTAATTTTACTTCATTGTTATTAAATAAAAATGGCATGTGCTTAAGATTTAGACAATTTGAAAAAATTAAAACATACTAGGTTTATCTGAACATGACAGTGCTTTTTCTCTCATGCATGTAACTTTTTCATGAATTTAAATTTATCTTTTTTTCCGACAGAAATTCTACTGATGCCTTGAAGTTACAATAATGTCCATTATTAATTCATTGTATTGGACTTTTGTTTGGACATTATTGTGTCACAAAGTCACAAATGAAATACAATTTTTAAATTTTGATCATCCTTTTAAGTCCATCAAGCAGAATTTCCTAAAACATAATCAAAGTAGTTTTTTTTTTTTAAATAAGAAAGTATCATATACTTGTAGGTAATTCTGAGAGTATTTGCCTGTGGATATTTACTCGTTAGTCACCACCTTGGTTGATGGAAAGGTTTTTATAAATTTGAAGAATACTCACTTAACAGTTTTGGCGATTTTATCTTCTCTTCAACATAAAATATTTGTTCACAGATTTTGCACCATTTTTGAACAATTCACGTAAGTCATTGGGTGGTAACTTATGAGCTAACTGGACAATGGGTTAAAATACTTAATTAAGTACTAACTTCTGTTAAATGCTGTTTTGCTACAATCTTTAAGTGGAATTATAGCACATTAATGTTGGTTTATCTGTGCTAGATATTTAATTTGAGATGATGCTTCCATTTGGATCACTTCAAAATATAATTAATAACAAAATTGAATTAATCTGTTTTATCAGATCACTTCCTTTTCAAAAGTGACTAGCATTCTCAACCATGAATATACATAATTCTTATTGTAGCAAAACTCTTTCTTGATAAGCAGCTGATCTTTTAGAATAAAAACTAACTTCAGGTGCTGGTTTCAAACACTGTGGTGGCATAAGCATTTCTGTCCAAGGAGATTTGAGTTTTGTATGATAATACAAATACAGGTTTCATAGGACACCACTGAATAGGAAGAGGAGATTATTCTGTTACTTTTCTAGTTTCCCATGATACACCTTTTTTGTTAATTTAGAATATTTAAGTCATCTTAAAACAGTAAATTTCTTCTAAAATTTCTAGAATCAGTTTCAATAGTGATTTAGACATACAGCAAGTCCTCGAATAACTTCATTTTATTCAGTGCTGTTTAGCTGTAACATTGAAGAAACGCCATAGGAACTTAACTCTTGTTGGTATCAGTTAGCCAGCAGCGAAGTTGGTTGGTTACATGATGTGTTCCTTCACTTGTGTCGCTGAACCTATTAATGGCATTGAGTAAGGACTTACTGTAATGCCATGTTTATTTCCCAGCTGGTTGGATCTGATTTTTTAAGTGCTTTCAGTAATTTATAGGGCTATATTTGAAACTTATTTTACACTTTGAAGATAACATCATTGGATGTGAAAAAACAGTTCATAAGATTAGTTTCAAGTTTTTCATGTCTGTACCTTTGTACTTTTCCAGATGGATATTTGATTCCATGTTTCCCTAATACAATTTCAGTTGTAGAAAACTTCTACAACTAATACAATTTCATTAGTAGAAAAAGCTATCAAAAATTTACATTGTGTTCCTTAATTTTATGAATATATTAAGTTACAAGAGACTGTTATTTTTATGAAAAAATAAGTTAACATAATGGGTGGTGATCGATATTGTAGTAAGATTACTATCAGCTGGACATTGAATTATACTTCACAGTTTAAGATGGAGGGAAGGATTTTATTTTTGCCCTTTTAAAGTGTCTGAGTTTTAAGTTAATGTATTTTCTACAAAGTGGGTCATTTTACATGGAAACACTGACCTGTAAGTAGTTTGTGGGGTACAGGATCAAAAGAACAAGTAAGCTCTGTCTGTTAACCGCTGAAGGGGACGTGGCCTTTGCACTAACAAAACTGGGTCTCTGTCCGTTCTTTCCTAGGCGTACACATGCTTTGCTCACTGCTTTTTGCTTTCTCCGGTTTGCACAGAAATAATGTCAGCCGCTGTAAAGCTTTGGCTATTGGTGTTAAAAATAGAATAAGACTATTTTCATCCTTTCGGTATTTGGAAATTCTTACAAAAGCCATATGGCTGTTCTTGGCCTATACATAGTATATCATTTTTTACTGACATACTTAGCTTTTCAGTGAGATTCTTAATTGAGCTGCAGTAAACGGCTGGTCCACTTTAAAAGTTGTGAGTATAAAGCATGTTAAACAGACTTACCCGAAATATGTTGCTGAAAATGTAACGTCATTGCTCCAGAGAAGTGTTTATATTTGAAGATAAAATGAAAACCTAATTGAGCAAAGGAAAACAGTTTAATATCAAAAAGATAACCCCCTGTTATATACTCTTCACTATTTCAGTGGATTTTATTCCAAGAGGAATATATTTTCAGAATAGGAAAATATCTGAGGGAAAGTTCATGCTTACTATTAGAGTTTTTTGTCTTTGTTGTTGTCTTTAAGTTGTTTAAATGGTGTTAGTAAAATATCTATTATCTTAGCCATTTTAAACCCCAAGATTGGCAAAAGAGAAAACATTGGTCTTCCACTTTATTGAGAAACTTGCGATTAAATTAACGTAACTGTAATCCTTCAGATTTGGGAAATTACTATTTGTTTGATCACAAATAGTCCTGTAGAAGTTATCCTTCAGCCTTTGTTTGAACTCTTTAGAAGAAAAGTACAAATCTAGTTAATAATACTAGTTTGCCTTCCTGCCAGTGTGGCTCCTGTTGGGGCGTGCTCAGGTGAGCACCTGTGTGTGCGCAGGGCCCAGGGACTTCTCAGGGAGAGACAATTCTAAGAAATTACACTGTGAATTGTATTTGTTTACAGGCAGTTATTATCTACATTTTGTTTCAAACTTACCAGTAGGAAACCCTCTTCTTCCTTTTAAAAAAAATTTTGTGGTACCTTTTAGGATTACAGGCTGTTTCGTTATCCCTTGGGCCGCTGGTGTAAAACTCTCCTTGTTCTGTGTAATAAATAGCTCAGCAGAACCCGGCGGCTCAGCTTCCTGCCAGGCAGCAGCAGATTGAAATGAACCGCCAGCAGCGCTTCTTCCGCATTCCGTTCATCCGCCCTGCTGACCAGTATAAAGACCCGCAGAATAAGAAAAAAGGCTGGTGGTATGCCCACTTTGATGGTCCCTGGATTGCCCGGCAAATGGAACTCCATCCTGACAAGCCACCCATCCTTCTTGTGGCTGGTGTGTATGACTCACATGAAAAAAATATGTAAAGCAAGAAAGGATTATGAACTCTCAGTGGAACAGCCTAATATATAATGTAATAATTCATTAAATTTCAGGATTGATGGGTGGAGTTTTGCAGTTAAAGAACATTGTCAGTTAATTGAGAATGAATTTATTTATAATGTGAACTTGCTTGGGTTATATCCTTGTAGAGCACATAGAAACTTGTCTGTGTCCTAAGGACTTTTCATTTGGTATTTAATTACACTGGTTGATTCGTGATGGATTAAAGAAAGGCAGCATTTTCGTTGGCCCTAATACTCTGATCATCTGTAGTGTTTATACGTTTTGGAAGGGCCCTTGGTAGAGGACAGCTTTGTTTCTGGTGAGTTTATTAAGCAGATTTCAGTCTTAGAGGAAGAAAGTAAACTTTCAGAAGTTCTCAAAACCTATGAAAATTGATAGGTATTTCAGGAATACAGTTTATACTAAATGGTTCTGAAAAAGATATGGTAATTCTCTTTATGCAGGTAAGGATGATATGGAGATGTGTGAGCTGAACCTGGAAGAGACAGGCCTGACCCGAAAGCGTGGTGCTGAGATTTTGCCAAGGCAGTTTGAAGAGGTTTGGGAGCGCTGTGGAGGCATCCAGTACCTTCAGAGCGCAATCGAGAGCAGACAGGCTAGGCCCACGTATGCAACGGCCATGCTGCAGAACCTGCTGAAGTAGACGTCACACACTGCTGCAGCCGGCAGCCCTTGCTCTGGTACTAGGCAGGGTGTGTGCCCCAGAGATTTAACCATTCCACGATCATGTTAGAATTACTTACACAAAGTGAACAGATTTATTAATCATGGCTTTTTGTTGACTTAAGATTAACTAGGGTAGTGATTTGGGGACCTAAAAATGATTTCCTGTATCCAGCTCTAACTGTTAACCCTCTTGTTATTCTCACACTTGTTACACTTGGACAGATTCTGATGTGCCTTGTTTTTTGCAGACTACGTTAAGTCTGTTGTAATTGTTCCCTAGGAAAAGAAATTTGAAAACAAAATCCAAAATACTTGAACTTTAAGAATGGCACAGTACAATATAACTGGAATAATGAAACAGATTAAATTTTCTTAGAAAAATTAAGATCCTTCAAATGATCAAGGCACTAATGTTTTGATCGGAAAAGCTCTCAACTTTCTTTACTCACTTTTGACAGAAGTTCATGGAAATTTCCATCGGAGGTGGGCATCTTTATTTTCCTCCCTCCTTTGCAGTGTATCTTAGTTCGGATAGAGCCATTAGCCTGAAGCTCTGGCATTATAGAAAGAGTCTTAATGTAACTGGTGTACTTTGTGATCAAGAAGGCACTCATAGTATTCTGCACAGATTTGTTTTTCTTTCCCATTACATTGTATTGTTTTGAGAACATTTTTCTTATATTCCATGCACAAATAAAGGAAATTCAGATCATGTAATGCTTAAAAGTTTTGAGATAACTTTTGTTTCATTTAGAAAAGGAAATGGGTTTTAGGTGGCACTGTGACTTAGCTAAACTGAATCCAAATATTCCTTTAACTTCACCTCAATTGCAATTTTTACATCAAAATCTTGTCCAGGTGTTTCATATGATTTAAGCTAGTGTTCTGTTTTAAAACATCCTTGTTTTTAAAAAATTCCTAGCATCGTCTTTGGTCTTTGTGATTTTGGTAATTGTAGAGCTGTTTTATAAGCTTTGTAATTCAAAAGGCTTTGTACTTAGTAATTGCTTCTTTTGTGTAACTGATAATTTAAAAAAAAAGTTTTCCTTGTGTGGAGTTAGTTTTGATCAAATGTCAGCAGTTTGTAGTCCAATATTTATGACTCTCAGTTAGGAATTCGGAGACAAAACTACATCAAGGAGTTAGGCTGTCATAATCCTACAGAGTCTTGTTTGTATTTAAAATAAAATTAGAAAATAAAAGTATTCTCTGTGCTTTTTTTTTCTCCTGATTTTAAAAGACACTAACTTTTGAACTGAATGTTCAGTGATTTTTTTTCCTGCAAAGAGTACCTCAGAAATAATTCCCAGATGATTAGATTAATGTTTGTGCGCCACAGACACTTTTAAAAATTGATTCTCTCATAATGTGTCATTGTACAGAAATGTCACTATGATACGGTGCAAATGATCGTTTTCCATTAAAGACATTAAATGGTCCTGTCTCTGCTGCTGAGACTGCGAGAATGAGTCCCTTTCCAAGGCTGTGTCCCTCCATAGACCCACCCACTCTGGGTCCCTGAGGTTGGTGCCGGAAGGTCTGGCTACTGAAATGAGTGCCCTCTTTCCTCTCCTCATCATTCGCCTTTAATCGGTGTTCTTCTTTGTATAGCATGGTGAATGATGAACTTCGTTTCTTAACTAGTAACAAGGTCCCTGAAGAAACCTTAATAACCAGGTATATTTTTAATGACTTGTCCCTTTAGTACTATCTTCACAAACAGTGTGTGTATAACAGATACATCTAGGCACTGCATGGACAACTAACCAGCCATAAAATTATTATAATGACAGGACTTCACATTTTGAAGAGTTTGTAAGAAATGTATCACAGCAAAGCACTCCTCCAAGTCTTTAATACTTAGTACAGTTACAGTTAGTCTTAAGCCATTTTGTTGCTAATTATGTCACACAGCTGTCCTAGAACTTATCTATTTAAAGTAGTCTCCTGAGTTAACCTTGGCTACCAGGAGAATTGCCCTACTTCAGGTGCACTTACAATAACCTACATACAGTAGAGGCACATACACACAGAAGCCACTTTGCTGGAGAAATTGAGGGCCTTAGTCTTTAAGGGAAAGAGCAGAAACCGTGTTCTAAAAGGCGCTCATGCCCCTGCTTTCCAGTGTTCACATCGAAAGTCACAGGTGCCAGATGAGAACTGTAGAAATCAAAAGTCAATTTACATTTTAATGAGTCATTTTAATTATTTAAAATTAGAAGTTTAAGCCAGCATACTATATATTAAGAAATAATCTTCTTTTAATACTACTCTTACTCAATTCCAGCTCCTTCCTTGGTGGATACTTTGCAAAGGTAGACATACATAAAATATTAAAAATGAGAACAAAATATTTTCACATTTGACTCAATTATAATGCAATTCCTAATTCCACTAACGTTTCTGAGATAGGTGTACACTGAAATGCACACATGTCGAGGAACGGTGAGTTTTAGGTGTAAAGTTGAGTAGGTGGCACCCAGAATTACGTGAGGAAGAAGTAATGCATATAGGAGCACAGGCCCACACAGGTGACGTTAAGTTGTGACTTGAATTCTGCTTTTGGTAATGACTTCTGATAGGTCATTCTTCCCAGTAACACAGGGAACCCTTTTATTTAGCAAGCAACCAAGAACGGGTTGTCTCAAGTGGAAAATAGATGGTATTTGCAGAATCTTATATAGAGAATGGGAACTCATGGGCAAAAACAGTGATGACGATTTATTGTTTATAGAGCTCTATTAACTGGATTTTTAAATGATATTTCATTCACAGGTCATTAACTATGGTTCTCAGGGGATCCAGATGGGTAGAACTTTGGTTTTGTTACTTGAAGTAACGTAAGAGTACTTGGATCAATAGAATAAATATTTATTGAATGAATCAGTCAGTCAGTTAATATAAAGTCAGTAGTAAACTTATGTCTTTTTACCTAAGAGGTAACAGATCCAGGGAGGTCAAGTGATTTAGTTCTAGACCATAAAAGAGATCTGAGTGCCATTGCTTCAGTCATGTAGAGAAGGAGAGAATCAAAATGAGGAGACTTTCTGAGCAGCCCCCTGAGGTTTTACAAAGGGTTGCTCCTTGGTTGTTCCACATCTGCAGGGGGTGGTAGGCTTTCTCTGTCTTTACCAGCAATAAGTAGTGGAGTTTTTGTTTGTCACGGAAGATAAACTAAGAAGGGAGAAGAGGACAGCGCATGTCCAAAAATGAGAAGAAGGACAAGTTGAGGGAACGGTTGTAAGAAAAAGGAAAGAGAAGAGCAATGGTGGAGGAGCAAGAAGAAGGGTGTGCCTCTGAAGACCACACCCCCAGGCTGGAAAACACAACATTTTCAGTGACAAAGCACTCCTAGAGCTTTGCTAAATTTTAGAATGAATTGTATGTAAGAACAGAAGCTACGGTTATTAAATCTTGGATTGAGATAGACCTAGTATATACATTCTTAGCACATAGAAATGACATTCTGCGTGTAAGCCTCGTGGAGAGATTGAGTGGAGATGCTCTCAGGTAGAGCCCACCTGTGTGGGACCAGATCTTGGAATATAATTAAGTTCAGTCAAATCAGTGTGTGCTTTCTTTCCCATCACTGACCTAATACGTGAAGGAAGTTATCATACTTTTGGTTGTCATCCTTTTTGATAAGCTTTTCAAGAGATAAGAAAAATACACATCAATAAAAGAATCTTTAATCCTGATTTTTACCTGTGCAGAATCTCACCTTCAGACCTCAAATAGATTTATTAATTGGCAATTTTCTTTTCACTTTTGAAAATTCATTTAATTGCAACTGTTACCTCTTTTTTCCTCATTTTCTTAAAAATGTATATCTGACGCTTTCCTACAATACTGATGTACTGGAAATAATAATAAATGTCTTCTCTGTGGAACTTCCTTTTGTCTCTTGGGCTTTTAATACAGTTCCAGGGAGTTACACACTGCAAAAAGTCGTGAGTGCTACACGTGTCGCCCATGTCTCAGATGGTGTAAGTTCGAGAGGTCCGTCTGGGCTTCTGAAGCTTCACACTGGAGCCGGAAACCCTGTGCTCGGCAGCTATAGGAAGGGGCAAGGGACTCGGATAACTTATCCCAAACTCCTCTGGGTTTTTCATCCACAAAACAAACAGGTCTGTGAGTCTCAACTACTCATTTGCCTAGATTAGAGGAAAATGAAATCTTGGCTCCCTTTCCCCACGCCTCTGCCTGCGAGGTGACACAGGATGTAAAAACTGGGGACCCAAAGAACAGACTTTCCAGTACAGCTGAGGCTACTTTATACCTCTTGTCTGGAGCCGACCATGATCCAGTTCTGAGAGTGTGGAGAGACCGGGCCGTCTAACCTTGGCAGCTCTTCTCTGGCTGGTTTGAAAAGGCCAGTCTAAAAAGTGGGTGATGCAAAGGGTGAGAGGCAGTTACTCCTCCACAGGAAATGAAGGGTTTATCTGTTTCTCTTTCCCAATCAGAAACTACCTTCTCTGCAGTAGCTAGAACACAGCTGAATTGTAGAGAGTGGGAGGGCACATTATGGGAGGTAAGAGTATTAGATTTTCATTTTCCCTTTTGATGCAATTTTTTTCATGAGCTTTGGGTCAACTTACCATGCATTGTTCTAACAAGCACGTTTTCCTCTGGAAGTTCCAGGGATGTGGAAGTAGGTACATCTCTTGCTGTCATTTTTTGCTTTGAGGTACTTGATTGTCATCATGATCTGAAGTCCTTGTCAAATATCATAGCTCCTCACTTTTGGGGAGGATTGGAGTGGGAATACGGATGAAATTTAGGCATTTGTGAGACCAACGTGAGTTTCCAGGAATTTGTAACCAGGGGCAAATACCATGTCCCTAAAGATTGTCCCTATTATTGGGAAACATTCTGTTTTGTTTTTATTTTTAAAGTTTACAGCTAAAATGTTGCTGTCAACATGTAATATTTTGTTATCTTTCAGCAGCATTAAAATCAGGCTTAAAATCATCATAATCCATAAAACAAATCCAGAGAATATGTACTAAAACACAGACCCACTTTATTATAAATCAATGAATATATGGTGCTCACATTTTATTGAAATTAAGATTTTACAACAAGTATGTTTGATAATGGAATATTTGAAAAAGATACAGAGGAGTTCATTTTTCACTAAGTAGCATGTTAAAAACGGGCTGAACCCGGTTATCTCGATGCCAACCCCCCTGAACACTCACTGGGGTCAGTGTGGTGGCGTGAATGGGTTATAGGAAGGCATAGTCATCTGTGGGGGGAACAGGGATCGCCTGTGTCACAAAGAACAGCCTCGTCCCCCAGCCCTCGGTGCCGTGTGTTCCTTCAAGTAGCTTTGTGCAGTAAGGAGAAAAGATTTTCTATGGTGTGTATATCTGAAGCCCAGTAACTTTTTCTTTAAAACATCAAAAATAATTGGCATCAAAACAATATACCATATAAGCAGTAATTTCTTTTTCAACTGATGTGCCTAAGAACTGAAATTGTGTGTGCGTGTGTGTGAGTTACACAGATGGAAGTGTGGTGCATATACACCCTCACCAGTGTTTACATGCCCTGTGCATCCATTCATTTAGAAACCTGCGTGTTCTTGCACAAGTGGTCAACTTTTATGGACATTCTAATATATGAAGAACTTTGCTTCCTGATATATTGCTCACCCCACCCCAAAACCCCAATTTGTACTTGTAAGTGATCTATGATTATTTATGATTATTATTTTAAGGGCACCTGGAAGCAAACCTGGTTTATTATTACCTTCACTGTGAGCCAGGAGTAGCTGAAAGGTTTCACTGATTGTGTTTTAGGTTTTGATAAATAAGCATCTTTTTCTTCAGAATGTATCTGTCATCGTGCAGAACTCTCTGTTCGAAACACGGTTGTGTGCTGGTTCTCAGTGTTGACTACGTGCCTGGCTGCCGAACACCCATGAAGATGCCCGCCTAAGTTTGCAGGATTTTGACAGAGTGGATACAGTTTTCCTTGAGAAAGCAATCCATCTCTCTTAAGATAGATTAAATGATAATATGTACATTTTCAGTTTTTAACTTCCTTCCCCAGTCTTGATGGTTCAATTCTTCATACCCTATGGTCAGTAATTCAGAATTTCTTTTTCTGGTTACCTGTAAGAGAAGATAATTTTAAGAGCTTAAGAAATGCCATGGATGAGAGAATATGCTTGCCATTCAGGATACTTTTTTGAAAGATTGAACATGCACCCCACCCCCACATATTCCTAACTTTTTAACCTCCTAGAAGTATATTCCATCTCTTCTTAAATCTGTTGAGATTCTCAGGCTGAACCATCCATCTCTTGAAGCAAGGGTGGCACATAGTTGGTGGATGCAAGTCATCATGTCCCCTGGCAGCCGCAGCAGACATTATTATCGCATGTTGCTTCTTTATTGAATTGTGGTTCTTAATTCTGCCTGGCACCTCAGGACTTCGTCAATGTTTGCTTCATCCTGGCCACTTTGTTAATGTCAGATCCTGTGTCCCGCTGTCATGTTATAGCTTGAGTCTGAACTTTCTCTGGCTTTCTGACTCTTCATCCCAGGAAGTCTGAGTGGCTCCCACTGTTCCCAGGGTGCACTGGGACAGGTGGCATTAGCATGAGCATTTGGTGCGACTGCCTCATATCTTCCTGGCTGTACACTGCCTGTAATAACTTGTTTCAAGTGCAAGCATTGACCTGTTTCCGTCCGACACAATAGATTTCTGGTAGTGGGGACACTGGCTGATGTTTACTCAGTTTTACCATCAAAGACTAGGTGTAAGTTTTGAAACTAGGTAATTTCAGGCCAAAATTACTTAAGATCTTTTTCCAAAAATCATTTTGAAAAAGCTCAGTGTAGGTTATATTTTATCTGCTTATAGGTAAGTTATTTCCCTTTTGTAAACTGATAATTTTTTAGCAAAAAAGTTGATGAGTGGATGAGTAATGTAAAAATGGTATGTAGAACACTGGAAGGAACACTTACCTGAAGATGAACTTTCAGGAATTTTTGAAGTTACTCATTGTTCACAAGTTATTTCTGCATATTTTCTACATATGTTTGCTTTAACTGATTATTTGACATCAAAAGAAGATATTTTACAAGAATGAGCATAAAATGGTTCAGTTCCAGGAAATAAATTATGAAAATTTCAACCATGTTGAAGTGCATTGATATTTTCATCAGAAATGGTTAAGAAGATTATAAAACGTGTGGCTTGCTTCTACTATTTTTTGTTTTGTCTACACATTTCACCTAATGCCAGCCTTCTCTGCTCTTCCTGCACCAGAAAGTGCCTTTCCCTCCACTTAACACACTAAATTCAAATCCTGGTAAATAAAGGAAAAGTGTTTTTACTTACCTCTACTTAAAACAAGAGACAGGCCCAGAAATGTTTCAAATGGCCTTGAAGATTCAGAAATTAAAATCAATATTTAAAACTATGAGTTTACCCTGTTATTGTGCTGATGTTTAAACCTTCCGACACTAGTTCTGTGCGCTTGATTTGGGGAGTGATCTGATAACCTTGCAAAGCAGAAACGTGATGTTCTCTTTTCCGGGCTTCCGGGCATGAACAGCAACTACAGCTCCCTACTCTTTTAGCTTTAAAATTATTGTGATAAAAGGACGGGTAGCATATTTTTCCCGTGCCTTCGTTAGAGTTGGAGTAAGTGTGCTTCCTGTGTCCCCTGGGGGTTCGCCTGCCAGTCAGCTTCCTGTTTCGTAGGCAATAGTCTCAGAAGGATTGGACAAAGCATATGCAAAAGATGAATGATAAAGTCAGCTTGCAAAAAGGGGAATTATTTTTTAAGTCAAGTTCTGAGTTGTGGTTATGAAAAACTAATAACATTTTATTCATCTAATTTCAAAATAAAATTATCCTAAAGTTTGATGTATATCATTCCAAACTTTTCTATATACATGTTACATAATTACCGATGACCGTAACATCAGGGAAAGCAGGGAGTTGGGCTTTCCCTCACTATAGGAAGGAGGGAAAATCGTATCTTGGCCCCAGGGCTTGATGGGAAGAAGGCAGAGGAGAGGTAAAGTTTTAGGAGGTTGAGTAACAAGTTCCTTGTTTCTCCTACCACCAGTTAAGGAAGCATTTTTTGCCCAGCTTGTCCTGGTTGAGTGAATTGGAGGCTTCTAGACTACCAGGGGACAGGCAGGTGCCGGGGTCAGAACTAAGAGATCACAGGTGAAGAGAATATGGGAGAGAAACTTTCCAAAGGACCTGGTGAGACAGCACCCTCCGCCCCCAGTGCATAGATGATGGGAAGGGGAGAGGAACTTTGAGCCTGACCATACATATATTTCAAGAAAACTGGGTTGTCCAAAGAGATTGCTTAAACTGTCCATCAGATGAAGTTTGAAAAACTGGGTTAGATGATACCAAACTCGCCCCACCCCCACCCGGGCTCCGCTCCTGTAATCCCGTGCAGAAGCACTCCACACAGAGTGAGGAACAGCTGCGAGACGAAAAAACGAGCGCCCCCACCCCGTTGTATCTGAGGGGCAGCATGGGATGAAGTCTGTGATTGCACTGTAGTAAAAAGAACAAGGACGTTCATGTCATCAAAAACTTCCTGTGTGTCACTGTGTACCATCATTACAAATAATGCCATGAAGAACACATTAGGCCTGTTAAAGAACAAAGTGAAAATGTTTAGATCTGAAGAGAGAAAGTCATAAGTAATTTCTTTGATCTAGATTTGCATTTTCTGTATATGTATGATGACAGTGTGGCGGTAATAGTAAAAGTCATTAAGCCCAAAATGGGACCTTTGAATAGAAAAATTTTGTTTATTATTAGGGGTATTTTGCCAAGTAAGTTCCTAGTGCAACTGGATCTGTGTATAGAACACTAAAATTGAAGGAAATGAAAAATGTATGGGATACATTCATGAATATTGAATGGAGAAAAAGAATGGGAGGAAATGTAGAGGTGAAAGTATAGCGAACACCAGTGACTGGGTGGTAGGTTGACAAAGAATGGAGCCAATTGAAAATGCTCCTTGGGCATCAATGGGCTCATCTCCATGAAGCTCTTGCCCTCAATACAATTTCCCTATTTCTTCACTGTCGGGCAGAATAACAGAAATGCAGCCAATCCACAATTCTTTGAGAATACTGCTTCCAGAGTTCAAGTGTTAGTGTTCTTACCCAGTTTGCTCTGAGTTGAGGTTTCATTACCAAATAGGGAATCTCAGTTTCTCTCACAGGGCTCCCCTTTTGTTGATAATTATCAAACAGCTCCAGCAATGCCAGCAGCTGAGAGTTTACACTGACGAGCATCTCATTTATTCCTCACCTAAACTCATGAATTTATTCCTATTATCCCCATTATGTAGATGAGAAATTTGAGGCTCAAAGGAGAGAAAATGTTGCTCAAGTTCACTAGTTAGGGGTAGCACTCAAATTTGAACTTGGGAGTAACTTTAAAACATCCCATCTTAATCACTGGTTGATTAGCTCTTAATTTGTCACCTGACCCTCATGTAGGTAAGTCAACAGGGTCACAGAAACGATGGGCATCTGTGAAGAACAGGAATAGCTGATGGGAGATGAGCAGGTGGCGGGGATCCAGCAGGGCCACTCGGGACCTCTGTGCTCAGGTACCTTCCGTACTGACAGTCCTTCTGAAGCCACTCACGGTGTGATGGGGCCTGTCCTCGTGGTAAGGATTTTCTTCCCCCGCCAAAGGAAATTGAGTATCTTTCTCTTCTTCCCTCCTGTCTCCCTCGCTTCCTTTCTCTCTTCTTATCCACTACCCAGCATCTGACATAGTGACTAGCATGTGGATGCTCAGACATGTTTGTCAAATTGTGTTGGTGTAAGGAGCGTCTTATTCTTGTGTGAATACCGGAGGTTCATAGTGACTGTCCCCAGGGGCAGGCACGGTCTGGGAGCAGAGCCCTGCAACCTCCATGAGAGCCGTCCACTTCCAGATTGGCCGCGCCCTGCTCTACTGATCTCGCTTAGGACAACCTAGTATTACAGTGGTATTTCTTCAGGAAGAGGGATATTTAAAATTACAAATTGTACAGCCATCTGAAAGAGCAAATAGGGTTGATTAAAAGAAAAAAAGAATATATGACCTCATGAAAGCCACATGCAACCCCGTTCTCCTTACTCGTCTTACCAGGGCCTTGCTCACCCACCCGACTTCCAGCTCCACCAACCCACCTTTGCTTTTAAATTACACAGGTGAGACATAAACATGTTCTCATAATTTAAAAATTTGGACCCCATTTCCACTCTTCCACTGTTCACTGGAATCACAGCTGAGTGATTCTTTCATTCCATGTATTCACTGTGCTTTTAGTTATATATTTTCTTGAACCATACGATGTTTGATGATTTGTTATCAAGAAAATAGCAATACCATGTGGTTGAACTTGATATACTTACAAATACAGAGCTTTGTTATTAGTTTATTACATAAACAGGATCTGTTATCCTGCAATTCACTTTTCTCATTTAATGTCTTGTTTTTCCCTGGGACAGCCCCAGGAGAGCTGGGTCACTGCTTTTAACCGCCGTGTTCCATAACGACCAGCGTACTGCAGGATGGACAGCTGAGCTGCCCCCGGTAGATGGGCTGCACAGTTGTCTCACCTTTCAAAGCAATGATGATGCGAACACTTCTGTATACATATCTTGGTCTAGAGATGCAACTATTTTTGTAGGAATAATTGCCTAGTAGATTATGAGAGTTAAATTAACATTTTTATAGATAGTAACAAATATTTCTTCAAAGAAAGTTTTTCCAGTTTATACACCATCAGCAATGCTTGACAGAACTAGTTCTCCCTGATGTTACCACACTGGGTGTTATTGACCTTCTTTTGCCAAACTCGTGAGTAATAAACTATGTTGCTATATCTTAGTGAGATGGAGCATCTTTCCTGTCCCATTGGCCATTTGGATTTCTCGTTTGAATTGCACCTCTGTATTTCTTCGCTCATAGTACTAAGATATTTGTCTTACTGATGTGTAGAAACGCATTGTTATGGATGTTCATCCTTTAAGCGTTATTATTTGTTTATTCCTCACCCAAAGATATGTTTATTAATTTTAGGGAGAGCAGAAGAAAGAGAAAGAAACATCAACGTGAGAGAGAAACACTGATTTGCTGCCTCCCGTACCTGCCCCGACCGGGGATCGAAGCTGCAACCCAGGCACCTGCTCTGAGTGGGAGCCACACCTGCGACCTCCCGGTGGGCAGGACAGTGCTCCAGCCAACGGAGCCGCCCGGCCGGGGCTCCCTGTTCATCCTTTAAAATACAAGATAGGTAGTAAATATTTTTCTCTCACCTTGTTGTTTATACATTAATTATTTTAGGGTGTTTTGTTCCCTATGAGAATTCTTTTTAATGTTTTCTGGGATTGGTGTCTTCATTAGGGAAGGCTTTTCCAGCACTACAGAAATATTCTTTAAAATTTTTTTTTATACTTTGATTGTTTTGCTTTGAAGTTTGATATAGAATCTTTGATATAGAATTGATTTAGATGTAGTAAGAAACTGATTTTGATTTTTTCTATATGGAAGGCCAATTTTACTTGAACCATTATTGACCAGGCCATACTTTCCTTATGGATTTGAAATGCTTGTTAAAATTAATTCCCTAATATATAAGGATCTGTTTAGGGCTTGTATTTGTTCTGTTAGTCTGCTGTCCATCTCTGTGCCTACCTTAATATCCTAAATATTATTTTATGTACTGTATCTGACGGAGCAACCTCTTCGTTATTGTACTTTCGGATTTTCTCCTGTACATTTTGATTTCTAGAGGAGCTTTAGAACCAGAATGTCAAATTCCATCAAGAATCCTGTTGAGATTTTAATTGGGATTAACTTGCAGAATATTGACAGCATCATCATAACCCGCACTTGCCTGAAGGGATGCTCCGTGCTCTGTGTGCTTTGTACAGATGCTTTATAAACATAATTTCATATACTCCTTGGGGTGACACAGCAGGTGGGTTTATTACTCTCATTATCCAGTGAGGGAATTGAGGTTTAGAGAAGTAATTTACCCAAAGTCACTGGATTAGTGAATTGCTAAGTCAATTTTTTTTATCCTCACCCGAGCACATACTTACTGATTTTAGGGAGAGAGAGGAATAGAGGGAGGGAGAGAAACATTGATCAGTTGCCTTATATACACCCCAACTTGGGGACCAAACCCACAACCCAGGCACGTGTCCCAACTGGGAATTGAACCCATGACCTTTCAGTTTACTGCACGACACTCCAACCAACCGAGACACACCAGCCAGGGCTAAGCCAAACTTTCAATTGCAATTTGACTCTACCATATTGCTTTTTAACAGCTATTCATATTTGTCTTTTAAACCGTCAATACTTTAAGTGAGCTGGGTATGTTTCATGAAGAAAAAGGCTGAATTTCTTGTTTTTCATTGACTGAGTGTGGAAGAAGATTGCCACGAGTCCCTGGGTGGGACATTAGGGACCGTGGTCACTGGAATGAGTAAGAGAACAGCAAAAAACCAGGATGGTCTGATAAAGACATAGGTCTGAGGTGACTGGCACTGAGGCAGTGTCGGTGTGATTGGAAGCTCAGAATGGGAAGGGCAGGACGGGCTCACTCAGAAGTCTTGTGAGGGCAGAGTCCTGGTGTGGATCTTCTCTGGGTGTCGCAGGACGTGGGGAAGGATTAGAAACACTCGTGTTCTCTGTGTGTTCAGAAGGCAACCTACTTCCTGAAGTATGACTCATGACTAGAAGACCAATTATATCCCAACTTTTCCTTCTTGCAAAGAAAGAGTTTCTGTTAACCTTTCTGTCAGAAGGGAACATTGATTAAACATATGGTAGCGCATCTATAGAATGGACTACCATGTAATCATCATAAATGATGCTACAGAAAATATTTCGTGATATGTGTAAAAAGACTGACCACAAAACAAAAAGCCAGGCTGATTCCATTTTGCTTTAGAAAATTCTATATAAACATTTTACATAAACATGCCCACCAAAAGATAATAGCAGATAAGGTAGGTGACTGTTATCTTTTTTCTCATGATTTTCTATATTTTTCCAATTTTCTTATGGTGAAAGCTATTGTGTCTGCAAGTAGGGGAAAGCCCAGTGTCTCACACACATGAACTGATAGAGGTAGCAGAGCAGGTGGTATTCTCCCTTAAACCTGATGCAGCTTCTTTTTTTCTTTCCTTGTTAGTCTTCATGAAATGTAGAAAGGCTTAAAGCAGTGGCCTCCAAGGGTGGCTTTTGCACCAGCGGTATCAGCCTTCCCAGTGCCTACTCAGCCCTCTGAGTCAGGAACAGGGTCTAGCAGAGCCTGGCGTGTGTGGCTTAGCGAGTCCTCCTCCAGGAGATGCTGGCACCACTGCGGTTTGAGAACCACGGCTTTACGGGACCATATGAATGGGATAGGTTTCTCAGAATTATGAATGACACATACTCGGGTCTCTAAAGCGAGTGTGCTTGACCTACCTGCACGGAGCTCCCTCTCCCTGGATGGCCTCACATTCTTCTCCGGGGGTACAGAGGCCCAGTTCCTCCTGGTGGTCCGGGTGCCCTGGTCTGCAGCGACACTCTGCTTCCTCAGTCCTCTCATTCTTTACACACTGGGCAAACTTGCCACAGGCCAGGAATTTGCAGGCATCTGCTTGATCAGCTGTAAGAGATGGGGCAGATGCTAATAAATGCACGGAGGCCCAAGCAGTGGAACTGGTAGATGTCAAAGGCAAGAGACCATCTCTATTTGCTGTCTCCCCATTTTGAAGTAGGCTGTGCAGCAGTGGCAACAGACGAGTGAAAAGAGAACCACATGTCTCTGTCTTTGACAAATAAGTTTATAGGCACAGGCAATAACATATTTAGCTTCAAATATAATCACACATGAACTTTGTGGTGTATCAGCATCGCCTAGAGGCCTTGTTAAGGCGCAGATTCCTGGCCCCATCCCCAGCGTTTCTGATGCAAGAGGTTTGGGATGGGGACTGAGAATGCAGGTTTCTGAGGAGGCCCCAAGTGGTGCTAATGCCTCTGCTCTGGACAGCACATCTTGACAACCACTGCGCGAGAGAACTGGTGTTTCGTTGGTTATAATCTTTAAGGTAAGTATTTTATGCAGAGATCAGCTGTAAATGTATATACTTAAGATCAGCTATACCTTATAAGATAGTAGTCATTTATGTGGACAATTTTTTGAACTCGGGGATAATTGTCAAATGAAAAAAAGTATCTTTCTCTTAGTCTCTTATGATAATCCCTAAGGCCCTGATGTTAGACATTCTTTTTGGGGGGAATAATTGTTTTTCCTCAATGCAAATTCAACTAGACCTCTAGTCTGGGGTGTTTGTTTGTTTGTTTTTGTCACTAATTTTTCTCTTTCACTCTATTCCTAATTCTGTACAATTGTCTCCAATTCTTTGTAAAGTGGATTACAACTCGAGAGCATCTCAGATGATTTAGTGCGGGGATGCTTGTGGCCTCCGCCGGCCTTTCTCCGTCTTTCTGAAGCTGAGCACACTGAGCCTCAGGCAAAGGGCCCAAGCGTCCCCTGCTGATGGCAGAGCCGGAGTCGGGTGGGGCCCTGAGACGATTGTTCTCTGTTCTGGGTGGGTTTCCTGTTGGACCACATGGGCCGTTTGTCATAAATGGCCTTGCACATTATGTGCAAGCAAGGCAACCATGTATACAGCTGTTCTTCCAAGAAGCCTGTGGAAAGGTACGGAATACTGCAATACAAGAAGCCCAGTACCTTGTCTAGCATAAGAGCCCTCAATAAGAGCTCTAAATATAGGTTAGAGAAGAGACCACCATGGGGGAGAATGTTGGAACTGAGTCAAGTGGGTTGCATTTGTGTACGCAAAGACTACAGAAAGTGTTTAAACTGGACCCAGAGGTGAGAAAGCAACAGTCAGGAGCTGGTGGAGCCCGAGAAGCCTGGTTTGGAAGGAGCAGAGACTCTGGGTGAAAGGAAGGGAACTGAGACTGGAGAAGAAGTCAGAGCCAGACTCAGGTCTTGATCGCTGGGCTAAGAAACTTGGACTTACAAGCAGGAGGGTGCCGCAGTGGATTTCCGGGCAAGGGAGGGGTACGATCAGTACTGTGCTTTAGAAAATATATAAATAGAACTTAGAATTGTCAAAGTTGGGATAATTTCAGTGATCATCTGGTCCAGTATTTCCCAAGGGGGAACATTTGCAGAACTACAGTTCAGCAGGAATCAGTAAGTTTTTTTATACTACAAAGATGTTTCGTAGCTGAATGAGGATTTTTTTCTCCCTCTCCCACTGCCAGCCTCCGACCTTGCCCCTTTCTCTTTTTGCTTTTAAACTTCTTTTTTTTTAATTAATTTTTTTTAAATTGATTATGCTGTTACAGTTGTTCTATTCCCCCCTTCATTCCCCTCCACCCTGCCCCCCCATCCCCACCATTACCCCCCTTTAGTTTATGTCCATGTGTCTCAAGTCCTTTAGGTTCTATATTTCCCATGCAATTCTTGCCCCCCCCATCTATTTTCTATCTACTGTCTATGCTACTTATTTTCTGTACCTTCTCCCCCCATCTCCTTCTCCCACTCCCCTGTTGCTAACCCTTCTTGAGATCTTCATTTCTATGTTTCCACTCCTGATCTAGCTGTTCTTTTAGTTTGCTTTCATTTTAGCTGTGGTTGTTAATAACTGTGAGCTTGTTGTTCTTTCACTGTTCATGTTTCTTTAACTTCTTTTTCTTAGATAAGTCCCTTTAACATTTCATATAATAAGGGCTTGGTGATGATGAACTCCTTGAATTTGATCTTATCTGAGAAGCACCTTATCTGTCCTTCCATTCTAAATGAAAGTTTTGCTGGATAGAGCAATCTTGGTTGTAGGTCTTTAGATTTCATGACTTGGAATATCTCTTTCCAGCCCCTTCTTGCCTGTAAGGTCTCTTTTGAGAAATCAGCTGACAGTCTGATGGGGACTCCTTTGTATGTGACTGTCCCCTTAGCTCTTGCTGCTTCTAGGATTCTCTCCTTCATTTTAATCTTGGCTAATGTAATTATGATATGCCTTGGTGTGTTTCTTCTTGAGTCCAACTTTTTTGGTACTCTCTGAGCTTCTTGGATTTCTTGGAAGTCTATTTCCTTTGCCAGATTGGGGAAATTTTCTTTTATTATTTGTTCAAATAATTTTTCCACTGGTGGTTGTGTCTTTCCCCCTTCTGGTACCCCTATAATTCGGATATTGGAGCGTTTAAAGATGTCCTGGAGGTTCCTAAGACTCTCCTCATTTTTTTGAATTCTTGCTCCTTGACTCTTTTCTGTTTGGCCATTATTTGCTTTCTTCTGGTCCACTCCACTGATTTGAGTCCCAGTTTCCTTTTCATTTCTATGGGTTTCCTGTGGAATTCCATTCATTTCCCTTAGTTTAGCCTTCATATGTTTCTCTAATTTGTGGCTATAATCAACCAGATCTGTGAGGATCCTGATGACCAGTGTTTTAAACTGTGCGTCTGAGAGTTTTGCTATTTCTTCGTCGCTTAGATTTATCTCTGGGGCTTTGAGGTCTTCCTGCGACATTTTTGGTCTGTTCTGGCCCTTTAAATGTGAGAAGCGGCGCCTTGGACTCCCAGGTCGCTGGGTTGTGACGCTGTATGTGGGGGCGTGGTCAGAGCGGGGAAATGGCGGCCCCCTCTACTGCCGCACGCCATGGGGACCACCGGGCCCGGTCCAAGCGCCCACTCCCTCGCCTGTCCGCTCGCCCGCAGACAGGCAACCGCAGTCAACACGCAGCACCACCTCCCCACTGTCTCCTCAGCAGTCGCTCACCCGGTGGGTTGCTCGGTTGCTCGCTAGGTCCAATCCTGCATTTGGAACCCGTGCGTCTGGATTCGCGTGTCTGGATTCCGCGCCTGGGTCCATCCGACCGGAGTCCTCCTGTGCAACCCCTCACGAGACGCCGGTTTCGCCCCTTACTGGTCGGGCTGTAGAATTTGTTGTTAACAGACTTCCAAAAAGTTCAATTTTCCGTGTTCTGGTTGTGTTTTCTGATGCTAATATTTAGTTGTCCCTAAACTTGGATGTGTGAGAAGGCACGGCACATCCACCTATACCTCCATCTTGGCGGAAGTCCTGCTTTTAAACTTCTTAGGGTCATTTAAGACACTAATATCTATTGTGAATCTTCAATCAAAGAATGTAGCTGCTTTGCCAAATTTACTGACCACAGAAGCTCTGTAAATAGGTCTTGGGGGAACATCTAATAGGGGGAGAATTTCAAGGAACCTTCAAATTCACTGCCCCAGCCCAACAGCTCCTTGTGGTGGAAGAAGCAGGAGCAAGAGATGTGAGAGATCAGCCCAAGCTGAAGGCAGGAGCTGGTGCTGGAAGACATATATTGGATTTCTCAGCAGGGTAGACCTGTTAGAAGTCGATGGGAAGTTGTATTTCTCTGCAGGTCAAGGGTACTTGAAGGACAACCAGGCCTGGCTAACATGAACTGGTTTTCCGTGCCTCACAGTTCCTAAAGCCAGCCGTGTTACGGCATCCCTGTCACTGTCTGGGACCCGGATAACCCAGGTGATTCAGGCTCCAGTTCCCTCTGCAGTGCAGACAGGTACAGGGTCCAGCACAAATGACGCCCCCTTTTTTATTACAAAACCTCCTGTTACAAAATTGTAAACATGTGATTTTGTAACATAACAATAATATCACATATCACACTCAAGCACACCATGTAACATTTTAGGTGAAACGTTCAAATCAAAACTCTAAATGATTACACCCGTATCATTACCCTGTCAATCACACTCAAGCAGGCGTTGCTTCTGCTGGAGCCCGCATTGACAGGTAGAGCCACCGGGATGCGCGGGTCCTGCCGTACTGACGACCAATCGGAGATGTGCGATAATCAAGTGAGTTTCCCCTTTAAAAAGGTTGCTGTTTCACCATAATTTCTTTCAGCCCATCTAGGCGTGGTCTACGCACCAGCAAAGCTGAACAAAACACAGTAAAGTTTGGAGAAATGACTTTACCCAAATCTGAGGACCCTGAGTCAGGTAGAGTTTATTGATTATTTGCTTTTCCCATGTTATTTACTAAAGACTCATCTACAGACAAGAAGTAGGAGACTTAAGGCCACTGGGCTTAGTTTTCTTTTGCTGGGTATCCTTCTAGGAACTCAGATTCATTTATTCAATGAATATCAATTTGGCCTTTCAAAATCTTCAACAAACTAGTTGCTTTCGATTTTTTTATCCATATATAAGATTTTAAATTTTAGGTAAAATTTTAGAGCTAGAAGGTGTTTCAGAGACCTTCTTGAATAATTTGCTCGCTTCACAGAGAAGGAAGCTGAAACTCAGTGGAGCGCAGCCAAGATCAGGCTGCTCAGCTCCCCCTGCCACCCCGCCCCCTGCTGACGGTGTGAGGAGTCACAGGGCAGCAAAGAACCCCCAGGGGAAGCTCTTGGACCAGAGCCTGTAAAGGTAATTGCAGTTCATTAGAATCGTAACAGAAGAGACCCTATTTACAGCAATTTGTGACGCAAATTGTACTACTTACACTTTCACACCTTAAAAGATATTTCTCTTAGGCATGTTGATGACCTTTGTGCTCTCTTAGCTTACTCTGAATAATACCTGTAACTGTGGGCTTCAGGCAAAGGCTGAGGCAGGATGTGCGCT